TTATACTCATTACGGTTGTTGGGGACACTTTAAATGTAGTTCCTATGCTTAAAAAAGTATCTTGTGTAGCCATATACCACAAGAATATTAAAATATGGCCATATAAACTCACTAGATGATATCCACCTGTATACGGTTTTGCTAATGTCTTTTTTCATCATTTCTGCTGAATCAATAAATGTTTTCTTTGACATGCGGAAGAATTTAGAGAATTGAAAGTTATCATAGATACAAAGCCATGGTTCCATCATTAAAAAAAAATCTGAAAAAACATTTCTCCCATGAATATTATGAAAGGTTTCTTATTTAAACTTTCCACATACAGTTGTAGACGAAAAAGCACCGATTATTAAATGATAATAAAAATAATCAGAGATTATATACGCGCTTTTCTAAAATAAACAACTTGCAACAAAACCGCGGTTAAAACCAACGCGTTCAAGCGATTCGTGTAACTGACGTCATCAACCCGTGTGTCATCTTGAACCATATCATAACCGCGGCACATAACACAGAAATTTTGGTTATTCGCTTGGATTTGATTATGGTTGCCTATACCTTCATATATGCGGCACCGGCCGAACGGTACAGTATCTCCCATCTCTAGTTGCCGTCTATAAGCAATTTACCGGGGATATCAGAAAATCTATACTTCCGAATTTTTAAACCTTTCAGAGACTACTTCGCCGTGGAATACCTTACTACTTGTTGAATTATACCACAAATTAAAAAGAGTATTTTTTCTGTAAGTTAAGGAGTATAATAATCTTCAAAGCATAATTTTGAATATTTAAGTTACTGATTTCAATCTTTGAGACTCTGGAGGAACGATATAGAGCAGGGCTGTCCAACTTAATGTGGCCCAAGAGCCACTTCAAAAAAAAAATGCAGTTTGGAGGGCCGCATTATAAAATCTTTCTATACAACATTATTACTGAGTTTTCATAGGTATATACTATACTATATTTGAGAGCAATTTATACATGTGATGTATACATGACCTGTGAGTCGGGCCGCAAGAAAGGAGGCCGTATGTTGGACAGCCCTGATATAGAGGATAATTTTAAGACAAAAATGTGCCATGCATTGGTTCGATAGACCTTTTTAGCTATACAGACCATAATTTAGCATTTCTGATACGGGAGTAACAAAACTCACGGAATCAAATAACAACAACATATTCTCCAAGTATGCAGTTGTTACACCGTTTCGTCCTAAATTTTCAAGAAAAGTCTGCCTCTAATTTTCAACTTAAGATGGTACTTGAGTTTGGACAATTTATAGAAGTGTCCAAGATATTGCATCGATTCACATTTATGTTATGTTTGAAGAAACTCTACCGTTTAGTATCAACCAACTGCCCTACCAACCGTATCAATAATATGAGGTCCGCAGGTTACAGGTGCCTCGACGTGTGACAGAAAAAAATGCGTAGGGTTATCCATAATTTCATACAATTTTATATGTCGTCCGCCATAAGTTCAAACCGACTAGAGTTCCTTTTCTTTCCGCCTCTGCGACCATAACCAACTGTATACAAGGTTGTCTCATGCTTTTTAGCAACCATCAGTACGATACAGGTCTAGTCATTTGGAGACAGACGGCAAAAGACAAACAAGCGAATATGGAAATTAGACAGCACAAAGTGTCATCTGTTACCAAAATCAACCACTGTGAAAGTGCAAGCTGTCTGTTGGAACTGTATCCCAGTTCGCATTGACATTAGTCGGATCACCACTGTGGCTGCTAGATGCCGCCGATCCTGGTGCTTTAGTAGATACGGCCTACCACCCATTGAACGAACTAGTAATACAGCAATTGTTCGGCGAGATCTAGCAGCCACATTGGTGACCCGGCTGACAATGCGAACTGGGATACAGTTCCAACAGACAGCTTGCTGTTTTCACTTTCGCGGTGGTTGATTCTGGTAATAGATGGAAGTATAGTAAGTAAATAGTACTCCCCTGAGTGACGATGGGACGCCTAAAAGGTGGAAGACATTGTCTCCTTAGAAGCAAACTCTGCCATTTAAATCACCAACACGCCATTACCGCCTACAGTAAGTCGTTACAGAAGATGAGTACAAATTATCTTGCATCATTCTGAAAAAATGGTAGGCATTTTAAGCAGCAGCGCCGGTGGCCGCAGTAGTAGACTCTCCGGTCTCCTGATCAGTAGCCGTGCGCTGTGCGGGTTCGAATCCCGTCCCAAGAGAAATTTTTCTCTTGGCTATAGATGTTGTGATTGTCTGTAGGTGGTAGACGTAGTGACGGACAGTGTCATTCTACTTAGTGACAGCAACACAGATAGTAACGCCACTTTTATTAATTCGCGAATGTACATACATATTTATTAACTTCACAATAAATGTTCCACCTTCCTACAGCAACAATGCTGCAGATCTGTTACTAACAAATTTAGTTGCAGCAGTTATTATGTCTCGTAGCTCAGCTAAATTTCCGATTGGCCTTGTAAAAGCAATCGAGTGGATTTAAGTTAGCTGAATGGGCTGGCCACGAAATTGTAGCAGAGCCCTATTCATCTGCTCGGGTATTCCGCAACAAGATATTCTCTAACTGAACGGTCATAGTTCGCCAGGCAGCCGTCTCGCTGGTACCACATGTATCTGTAAATGCCTAGTCGCACGTCTTCCAATAAACTTGGTAAATGATTTTGTAGAAAGTTTAAATAAATTTCGACATCCAAAGGGCAGCTCAAACGATTCTACCATTTGGAATCCCGGTCCACATGTTTACTTTAAAACGATACTGTGATCTATCTATCTATCAAATGTGGATTTTCTGCTGCAAGTTGTGCAAATTTATCTAACCATCTTTTTTAAATGTCGACTCATCACTCCATAAAATTTTCTCTAAAAATCGCGGATCTTCCCGGCGTCTCTGTAACATTGTTTGACAAAACTCAACTCTTGGGGTGTAGAGATTGTATTCCCTGTACTTGGTACTGGTGGAGCTCGTTCTTTCGCAAGATTCGACTGGCTGTACATTTGTAGTACGACGTCCTCGTAAGGAAATGAATTTCTTCCTTCACCATGTACTTGAGAGTAAATGCTGCACATTCACAAAAACGCGGTAATTGGTACGACGAGCAGCATTCAGGGAAGCTCTCACCTAGCTGCAGCACCAGCATTGCATCTACATTCCCCAGAAATGAGGTGCATGTCGGCGTATTCCTGTACGGTGTGCATTATACTATCTTGAATTAATAAAAATGGCGTTAATATCTGTATTGTTGTCACTACGTAGAATGACACTATGCGTCACTCCGTCTAAGAAAAAACTGAAATTTGTAGTAATGGGAACTAAAAAATCATCACAGAGTGTAGATTTTTCAGATTTTTTTAGATACGTGATTTATGTTTTTTTTATATTTTTCTGATAACTTATGACTTGGTCTATCCCCCGTTTAGGGTTTGACATCGACTTCTGGAACGCGCTGTATGTTTCGTTTGAAATTTGTTCAATGTTCGCTAATAACTTCAGACTGCTTTATTTTGTATGCACGTGTGACCAACCGTCCATATCGTGTTATCTTCATCCACATAATAATACGCGGCTGTTGTATTTTCACTCATGCTGAATGCACATATAGGTATCACTGCATTTCGATGACACACAGTTATTGCGATAACATATTTGAATGATGAGAGGCCATGAAGATCATGTGACAGAACAGCTGGTATACATGGCGTGTTCAAAAAAGATTGGTCTGAGTACAAATAGAGTCGTGGAGGTTATTATTACTATTATTATATTAATACTACATGAATAAGTTCACTGAGCAAATGCGGTTAGTTAAACATTTTTTCTGGAAAATTTTCGTTGCCTGAAATAAATGTTTTAACTGTTCTAAGTAACTAAATCATTTGGATTAATTAAACTGAATTTTCTGGAAGCAGTTTAATTGGAAATAGCAATCCAGGTACACGTTTTATTAAACTGCTTAATTTGTTTAGATAATTTAGTTTATATAGAAATGGTACATTTAAAACAATTTAAACATTTCAATAAAAACACTTAAACTGTTGGTTTCTGGCAAATTCGGAAGTTTTCATTTTTATTCGAAAACGTCAATTATCAATATCACGTTTTCCGTATTTTTTGATATGTAAGATTGGTCAGAACAGTTTCAATATATCATCATTCAGTAAAATGTAATTTGCTCTTTTTAATTCCAAATATTCTCGTAAATCTAAATAAAGTAATTTATTAACATGAGGCCAACACTTTTACCTAAGCTTATTAAAAAAATTTACCAAGTATAATTAAATTGTTTTACCTGGATCAGGTAAACTCATTTTAATAGTTCATTTATTTTAAATAAAGTGGTGTACTCAATCTAAGTAAACAGTTTAATGAATTTAATTAATCGATTGCATTTTAGTTCAATTAAACTAGTTTCATAGATTTAAATAAACGGTTTTAGTAACCAGAGTTAAATTAGACTTATTGAACTTGTTAGCTGTCACATAGTTAATTATTTTTTTAATTGCCTAATTGAAATTTTAATTCGTTCAATTAAACTTTTTTCTCAGTGTCATAGTCATAGGCTTACTTTACCAATTTACTCAAGTGCATACTTTTTTCTGGTATTAAGACAAACATTTTACATAGTAACACATTACACATTATATAGACAATTTCCACCATTCTGCTAGAATGCCAGTTATCAGATATTCTGTCAACTTACCACTAAAAGAAAGATATCCCTTCTTACATAGTTATATCGCAAAATTAATAGTACAGAGGCTTATAGTGTATAGCTCTAACATTTTTAATTTTAAATTTGACTAATAATAGAAAAGAACAATGTCTTCTTCCTTCCATATTTTACGACACCCTCGTATATTTTACGTATTGGAAACAAAAACTATCATCCATGGTTCACTATGCTTAATGTTCACAGGTACTACCGGTTTCAGTAATAAAGGAAATACGGCTTTCATTCATCTTTAAATCACATTTGAACAGATTACTTACCCTACTAGGGCACCTATTTGCTCTGCTATCACCTTTCCTCCATCTTTTGTAGGGATACACGTTAAAATAGAGTTTAGCATCCATCTTTCCTAATTTCTACACTAATGGTATTTGATACTGACGATAATGAACACTATTGAGATAGAAAAAGTTGTATAATCACAGAATTTAAGGTAATATGCGGTTCTACTGGATCACGACATATTTTTCGATTACAGTGTAAAACAAAGATCAATAAACACTGATTTGTAAAACAAAGTACTGTAAACACAATTAATCACCGCGTTCCGAGGTAGTATTCATTTAATTTCAGCAAACTAGAGCGTTTGTTAGAACTTTACTCTTTCAAGCCATGATACGTGTAGTTTGATAGTGCTTAACATGCTTTAGAGCAATATAGGACACTGTTCCCACTGCTCCGCGCTGCTTTACTCGCCCATTCTACTTAAATCACTGTCACGGAAGTGAGAAGGAAGTTCTGAGAACACAAAATCACAGCAGTCTTTAGCAGTAAGTGTGTTCATGCTATGTTTTTGGTTTACGATACTGCGTGAAACCGGCTTTAGGTTGTCGCCATATTATATGCTTCTCTACCTTCTACATCTATCAACGCCGGCGTTCCACTCACACTGAAAAGAACGGTTGACAGTGAATGGAGGGGCAGACCGGAAATAAAAGGCAGTACCCAACATGTACAAGGGCGATACAGAAATATTTCAACGAAGAAAGTATAGTTCCTTATTCAGATAGATAATTAACCTTTACAAACCGTTATTCAGATATACGGGCGTTAAAATTACTATGACAAGATTCAGGACACGTCTCGCCAAATCTTGTAATATTACGATTCGAAGCTACCCCCTCTGAAGTCAACGGATTATAGGTTATCGCCAACGCGTACATTTATGTATACGGTATTTGTGATTGCCAAAACTCTCTAATATATTGTTACTTTGTCACTATATTTCGCAAGATGTCTAAGACATTATTAATACCTTTTCTTTCTGTTGTTCTGCTGCAATTGGAAAAAATTCCGCTCAAACCTGTATATAGTAGCGGTGTGTCCAAGTTTGGACAACAGATAATAAGTAATGCAAACGGGACTACCCTTTGGTTATCAAGCAAGTATAAAAAAAGGGTGGCAAGAATTTACATTGAAGAGCTTATTATTTCTTAATTATATTCAACGAATTATGTTTACATTGCTTTGTTTGTCGCCAAAGTTGTCTAGTTTTAGTACATGCTTTTGGTAAATTTGACTACCATTGCCTACCAAAGTGACAAAACAATACATCTAGCAGACCAGGTCCTCAACATGGGAGCCCAAAGAAATTTTTCTCAGGGGGGCCGATCATCAGAGCAGATAACTTTTTGTGAAAGTGTACCTGTCCCAAAAACCTTTAAATCAAGAGAGGGGGTGGCAAATTTTCTCAATGGGAAAATCCTAAGAATACGCAGCATGGTACACAATATCGTGCTAAATATGAAAAATTGAAGGTCAAACCGGATTCCTAGAGGGGCACGACCCCCGGGGCCCCTCTGTGGGTACCCATGGTACTCAACTCATCCAAAAGCCTCCGTATGTTTCTTTACAAAGTCACAAACAACCATGCTGATGTTACCGGGTGTAACTCAATAAAAGAATTTACCCTGTTGCATTTGAGTTCGGCATTTCGTACCCATCATCACAACTGAGGGTAACCTAGCTATTTCGAGTAGTTTCCGAAGACTAAGAGGTTGAAAATCATTGCTGATAAAACAAAAATTTTGTAGTGCAGATTTGAAACGAGACAGCTCTTTCGCACATAGCTAAAAGTTAAAATAATTTTCGAAGACCTTGAAGATTCACTTCTTAAACTTTTATTTTTCAGTTATTACTTTGCTGAGAGCAGATCAGCTTATCAGTCAAGCTCTTATACCTATTATTACTTCCTACGCTATTGGCGAGGATGTGTTATAATCGCGAAAATTGTCGAAAATGAGATATTATGTTTTCTAGATGTTCTACGGCATACACTTCTCGAAATACCATATCACTCATTTCCGTTGGTCTGCCTGAGCGCTAGTCCCTGGCCCATCTATAACTTAGAAATTACTGCTCGGATATTTACACAAGACCTTTACTATGCCAATGACGAAAAGCTTGCTTGCTTTTTTAAAATCGGTCCAGTGGCGGCGGAGCGGAAGAATAAGAGGGGTAAAAAAATTGAGGTATAAGAGATTATAGGTATTAGGTGGGGGGGCGTATCACAATTTTTTGCTGAAGTATATTTATAAACTTCCAACTAAACTGAATCTAAATTCAAGATGAGATGTAAATAATAACAGTTAGCGCATGATCTCTCGGTAAAAGGTGGGGACAACGCCTCTTATTGGTCAATTCGCTATTAAATTTCAAGCGGTCGCCTGGCGGAATAATGCGCGGGGCAGGGGCAGGGCAGGCAGAGTTGCATTCAGGCCACCGACCGTCGCGTGTATCACTGCGTGCTCGTGTTTTCGTATTCACCTTGCTTGGTTGTTGCTGTTGTTGTTGTTAAGTGTATTTGAGTAATTTGTTAAGTTTCTGTTCGTTATTGTTATTCCTCGTTATTATTTGTTTTGAACCAATCCTGAACATGTCCAGTACAGATACTGCTGACGAGATTGTAGGCTACTCCCTTAGCCCTCCTAAAAAGCGATCAAAAAAAGACATCTTAGCGTAGACATGAAAGACGTCATATTGAATACATTCAAGATAGCGCGGAAGGAAGACGAAACATCAACTAACCCGAAAATAGCTCTGAAAGTGGCAGATAAAATTGGGGTATGCCAAGCGACAGTGTACAATGTTTTGAACGAACATAAGAAAAAGCATGCCTTTTCCAAGCCAATTACGGGTAAAAATCGCAAAAGTATCATAAGATTGTTGGATGACGCTGACAAGCATGCGATTCGGAGGAAAGTGCACGAGTTCTCATTCAGAAACGAAATACCGACAGTTGATAGAGTACTACCTGAGGTTAACGAGGATGCTATGTTATCAAATTTCAAACGCTCGACTATTCATAAACTTTTGAAGCATCTTAATTTCGAATGGAAGAAACGAGGTCGTAACAGCCTACTTATGGATAGAGAAGAAATTGTTCTGTGGAGGAGATAGTACCTGACCAAAATTAAATCATTCAGGGATCAGCACAGGAAGATCTATTACCTGGACGAAACCTGGATTAACGCTGGGCACACTACTCCGAAGGTATGGGTTGACAAAACTGTGACTTCATCCAGAAGGGCATTTCTAGATGGACTGTCGACGGGATTGAAAAATCCATCAGGTAAATAGATCGAAGTAGTTCACGGTATCAATTTTGCGCACAATATCTCTCTATCTTCGTACCTACAAGACGTGCATGTGTGTACTTAGCGGATTTTATCTTTCTATGCAAAGGAAAAAGGCTCATTATTTACCACATTGAGGGTGTAGATGGCTTCGTGGATGACGGCTTATGGTCTTTTGAGTCAAAAAAAACACTGACGACCATGAAGAGATGAATGGGGAAGCATTCGAGAAGTGGTTTTCAGGCATTTTACCACGTCTCGAAGACAATTCTGTGGTTGTTTTGGATAATGCTCCCTATCATTCTCGCAAAATAGAAAAAATCCCAACTTCAGCTTCTAGGAAATCAGACATTCAGAGCTGGCTCCGTTCCAAAAATATAACTTTCGACCCTTACTGAAATTACAACTATTAGATATTGTGAAACAACACAGACCAAGACATGATAAATATGTCATAGATGAAATGGGCAAAACACACCACAAAACAGTACTCCGTTTGCCGCCTTACCACTGTGAGCTCAACCCCATTGAGCTCATATGGGCAGATGTTAAGAATTTTGTTGCTGCACACAATACAACATTTAAATTTTATGACATGCAAGAGCTGTTCAGAATTGCTATACAGAGGGTCACACCAGAAAGATGGCAAAAATGTGTGCAGCATGTCCAGGAGGAAGTGGAGGTAGCAATGTGGGAGCTGGACAACATAATTGAGAGAGATTTTGAATCCATCATCATAAACATTAATGACGATAGCTCTTCAAGTGAGTCTGAGTAAGTTTCTCGTTTTTGTTTTATCACAGAATACATATTATGGGAATCCTAGTTATAGTGAAATATTAAATTACAGATAAACTACAGACAATGCAAGTCAGAAGTGCACCTTCAAAATCTATTTTCAATTGATTGAACAGCCTTATATTTATTCCATGTACAAAAGTGTCATCTCTACCCCTCGTTGACTACGGATTCATTGTGCATAGTGAGCAGCTGGTTACCTCTGGTATTTATTTCTCCATGTTGTCTAGTTTGAAAAATCTGTAGAAAAACTTAGCACCCCTTCAAGAATAAAAATTTGATTTTGCGACACCCTTAACTATAACTACTTCACTATATTAGATAATTTCGTTAAATACTGAAATCTTTGTTTTACAACACGTTGGTGGTAGTCCATCATTCTGAGGTAGCCCTGAATGCGGCCCTGTACGCCGTTCTTGCTTTTGGCAATCACGCATCCATTCTATCTTGAGTGTAAATACACTTTACAGTAATTCCAAGTGTCTGTTAGGCATATTTCACACATATATTTCTTCGTATATTTGGTCGAAGATACTTTTTGAAAACTTCTCAGTCGTTAAAGTTCAAGTGCAAGAAATATCTCGTAGTTTTGAATCTTTCTATTGTTTCAAAATGTTAAGCGTTTATTCTATATGTCTCTCAAGTTTCCAAATATTCCAAGGTACAGCCACAAAACTCATTGAGATATCTGAAATCAATAAAATACTGACAATAATAAGCTTTGTAGTGCCAAGGGTGACCACCACGACAAATTGGACCACTCGGATATTTTTACTAAGCTCTAAAAGCGCAATTGCTGTTAGCTTAAATAGACCTTTCGAATCAAAATAGACTAGTCCGAGGAAAACCAGTGTGTACAAAACAGAGGGGTCAGGGTGCTTGTACTTCTGATGACCAGGTGGAGATATTTGAATTGTAGATATATTAACCGGTTCTGAATATGAAGCAAAAAGGGTTAGAATATGCAATGTGCCTCGCACGAGATGACATTAAATTGCCAGGCGACTACTGATTTTAAGATGAAGTACTCTGATTTGATGAACGACCGTATAAAGGGTGTTGAATAATAAGATGATAACCTTCCGCATACGTAACTTTTTATAGAAAAAATTCTGGTAGATACAGCTCCCTAGAAGATGTTACTGGAAATTAGTGTTTCTCGATTACGTTTCGGACAACACCACATAATTGAGTAAAATGTTGACATGGGCGGATTGATACCAACGCCGTTTCGCAATATTACTACTTTTACACCTTGTATTACTTCCATTCCATTTTTGGAGAATGTGATTTTACTTCCCACACGAACTGACAAGAAAGTATATTGTATTCGCGAAAAATGTTCAATATGGTTTTTGATGTTACATGACATGTACATGACAAAAAATCCTTGTCACTCATTTCCATTAGTATGTTTGTCACCCGCTTGTCACCCGTTATAACTTGTGATGTACCGATCAGATTTTGATGCCAAGCATGGAAAAGTTTTGTAGTCTTTGAAAATCGATCCAGTGGCGGCGGAGCCACGGCCAAAAGACGAAAAAATAAACATCAGTCATTGTTGATGTTTTAGGCTCCTAATCATTACCATACATTTTCTGTAGTGATTGAAAACTGGGAGTTGAGGATTGTGAGTGTTGCAGCTTTGGTATCAGTGAAAGACGTTCAATTATTAAGAAGCATGTGATCTGGGTAATGATGATAGGTACGAATCACACTAATTGCACGTCTTGAGTTTGCACCCCGCTCCCCGTTTTGCGACGGCCCCTCCACCTGAAGACACCAATAAATTGATAAATTAATGACAGAATTGTGTGGCAAGTGCAGAGTCAACCTACTTAACGCCATTCCTTAAACTGAAAAAAACATACTCTTTTTCGGCATCGATAGAATGAGGTCTTTTTGAGAAATTCTCATTTTATCGAAGTCACAAAAATATGTTTTTCCAGATAATGGGTCACGTTTTATGAAAATTTCATTTTTGGTTTATTTTTATACACAACCATGACTTAATTTTTTTACGGATTTTTAATACATTTTCTGACTCTACAGCCATAACTTAATTTTTCACCGATTTTTATATGAATTTCATGGACAATTTCCGTTGATCTTTGACAGTAATATGATCACTGCATGCAAAAACAAGGGAAGTATTATATCAAAAAAATAAATGTATATATGTATGTTTCTGATTCAGTTTCTTGGTTTCACACCTAGTTGAAGAAAATTAAATTAGTGACCTTCTCATAGTTCCAAATTTAACGACCTAAATCCGAGCGAATACGACTTTCAGACTTCTGCAGAAGATTGAAAAGGAATAACTACGAAAATTGACTGGATGTTGGACTAGTCACTGGGCAACTATGTGCTCAGAAGATGAGGTAGAAAACAAGCTGAAAAATATGTTCTGCCTATAGTTCCATGGTTATCAAGTCGCGAGGGTTGGTATTAACCATGAGCTAGCGGAATTCAAAATACTCATTATGAATTTGAATCGGAACTATGCCCAATACTCGTAATCACTCGTAGGAAATAAGCTGCACGACTGAACGTCAACTATCAGTAACCTGGACCATAACTCCTTGTAACATAAACTAACTAAAAAAGCCCAATGACTCACCAATTGATCAGAAGTTCTCCTGGAGTCCCCTTCCCTATGATCTGGATCTTCGTCTTCGTCATCTCTGCTTTCTGACTGCCCCATCTTACAAAAGATATACCCGCAAAAGCAGGCTTTGTGCTAGTTCACGTGAGCCCATACATGAGAAAACATGATTTTTGTCACAACGGTGGTTGCGTGACGTCACCGAGACGCCTGAGCCGCAAAAGCGGACGGCCTGGACTGGATCGAAGCCGCGACGTCGCTCGCTTCTTGGCGTCGCGACGCTAACGTCATGTTGCCGGCGCACAGGACGAACGAGGATAACAGCCCCTCCTTCGATCTGCCTGAGGTACACAAACCCGGAATCGCAGCTTTTCGCTAAGATTTTGAACCGCACTTCAAGAATCACATCAGTTCTTCAAGTTGAAGCACTATACGAAAAAAGAACTGAACCTACACTACAAGCAATATTATTCCTGATTGGGAAGATCCTCAAAGCTATCGCTCCATAATAAAAGCATGATCTATAATCAGATCTTGCAACTTGTGTAGCTCTACAGTTGTCCACTATGGAGCTGTTCCAAGAATACGGACATCGAAAGTATTCAATGATTTTTAATTACATGGTGAATTATTTTAAAAATAGAACTTATCATGGAAAAATGATCCATAAATATGAAACCCACCAGAGAGCGACTCTGTACTAAGTATTATCCAAGCCGGAAAAACATTATTACAACAATTGGACCAAATATTGGACCATTTAAATGTCGACAACGTCCCTTCGTATGTTCGTAATAGCGATATTCTTACATTCACGATTGACATATCCCTCTGGTTTTTGACGAGACCAAGGAAGTAGCGGTCATGCACGAAGAAAGGCTGCATGGACACCCCAGTGCAGAAGCTTTTCAGCTGATAGACACACCACGTACGAATCTGTGTAGTGTTATGTGTCTAAAGCGGGGCATGCGCTCGAGATTTAGTGCCAGTATTAGTTATACGATAAGATTATCTAAAGAACATTTATGAATTACCTCCAGTGATAAGTATTAGTTTGAAAGAAGACGCGGGAAAATATTGGTTGATGAAATTGATCAGTTTTAATATTCGGGCATCAACGCAACTCTCAAAGCTACATAGCCCCCTCCACATATGTAGACTTGAGCTTTTAATAACGTTTCTGCCACTCCGGTGGTCTTTTTCACCATACAGATCACAGATTTCAGATCAAAAAGGTCACATTGGAAATATATATTACATTTATCTTTATTTTCGTCGCTACTATTGAGTATGTTACAAAAAATCCGGGATCACGCGATTCTTTCATTACACATTTTTATATTTTAATTCCTTTTATCAACAGCTGGATGAATCCTTGTTTCTATCAATGTATTTTTTTTGTTTTATTCATTTTTTGCTTTTTAATATTTATGATGTCAAATGACTAGAACTTGGTAATTTCTACTCGTATATTACTTCCATGTTTTATTAATAGGATACCATAAAACTGCTTACTTTATTCGTATTTGGAAATTTCGATTGATATAATCACATTATGATAAATCGATATTTTGCGGCGATCGCCAAATGGGATTTAAAATAACGTTATTTGTTTATCGTGTTTCTGTCGTTAAGCCTTTTCATTTGAAACCCATATCATAGCGGAGACCACGGGGATTGTAAATCGCCATTCAGCGGTGGCCGCCATATTGGATCTAGAATGACGACACTTTGCTTAGTATGTTCTTTTTCATCAAGCCCTTTCATTTGATACCTAAATAGTATAGGGAAATTATAAATTGATATTTTGCGATGGTCGTTATATTGGATTTGGAATTAGTTTGTTTATTGCGTTTATCACTTCAAACTGTTTTATTTGACTCATATCATAAGGGTGACTGTTACCATAGCAAATTTAGAATGACGGCACTATGCTTAATGTGTGTCTTCCATCAAGCCTTGCCAGGCAAACCAAACGTGTGTACAAAATTTCAGCTCAATTGGTTAAAGTTGACTGATCCAAGATCAAGTTCCAAGATTTGTCCCACACACACACTTAGCATACATAAATACTAACAAACAGGTCAAGTTAAATAAAAGCTTGTAAAATAGCCCTGCACTAACCCAGCTAATTGCAGAACCGCCTTAGTTAGACATTCCCAAAGACATCCAATCTTCCCAAAGCAACAAGCAAGCATGAGGTTATCTGTTGTTTTGGATGTACCAGACCCGTTACACTCTCTCATGGCTCCAAAAATGCCAAGAGACCTGAAAAACTGGAAAACCCACACGGAATTATTGTCGCGACACATCTATTGACTCTTATACAATCTTCGTCTACTAATGCTACATCTGCATTGTTCATATTCCGAAATACCAGAAACGACACATCAAGGAGAGAAAATAATGGAAAACTCAAACCTGCAATTTGAAAATGATCCACAATTGAGTTTTTTTCAAATAGGCTTTTGATGACAATTAACCGATTGTCGTCGGTATATAATGTCTGTCTAAAAACCTACACATTCTTCGCATAAAACATTTTTGTGTGGTTTACTCAATGTGGGCATACATTCCGTTGTATTTTACTTTTTGTACCAATACAACATCACATTCGCTGTTATTACTATATCTAGAGTTATGTAAACGGGCAATAAGTTGTTCGTGCACCAGAAGAAGATGAAGTTATTTTGCTGACGTTTATTGTTAGTGTTCGAAAGTCAAACCATTTGTTTCGTTTTCAGAAAATCTCATTCTACAACTGATTTTGTTGCACATCAACTGGAGGTGTGATGCGACAGCAGTATCACCAGCAAAACTAACGATATCTCATTTTATTGTCTGCCTATAGGTGTCGACTACGTATACGGTGAGGTTCAAATTTGGCTGATGTCGTAATGTGTACGAGAGAGAAGCACGAGAAGTACAATATGTATCTTAGAAAGAGGGCATCGAAAGCAACCGTGACTTCGTACTCGGGTTGCTAGGCAATAAGGTGCGTCTATCTATTTCTCACACGTATTGCACTTTTCTCGCGCTTATCTCACCTACAGATTACGACGTCAGTGGTATTCAACTATTCAGTGTATATTGAAAAGTATAGGTCCAAGCACTGTGCCTCGAGGAACTCCAAACACACACCACTTCCCTACATCCGATCATGTCTTTATCTACATTTAGTAATTGACACCTAACAGGTTATTGTACAGCGTAATAAATTTCTCAATCCGCATTCAATAAAGATCAACCATTTAGATGCAGCCCGATAATTTGTGTTTTTCTTCATAGAGAAAGTTGACGGGTAACTAAAGGGATACTTTTAATAGATACATTTTTATACTTGACAAAAATGGAGGCCAAGCTCGAAAGTCATAGTGCTAAAGAGAGAATAACTTATCTCTAATTTCTATAATGGGAGAGTAGAGATTCACTTCTGCAAAAAAAGTCGATTTCTTGAATAATTTATGGAAATAAAATACATTACAAAGCTTATGGTTGTGAATTCTTATATTAAAAGTTAATAATCTTACGTTAATGTGAGATGTAAAGATTTCATTGTTAGCTAAAAAATAACTGATGGCCTCTGAAACGTATAATCTCAACCTGCAAAATGGTACTTTAGTTTAGACGACAGAGTTTCGCTTATATACGAACAGATATGTGACATGTTCTGTTTATATTTGTCAAATGTCGAAAAATTTGTTAGGTTAAGATTTTCAAAATGTAAATATTATTATTTTGAAAACGTAATCTATTGAATTACACTTTATTTCAGTGCCTGAGTCACACTTTGCCTTATTATAATTAGTTCAATACAGAGTGAATATCCAAAATTAGCTTAGCTACGTGAATAAAAAAGTTCGTCGTTGAAAGGTCTAAAGTTCAAGTTTAAAGATAATTTTTGCAATTTTATAGATCAATTACAAATTAAACACCTCTTTCTTCACCAGTATTTGAGCACAAACATTATAATGTAGTTTGATGTCGCAATTAGCTCTCATTATTCTGGTACTATTATATAGATAATATAACAAAAGATAGCTACTGACCATTGATGATAACTGAAAATCAAGATATCGAATAAAACGAGAATTTTTTAATTAAGCAGACAACAACAAAACAAACATGGATATTTTAGTGAAAATCAATAACCAAACAAATGGCAGGGACAAAGAAGCAAGGTTTGATACATATACTTTTTCAGAAGTTGTGTAGTATCAGTAACACTGTTTGTTCTATCATTTTCAGGCTATTACAATACTTAAGCAGATTGCTTTGGTACAGGTTCCAACAAAGTAATATTAAAGGAGTACAAGGACTGAAGAATATTGAATATCAGCTAAGCACCTTTCGAAAATGTAATTACCACTTTTTACAGTAGTTTTATTACTTCCCTGAAAATGAGATCACAGATAACTTATAGGCAGTTACCATTCAAACTGCAACATTTAAAATTTTCTAGAATATTCTTAAAATACCTACTAAGACAAATGTCACATGATCATTATTTATGATGGAAAATGATATTTATGGACCATGTAGCCAAGATGTCGGTAATTATCCTCTACAATTTTTAATTTACTTCACATGCCCAACCCTTGAATCAATTTAGCATTAACAAAACAATTAGCAGTTGCTCGCCCCAATATTTAGGATTCTGCTTAGGCAATTACCTGAGTATACAAAAATTAGTCTACAGGGAATATTTTTTGATTCCTGATTTTTAAGGACAACAGTTGGTTTTGTGAAAAATGCAGGCCTTTTCCAAACACTGCTTTTCCAGCTCCTCTTTATTATGAATTAATATTTCTACTAATGCAAATTATGCTTTCAGTCCTACGGTTTGGAAGATTTGTGGAAAGTTTATATGCTACACTGCCTTTATTCCATGAAGAAAATGCTGTACTAAGGTAAGAAAACAGTTAAACAGTCTTGTAGATGTTTTTCAAAAACTATGAGGTGAATCAAATATGTTTATTTGGGCGCATATGCTAAGTTATTTCTTATTCTATTACATACACCTTTTGAATAATCTTTTACTTGCAACTAAGCATAGCATATTTCTGTAGTATCTACTTTGTTTTAATTTTTTCAGATACACAATTATTTTGAGCAAGATAGCCAACTCGCTTTTCTTGCTAGCAGATCATTTACTACTCCTTGGAAGAGCTGATTTTTGTCCAACAGACACACAGAAGTGGTCAAGAATATCAAATAAGTATTGGTTGTACTCAATCACAATGAACTTAATGAGAGACTTTTACGAGATATATAATATACTGAATTCTGAAAAGAGAATAATCATGCCAAAGAATGGTCTTAGAAATCTTGAAGACTTTAAAACATTGTTTCTGAGAAGCTTTATGGTGTTGGTGAACCATCAAGATATTTTGATTGATACAGTCAAGAATTGCTGTGATTTTTTCATTCCGTATACAGCATTAGGACATGCAAATTTATCACCTGGTACTGTTGGCCTACTGGGATCCATATCTTCTCTTATGGGGCTTTTAGTTTTAATAAATCCAGAAAATAAATTGATACCCCAGTAGAAGTAAAGTATACTTCTATAATAGTTGTTAACTTAGTCTGTAAGAAGAATTAGCAAGTATTTTAAATTAAGTTATTTAAATATTGAAGGCCAGGTCTATTTTTATAATAAAGTATTTCTTTATAATCATGAGAAAATGTATGCTGTATGTTGAGCACAGACCCTGAAGGGGGATGTTAAGTGCATTCAGCTAATTCAGTGGTACCCTGCTCTTATGCTGGATAGCAGTAGCCATGGGATAGCTTTGCTAGCTTAGCAGCAGTTCCCACTTGGCAATTAGAATAGATAGTTTGTTGGTCAAATGTTGCGAAGTGTCAAAGAGATTCTCCAGCTATTGCTATTCAGCACAAAAACGCTTCACTGACCAGTGCTCTAAGACAGCTGTATGCACTCAAAACACATAAGACCACAAATTACAGAATAATTTATTTTGATAATTTGTGCATAAGACTGAAGAAGTGGGAGCTGCACATAAAACAATGGCAACACAGTTGACGTTTTGTCAGATGGTTGTGCTACCTACTTGCCTGGAGATCTGGAGGAACTATCGAAGGAATGTTGAGAATGTGCTTCTAATAAGGAGTGTGCATTCCCTAGTTATAATCATAACTGTTGTTGGGGACACTTTGAATCTAGTTCTTGTGCTTAACAAAGTATCTTGTGTTGCACTATACCACAAGAATATTAAAATATGTCCATATATAAACTCACTGGATATTGTCCACCTGTATACGGTTTTGCTAATATCTTTTTTCATCGATTTTTCCTATCATTTCTGCTAAATCGGTAAATGTTTTCTTTGACATGCAGAAAAGCTTAGAGAATTGAAAGTTATCATAACTACAAAGCCATGGTTCCATCATTAAAAATTATTTTCTCCCATTAATATTATGAAAGGTTTCCTTTTCAAACTTTCCATTCACTTTTGTAGACGAAAAAGCACCGATTCGAGTAACTGACGTCATGAACCTTAAACCATATTATAACCGCGGTACATAACAGAAATTTTGGTTATTCGCTTCGATTTGGTTTATGCCAATTTGAGTCGTTTTTACTTGTACTGTTTTGATAAAAAAAATTATAATTCAGCATAACCACCAATAGTATGTGTAGACTAAGCTCCAAGTAGAATTTTTTATACTGGTTTATGCTTAATTGAAATGATTCGAAAAGTTACTTGCCATTCCGAATTTCATCAAGCCCATACACAGATCATCTTTCTGACTAAAAGACATGTTTTTTAAGCATTTCCATTAAAAACTAAGTATTTATTTGTCATATGAACCATATGACACTATCCTATAATAACCCATTTCGATAAGAATAAATTTTGAAGATTCGATGTTTGCATTAAACACGACAGATTTGAATAAACAAGATTCGGTTCCAATGAACTTATACGTTATACTCATACTTCTCATAGTAATCAAAGTAACGAATACAATAAATGATTACTTTGTATGGAAGAGTAACGAGTTCTCGAAAGTAACGAGAATCGACACCACTAATAAGGAGTCGATTCGATTGAAGGAAAGTTCGGCAGTATTATGAGTCAGAAAAGTGAAAACAGGGTAACAGCACCACTCACGACCACAATAATAAAACATAACATAAAAATTATGTCAACTTGATTCGTGTTTACTTGTCCCACATTTTACTAAACATTTATAATTCAGTATTACCTCCAACCAATAGTATGGGTAAACTAAGTTCCATGTAGACTTTTTTATACTGGTACATGCTTAAATGAAATTCTTCGAAAAGTTACTTGCCATTCCGAATATCCTTAAGCCCATATACAGATCCTCTTTCTAACGGAAAGACATGATTTTTAAGCATTTCCATTAAATACTAAGTATTTTCAGTTTTTAGGCATATAATGAGTCCTATGACACCCTATCCTATAATAACCTATCTCGTTTTGCATAAGTTTGAAGATACGATGTTTGCATTAAACACGACAGATTTGAATAAGGTATGTTTGAAAAATCTTAAGGTTGTCTGTTTTCTTGCATTGAAGTTGTTCAAATTCGACATTAATTACACGACGCACGTTGCCAAATCGTAATACTCAGACTACTAGAAATCGAAGTAACGTATACAAATAAATGATTACAATTGCAGAAGAGTCACGATTAATAACGAATAGTCGAAAGTAACGAAAATCAACAACACTAATGTGATGTCTATTCTTCAGTGTGAATGATATGTTCCAATTTCCCGACGCGGTTCCCAAAATGCCGAATCAGCAATCGGGACCAGCTCTCTCCCTGCGCTTCTGTCATGTGTAGAGCTGGGGAGCTCATCTACATGAGGATATGAACACCTTTAGAATGGTGTATGTCACATAGGCGTTACATCAGCTGATTATATTATCACCTGCTACAAAATTAACATTTCAAGTGAGAAATAAAAAAATGCCAGACGGATCAAATCAGTCGATAACATACGATTTTTGTCCGTGCTTACGTGAGTATTTAATACATGGAGCTGTCCCTCTATGGCAGGTTTGAACACAGTCAAATGTGTATAATCTTATATTCTATCACAGTTGCGAATTAAAACGACCACCGACAGGTTCGCGGATGAAACCTGTACATTGCAATACGTACTCCCCCTGTATGCAACCTGCAAAATGGTTGGTCATAGTGTATGCTACTTTGCTGTTACGATTTCCTACAGCCTATATCGATATCTTCTCTACTCCATCCAGCAAAATGTCAGCTTGACACTGACAACGTCAATTTTACACGTTTACTGGCGAAAGACGTAAACACCACGAAAAATAATTACGAAAAATATCAATCTAGACGTCCCTGAAAATGGTTTTCTTATAAAATAAAGTGCATAAATTATGAAATACTAAAATATTCTAGGTATCTAAATAGTAATAATACTACCATTTCACGGAAAAAAATATTTAATAACGGTGAAAGTGCAAGTTGATGTGAGGTGATAACGCAAATCAACAATATTAAAAATAGTCTTATTTGGTACGTCATAATGTATTGTCCTTGCCAAGAGCAGTTGCAGGTTGTACGTATTTAGTCAAAATAACAATAATATTGTTCTTCTTGTTATTCTATTCGTATGGGTGTAACTAGGTGTATCTACAGACTGTGATCATTGTAAAAACAACATGTCTTTATTTTGCCAAACCTAGCTCAAATATTTAACTGTCTTTGGAAGCCTGGTCAGTTTATGACTACCTGGTAACCCCTACTTGGTCAAAACATCTGCCTTCAAATAGCCAAGATGTGTACAAATTCCATCATGTTTACTGCATTGCCCCCTCTTTGTAAACAATTGAAGTCATGAATATAACTTGATAAATCAATCACTTAATTTGCCTAAACACTTCTGATATCTCTTTGTATTGTGCACTTATTGTTGTGGTTTGCTAGCTGTTACCCTAATAGTATTTATTGTATCTTATTGTAAATTTGTTACTCAAAGTAGGGCCTCCAAATTATATGGCATATAAATTCATCAAAATTTAGGCAGTGATCCAAAAAACAAAAGTAAATAAACACATTTTTAATTGTAAATATCTTGAAAATTATGTAACTAGTTTTTACTATCAGTATGTTTATATCCAGGATTTATGCAGGATGATCTAAGATTTAACATTCCTGATATACAGGATCATCCCCTTGACAGGAAGAGTCAATCCTTCAAATAAGTAGGATTGGATTAAGATTTGGAATTATATTTACCAATATAAACACTTTAATCTGATTCTAGAAATTTTATGGGCAACCTCACACAAAAGCAAATGTCACTTGTCAAGGATTGAAAGTTGATGATCCTAGACTCAACTATGATATATATGCCTCATACTTGAGATTATCTAAATCCTAAATAAATCTTAATCCTATTCAGTATAAATGTATTGTATATATATATAATGATATATATATATATATATATATATATATATATATATATATATATCATTTTTGTATGTTTTTAATATCTGACAAAAAAGTTAATCGAGGTTCTATTCTATATTGCTTTTATCCTTTGGTGGTATCCTAACTATACCTGTAAGATTATGAAAATTGTTCTAAATTAAGTTATTTAGAATACAGATTTGTTTTGTGATTATATTTAGGTAGTTATATCCTTCCAGATGAATGTAACCAAATGTATCTCATAATATTACTTTAATATGTACCTTTTTCCAGTTAAATATAATGTATTATTAATTTTCTGTAAATTCTAAAGTTTATTCATTTTTTAGGTTGTTAGTTTATAAAACATAGAAGGAAATATATAGATAATAAATAATATACAGCCATGTCATCAGTAAGATGCAGTTTAAATACAGCTGTCAAATATGCCAATATAGTACCAAGATCTTCAAAGCTACAACATGGTAAGTTTGATTGTTATATCATATTAAGCTTTATCTATTGCTATTGAATAACAGTTTTAATAATGAGGTTGTGTAATAGTTAAGACATCCTGACACAATTTATATGCTACACTCATTAATCATATCAAATAAAATGATCTCTTTAATGGCAGTGAAACTTTTATATTGGCATTGACCTACATTATTTTTATTGCAATATAGCATCTGCCAAGGTAATATTATCCATGTAGATCCACTTTATAATGCCAAGGCTAGGTAGTACTGTTAGTGAGGGAAAAATAGTTTATGAAGTATAAGTATTTTTGTATTCATATTCAATTTTTTCTGCTCATTAACCTATGACTTTTTCGTAAATACATTGTGTTTAGCACTTCAAGTACATTGAAATTTTTGTGACCTTCATGTCATCTGTCTTGAGTTACAAATTTCAAGCTATTTTTATTCTTATTATTTCACTGTATAAAAAATAATCAAATATTCATAAATCATGTAATGCTACACCAGCATAACATAAATTAGGTATTTTAAGGGAACATTATTTGGCTGCAAAATATATTTATTGTAGGAATTTTGGCAGCAGTGTATGCGAAACCACATAATCGTGTAAATAGCAGTAGGCAACAAGGCATTGCCACTAGTGTTGTTGTTTTTAAAGCAGTTGGTGCTGGAGAACCACCTGCAGGTAAGAGATAAAGATGAACATTATTTTCTGTTTTATTGAAAACAATGAACATGATATTCAAAAATTCTTGAGAAGACATTTTTCCCAGAACTCTCTCAAGTATTATAACAATGGATTATTATTACAGAGAATAACATTGTTTAGTAGATGAGTCTTCATATATAACATATAACTTATTATTTTAGGTCCTACTAACTCTGATGGGAATAGCACAACTTCAAATCAACCCCCACCACCACCACCTGGCAAAGATGGTGGTAATGGAAAGGGTAAAGGTACTACATTATCTTGCCCTAAATGCGGAGACCCTTGCACACATGTAGAAACATTTGTCAGCAGTACTAGGTATATTTATTTGTGTAGCTATGCAGGTCTGTAAATGTTGCATATGAACAAATTGATGACTTTTGATACAGTGAATTGCTTCCTGAAATGTGAATTATTTTTGAATGAATCAAAAACTGTTGCCTCAAGTTTGCCTTCTGTTTTCACTGAAATGACTTGCTGGCATTATTTAATAAAATTGACACTAGTTTTTAAGAGTTGTTTTTCAGATTTGTGAAATGCGAAAAATGTCACCACTTTTTCGTCGTACTTAGCGAAGTAGATAGTAAAAAGAAAGAAGGAGTTGATGCTAAAAATGGCACATACAGGAAACCACCACCACCACCCAAAAAAATCTATGATTATTTAAATAAACATGTTGTTGGTCAAGAGTATGCAAAAAAGGTGAGCAAATATGTCACAGATATATTTCCTCTTACATTACCTGAGAGATTGCACTCTATCCATTTATGAGTCTTTTAATTCTATTGAATTTAAGATATATTTTATCTTTTCTAAATTATCACCTCAATAAAACCTATTAATGTTCTTAAAAGGATTTTTTGTATTTTCCAGGTTCTCTCTGTGGCTGTCTATAATCATTACAAAAGGATTTATAATAATATGCCCCAACAAAATCCTAACATTAGACAAGATAACATGGCTGTCATGGAACAGGGTCCCCATAATATCACTCATAGAGGTAAGTATAATATAACGAATCTATTTCAGAGGTTCTCAAAATGACTTCCTATACTCTACTTTGAGAATCAATTATGTTTCTAGCACCCTCAAAATAACCCCCCAAAAATAACCAAAGCCTCCATTGCAGTTTTATCAGTAAAGTATAAATCAGCATCTTATATTAATTCCCATTTTTGCTTTCATGATCTCTAATCTCTGGAAATGTATTTGACTATTATTTTTCTTTTCAGATCAGTTTCACATAACTGGTCTCGGCAACGCTAATATGAATTTCTTTGGTGCACCATTCGACAATGTGGCAGGTAGCACAACTAGATCTCAAGCAGCAACAGGTTCAGATATTTTGGAAAGAACCACTCATGATCTAAAGCTAGAGAAGAGTAATATCCTGCTATTAGGACCTACTGGATCTGGTAAGGAAATATTAAAATGTAAAATATCATTCACTTTCTAAAATAATAGATACCAGTGTATTTTACCATTGCACTATGGTTTATAAATGGATCCAAAGCACATATGTGTCATTTCGTAGCACACAGAGATAATTGAATGTAAAAAATTCAGAAAGTTTGTAGCAATGTGAACTATGCAGTGGTTTTTATTTCATGTCATAATTTTAATTAAGACGTACATTTTTCTGTTTAGGTAAAACTCTCCTAGCTCAAACTATAGCACAATGTCTAGATGTTCCTTTTGCGATTTGTGATTGTACTACACTGACCCAGGCTGGATATGTGGGAGAAGACATAGAAAGTGTTATAGGAAAATTGCTTCAAGATGCAGGGTGAGATTTTATTTTTGATTATCATTGCAAAAGGAAGGAATTGTAATGTTTTTTTTCACGTCCATAGGTATAGTGTCGACAGAGCCCAAGTAGGGATTGTTTTTCTGGATGAGGTGGACAAAATTGGTGCAGTGCCTGGAATACACCAACTCAGAGACGTTGGGGGTGAGTAAATTAATTTGGAGCACCCTTTTCATCCAATGTTATTAGTATCTTTAGTAATGACCAACAAATTTAAACTAGGTAAAAGGAGCAAGCAAGCATTTGTTTGTCTCCAAAATTTCAGTCAGGATAAAAGTACACACTACAAGTGTTTGTATTTGTAGTGTTATTTCTTGAAACTGCGAGTGTTTGCAGATAATTATGGTATTAAGACGATTTCAGAACATTACTTCTTACTTAATTTACAAAAGGCAGCACATACCTAATGGAGATAGATTCTTTCCGCCAATAATATTATGTTGATACAATGCTGTCTCTGGTAGGCAATGGTAGTCAAATAAATCAAAAGTATGCCTTAAAACTGCGCGATTTTTGCGAAAAACTGTGCAATGTAAACATATAGGTTCCTTCTAATCTATACGAATCCATTGGTAGTGAAGTTTCAGTTTTGGCCAAAAAAGAGGTTTTGGCTGAAGTTTTGGTTTCGGCGACAAATCGGCCGAACCTTTCCGTTTGGCTGAAATGTACCTTCGCGAACTATCTGGTTACATTCTGCTGTACTCGAACGTTTGTATACAACACCTTACAATTGGATTTTATGAAGTGAAATAGAGATTTCACTACCAACATGAGAAATTATCATTATTGTTTGCAATGCGCCATTGAACAGTAGCTTTTCTCTCCCTAGGTAAATAATGATAACAAAAGACACCTAGGTGAATAATGAATGTCATTTTAAATTAAATTTTGTTAATATCATTGTCATTTCGATAACTAAACTGTATAATATGAAATAATTGAATACAAGTGATATATGGTTGATGTTAGGTATAGGTAGCTATCTTTCTTAAATACCTCTGTAGTAGTTGGTGTAATGGGTAGGTGAAGCCAAGCAAGTAGCTTACTTTTGGCCATTCTCAAGTGTACCAACACTCTATTCCACATGTTAGTTCACTGAACTGTCGTCGAGCATTATTGACCTCCTAATAGAGCTCAGGATGTCCGACCATCCCCCTGAGTAAGCAACTTCATCAACAAATTCCATGGCTCTGAATATGGAATGCTGTTTTTCTTCAGAAAAATTTAATATTCCCATATTTTCTCCCTATCAACTTACTTTTTCAGTTTTTTGAATAGTTCATACAGGGTGGTCAAGAACGCAAAACGACTTCCCACAATTTTCAAACGGAACACCTCTGTATTTTCACACATTTCACATTTTCAATTCTCCTTTCCACAAGGTTTTTTTATATAAGCGGTTTGTATGACTAGTTTATGAGTTACAAAAAACCCATTTGTAAGCTAGGTATCAGGGTAAATCAAAATTATTACAATACATTTGTAAAAGCATATAGTTAGAAATGGTGTATTTTCATCATAAATTTAATTTACCCAACCTTATTCAATAAAGCAGAAAAGTAAAAAAAGCATCCCTGTGTTTTTAGTAACTCAAAAACCAAACGTAAAAATCCACATCAACCTTGAGTGTTTTTTTTTTCGATAGATTGTCCAATATGTCAACAATTTCAAAACAAAACCCCATATGTTCTATCATATTGCTTGATTTGAAAGGGCCTACCATAATCTGCAATAAAATATAGGGCATTTCATTTAAGAAAATGTATGTTTGGTCACCATATAGTTACGAATCACCCTTTAGAGACAAATATATTTCACAAGTCAGGAGCATGCTGTTGGCTACAATTTTTGTGTTCAATTTTTTTTATATATCATGCGTAATAACCGAGTTTTCGACCGAGCCCACACTAAAAACTCACCCTGTATGTAATGTATCACGTAACCAAATAAGTTCTTGCTGTTTTTAGTAGAAAAATATAAATTTTTATTAAGAAACAATAAGACACTTTATTCGTCGAAGTAATTACCATCACCTTGTGCCAACGTGGAACCAATTTTTGTATGCCGGTATTCTAGAACTCCCTGGATTTGGAGTAAAAAAATTGGCGGACTGTATTTATTACACCATCTCGAGTTGTGAACTGTCGGTGCCTCATACAGTTGTCAAGAGACAAAAAAGGTGATAATCACTGGGCGAAATGTCGGGAGAATATGGCGGGTACGGCAACATTTCCCAGCCGAGTTCAGAAATTTTTTCTCGGGTCACTTTTGCTGTATGAGGCTTGGCGTCATCCTGCAGAAATATCACTTTCTTCCGATTGATCAAAGAAGGCTGTTTCTGGATGAGTGCTGTTGTACTCGTTGAAGCTGCTCACAATACAAGTGGTTTGACCCCATTCCAAAAACTGATAATGGACAATTCCAGTTGCTGTCCAGCAAACACACAACAAAACCTTGTTTGGGTGCAAGGAAGCCTTGGGCGTGTGTGGTACCGAATCAGTAGGCGACAACCAATGATACGAACGTTTAGAATTCGAATACAAGATCCATTTTTCGTCGCAGGTTAATAACAGATTAAGAAATGGTTTATTAGCGTTGCGTGAAATGTTCTGCTTGTTCTTGGCACGTTCTCCTGGAATTTGCGTCCACACCCTGTCGAAGATCCTCGTTGTTCATGATTTTTGGTCTCCCTGAGCGCGGTTCATCGCTCAAACTGAGATCTCCCAAAGAAAATTTTTTGAACCACTTCTGTGCTGTTCGAACACTAACGGCATCATCTCCGAATGCGGTATATATGTATTTTTCGCGCCGCCGCTGCAGCTTTTGTACCAAGTTTGTACTCATACAGTAAACAACTTCGAATCACTGTTTTATTCGTCGCCATTTTCAATTATTAAAACTTGGTATGTAACAATTTTCAGCAACTTTTTATGTGAGTCAGGTAACAATCGCTATCGATCAACAACATCCATGGCAATGTGCGATATACAGCAACCGCACGAACTTATTTGGTTTCCTGATACTTTTTTGTGCCCTTATAACTCTGTAGACCGTCAAATTCCAGGGAATTCTCTACATTTTCATAAGTTTAAAAAGTTTTGGTTTTGGCCGAAATTACGATAGAACCCCAATTTTCGTTTTCCGCTGAAAATCCAGTTTCGGTCGGTCGCTAATCATACAAAAAAGGTTTCCTGATGTGTGCATGTGATGTGTGTTTGGATGAAGAAATATTAAATTTCTTTGACTGTTTTTGGCAGAATGCATGAAATTAAAAACTAAATGTTTATAATGTTTCTAGGTGAAGGAGTGCAACAAGGCATGTTGAAGATGTTAGAAGGGACTGTAGTTAATGTGCCAGAGCGAAATTCTCCAAGAAAGCTTAGAGGGGAAACTATCCAAGTTGATACTACGAATATTTTGTTTGTTGCTAGCGGAGCATATAATGGATTAGAAAGATTGATACAGCGGAGAAACAATGAGAATGTAAGCTTTTTTTATACAGTGTGGATGCATACTGGGTGTTTCAAACTAGACTCTCACCTTTAGCATATCAGAAACGTTTACAGATGCGACGTCGGTTAAATAGGGGTGAAGTTGGGTATTTAGAAAGAGAACTTGGAAAGTTTCGCGGAGTTTTCCCAGAATTATTTTTATTTTAGGATTTGAAAATAACATTGCAAAATTTTCTTCCCAAGCAGGTGACATAATTAGAATTTCAAAATGACGATTCGTCGGTTGACCTCAATCATTCCTATCAATTATTCCTAATGGACGCCATATTAAATTTCTTCTACGGGTGAATAGTATTTAATTCTGATTCCAAAAATGTATAATGAGAATCATACATTGACATCGTCAAACCCAAGTTATCTCTAAAAATAGTTTAAAATAACAGTTCATCAAATGTGTGTTTATTCAGTATTTAGGCTTTGGAGTACCATCATCTGCTGGCAAAGGCAGAAGAGCAGTAGCTCAGGAGGCAACACAGCATTCTTCTACACAGTCTGCTGCAGAAGAAAATGCTGAGAAAGATGCAGCTTTGAGGCAAGTACAAGCGAGAGATCTAATCGATTTTGGAATGATACCAGTAAGTAAACCACAGCAATATATTTATTATGAATGGTATTACTTTTGCATTATCTCTTATAGGAATTTGTAGGTAGATTCCCTGTTTTGGTGCCCTTCCACTCACTAGATCGAGAAGCTCTTGTTAGGATCCTTACAGAACCCAAAAATGCTTTAGTTCCTCAGTATCGCCGACTTTTGGCAATGGACAGGTAATTTGCCCATTTTTTTTTTGTTACTTCAATATGCTCTACTACAGCTGTAATTAATAAAAAAATCAAGCCAAAACGTAATCAGTATGACATAAGTTAATATTGGTTCAGTCTCAGGCATTTAGTAAATCTTCTCTAAGCTGGCAAAACAGGAATCTTAGTTGAAGATGAAAATTGAGCAGCAAGAATTATAAAATAATAATTGTTTTATCAGGTGTGAGCTGAGCTTTACAGATGAAGCACTTGATGCGATTGCCCAGTTGGCAATGGAGAGAAAAACAGGGGCTAGAGGCTTGAGAGCTATTATGGTAAGTTAGGCAAAAATTATATTTTTTGGACTTAAACTTGGATGGATTTTGCGCAAGTTCTCATGCTATCACTCATTTTTCATTCATTATATGACCAATGATTACTATATTTCCTGTATTATCTAGCTTAAAAAATTCAAATTAATTTTAATCTTTAATGTAATTTATCTCATCTCAAGCGAAAATCAAAAGTTCGCCAACTTTGAGAAACATACAAGGTTAAAAATCGTATTAAAATATACTAATCTCAAAATACTCTTCGGAGTCTTATGGAACAAGGCTTGCACTTCAATTTAGATACTTGGCAACTTCAAAGATTGTAGTTTTTAACCATTTTTAGGGCTTTTAGACTATCGCTTATAAGTCAAAAGCTTTAGAGAAAAGTTACTGGAGACTTTTTTATTCAGAAAACCTGAAAAATTGTCTAAAATAAAAACATTGTAATTTATTTAAAAAAATTGACCTGGTTACCGTGCGGTAGATCAAATGCTTAAAAACTCGATTAAATATGATGATCTTTGAGATAGCTAAATATCTAAATTGAAGTTAAACCTTGCTCTAAAAGACCCTGGAGAGTATTTTATAGCGATTTTTTACCTTATTAGGGCAAAACTGTTTTAATTTCTGTTTATTGTGAAATTAATTGTTATTCTACTTGAAGAAGGCCCTAGGGGGTTACCGAAATGTCACACAATAAACACTATATTTTTCGGACTTATTGTGTAAATTATGGATTTTGTGCAAGTTCTCATGCTGTCACTCATTTTTCATTCATTATATGAAGAATGAATACTATATTTCCCGTAGTATCTTGTTAAAAATGATAAAATACATCAGTTTTCAAATTAATTTTCATTTCCAATGTTTTTTATCTCACCTCAAGCGAGACTCAAAAGTTCGCCAACTTTGGAAAACAGACAAGGTTAAAAATCGTAGTAAAATATATTAATCTCAAAATACTCTTCGGAGTCTTTTGCAACAATTTAGATACTTGGCAACCTCAAAGATTGTTTTTAGCCATTTTGAGGGCTTTTAGACAAAATCGTTTATAAGTCCAAAGCTTTAGAGAAAAGTTACTGGATGCCTTTTTTATTCAGAGTGATTCAGAAAACCTGAAAAATCATCCAGAATAAAAACATTGTAATTTACTTATAAAAATTATTTGAAAAAATGGGCTGGTTACCGTGCGGTAGTTCAAATATATAATAAAATCTCGGTTAAAAATGATGATGTTTGAGATAGCTAAATACCTAAATTAAAGTTAAAACCTTGCTCAACTAGACCCAGAAGAGTATTTTAAAGCGATTTTTTACCTTGTTAGGCCAAAACTGGCATCAGTTGTCTCAGACTGTACTTGATATAGTTGTAGTCACCGTTCTTGGCGGTTACGTCATCAACGCCATATGAAATCAGTAAACAGAGGTCGTGATATGTGGTCCTGAACTTCTCATATCCTCTAAAGTATTCCTAATTTCTGTTTTGACGGCGTCACTTACATCATCGGTCTTGCATGTTTTGATTTTGTAAGTTTCCCCAGGCGTAACTATGGGCAAACCTTCTTATTTTCTGATTTTATTCGCTGAACACTGCGTTTCCTATGAACATGAAAACCGCAGGATACATATAGCTTGATTTCGCCTAGTAAACTTTGTAAGGGTCAATTAAAAATCAAGATAAACATAAATCTAATTATCTTTGTAGGAGTCATTACTGCTTGAGCCTATGTTTGAGATACCTGGCTCTACAATATCAGAGGTGCAAGTAACAGAAGAATATGTTCGAGGGCAATCTGGTCCAGCATATGTCAACAACAATGTTGATGATTCGACCACCTCAGGCAGTACTGAAGCTACTGACGAGGAGGAAATTGGTACGTCTATAAGAGTAAAACAATGAGATCAGGAGGAAAATCATCAGTAAGTGTTCTCTGCCTATATATGAGTATGTTACAAATGCGTTTTACCACCAATATTTGACATATTTGGTGAGAAAAAAATGTATTAGAGGTATTTAAGTTTTCCTTAATTGATGTACGTTTTATGTGGTCTAAAACTTGTAACCGGGTTTAATCACCCTATCTCAAATGTGACATGCATGGAACGTATGCATATTAATTACAACTATACCGCAAAATTAATATGGGAAGTTTTATTATGAACTTGAACGATTTGTCCCGTTATTTTCAGGTGGTCTATTTAGTGTATCGACTGAAACGAGCGAAGTAAACGTAAGAGTACGGTCGTCACTATTATCTACGTAAATAATTCTATTATTTAGTTATAAACATGAAATATAATTATTGTAAATAATAAAAATAAGGTTTGTGTTATATTTTAGACAAATGAACATATTGTTAGGTGGAAATATATAAGTATTTTTTTTATTGTTTGGTCTATTACCTCATGATCCTTAACACGACAGAATATGACATAATAAAATTACAGAGTCAGATAACAATAACAAGTTACAATATAAAAGATGAACAAAAACAACAATATTAAAATATAAAAGTCATTCATCGACTAATTTTATTATCATTATTTAATACAACAAATACCTGACCCAATTCATCATAAGTATATGTTCTCTTGAGAAATGGATCCAATAATTTTATCCCAGAGATTGTTCTCAATCCTGGAATGAGTGGAATGCATTTGAACTCTAAAATCCTGTGTGATAATGGCTGTAGAGTGTCAAGTTTTCTACCTGATATGTCACACCAGGCTAATCCTTCAACATTCTCTAGATATATTAACAAATCTACAGCTCTTTCACTGGAATAAATGCAAAATAATTGGTTGTAAATATAGACACTACACAGTCCTTGAATTCAGAATGTGATCATCACTTAGTTTGCATAGAATACAAGTCTTGTCACATTGGAACTGCCAGTTTCCTGCATTTGTGAGTGACCTTACCTATTGTTAATCAACTTGCACTTGAAAGAGAATAGATCTTCAAGAACCACAAAATTTGGTAACTCTATTACCGACATTCTGATGTCTCCATAATCAGGACTCTGTAATTAAATTATTATTACTACAACTGCTATCACTAATATATTGAGGAAAAAACTGGGTTCAATTACATCTCAAAATATTTAAATAGGATTTCAAGTATTTATTGAACTCACCATCCTTTGCAATTGGCTTGTCTGTAATCTGCCTTTTTCACCTAGATTTGACCTCCATACTATATCCAATTTTCCTATATTTGTTGCACCGCTCAACAATTTCAAATCTGATGATAGTTTCTCATTAGGTACCAAACAGTACAAAAACTGACACACTGCTTGTGGTTGAAGAATCGTCGTTTTTCCAAAAATACTTTTTCCATTTTTGGTAGTATTTAGGGATGTAACTGTGAAAAAAGAATTGCAGACAGTGCAGCTTATTGCAAAATCTAATTTTACAACATAATGTAAAAATTGTTTCCTTACCATTAAACAATTGTGAGGCATCCAGTGCTACTTTTTCTAAACATATTGGCCCCACAGTTATATTTTGAACTTGAGCTTCTAAATAAACATCATCATTTTCAGCATTATAAAACTTAGTCTTCACATCTAAAGGTTTCAAAACCATAATTTTGAAGAACTTTCTGAATGACATAACTTGAGATGTTGCCGTCTGATATGTAACTTCACAGATGAGTCTACAAGTAAAATGATCATCATATTCTGACAATATTTTTTCTGGCAAAGCCTACATGTGTGTACCAATCTCTTTAACCTCATGATGTATGACAATATTCACAGTTTCATCAGTTCCTAGAGTAGGTGTGGGAGGGTTAGCAGATAGTGGCAGCCTTTGAGAGCTAGTTTGTAGGTCCACCTAAAAATCAACTCTTGATTATGAAAGGGAACAAATCGTCGGTGGTACTGCAGTATCGCATATCAAACGGTGGCTCAAATCATGTAACTACAAAAGAAGCAAAATACCAATTCATCGTACCGTGAGATCAGATGAGCGAATCAATCGATAAAAATGATTCAAGACAAAAGCGCGAGAGGAACTGTCACACGAATACTGTTCTAATACTGCGTATCTGTCTAAACTGGAAATTTGCTTATGTCTAACTCATCCCAAAAACAGGATCCAAGACCGACCCTTACAACTACAGCTCGGCTCTCTGTTATGAGTAAGGTGATATAGAGTTACATAAAAATCGGGAGCTTCTGGAGAACCTCGAACATCACGGCTTGAATTACCAGCAGGCAGTATGGTTTCCGGCTACAGCAATCCACAGGAGACCTCCTAGCTTACGTCACGCAATTGTGGAGTAAACTCATCCAGACTTGTGGTGAGGCTCATGTTGTTGCTCTTTGTAGTATATTGAATGAATAAAAGATCTATTCCCCCGCTGGGTGAACGACGGAGACGGAGTTGCCGTCTTATCAGCGAGAGTCGGTCGAGCACACCCGCCGGGAGAAGGTCGTACCGAGATATCTGTGTATCATTGTGTGACTGGAAACGAACGTAAATAATATTATTTACACGACACTACATATTGGCGACGAGGACAAAAGGTATGTGGGTACATTTACTCCTCAATTAAAGTATTGATCAAGGTACTTAAGATTAAGTGTCAAAACACGTAGAAAATGCAGAAAAGATAAACTGCGAGTGAAAAAAAAAGTTGTTTTGATAATCTATGAATATGACACAGCACTAAACAAAGAATAACTTTCATGAATATGATACATGGAAGAAGTAACCATGAATATGATACATAGGTTGCATAAAGTATAATTTTGATGGATCAGTGATTATGAATATGATACATAACACTGTATAACTGGTGAATAAGAAACACCAAAGTCAAGACGAACGACCTCGATGAATAGGACACATCGAACGTTGAATGTATATGTATGTGTTGGGCTACTTTGATGAATAAGATACATCAAGGCATGAATATGAATATGATACATAACACTGCGTAGCTTTGCTCAATGTGACACATATATGAACAAAGAATGAATTTGACTTATAAGATCCATCAATCCTAAAATGTATATGCATACAATGTGAGTTTTGTTTACACAAAAGTAGCAATTACATTTAATTTCAGGACATCATGTCAACATTAAACTCGTTGGAGCCTTTTGACTGCGATGGACAAGTTTGCTCGGTAGCTGTCAGATGGCAAAAGTGGAAAAGAGCACTAGAAGTGTATCTAGAAGCAGCTAACATCGACAGCCCCGCTAAGAAGAGAGCAAATTTGCTACACATTGGTGGGCTAGGGTTACAAGAAATATATTACAACCTACCTGGAGCTCATATTTCTGAACAAACCGAAGACGTTGAAAATCCAGTGAATGTCTACGAGATAGCTATAAGAAAGCTAGATGAATATTTCGCACCAAAACAAAGAAAGGTGTACGAAAGACATGTTTTTCGGCTAATAAAACAGGAGATGGATGAAAAGTTCGAAAACTTCCTTGTGCGGCTGAGAAATCAGGCAGAGAAATGCGTATTTAGCAACACCGAAGAAAACATTATAGACCAAATCGTTGAAAAATGCAGCCCATCTGACCTTCGGAAGAAAATATTAACAATTGGAGACACCACCTCATTAGAAAACATTGTTGCTGAAGCAAATGCATTGGAAGCAGTATCAAGACAAATGGAAGAATTTGCTGAAAAGAAAACAGGCATTGAAGTGAACCAAATAAACAATAATACTAAAAAAAAAATTTAGAGCCTCAGAGATAAAATCATGTTTTCGTTGTGGCTCAAAGGGCCACATTTCTTTTAACTGTCCAGCAAGAGAGAAAATTTGCAAGAAATGCAGCTACAAAGGACACGTCAGCAAGCAGTGCAGAACTAAGCCGGGGAAAAGAACACACTATGAGAGCATAACGGTCAAGAAATCAAGATACAGAGAGCCAGACAAGGACGACGACGATCACAACACAAACTATGTGTTCCACATTGACAATGATTGTGACATATTATGTATGATTGGAGGTATACCAGTTCAGATGGTAATCGATTCTGGTAGCAAGTGTAACATATTAAATTACGAAACATGGACGTACCTAAAGAATTCGCAGGTATCGGTGTCAAATCAAATAAAACGACCCAAGAAAATTCCCATGGCTTATGCTAGCAAAGAACCGTTAACCATTCTTGGGTGTTTTGATGCTGAGATTAAGGTAAGCGAGTTTGTAACTCGGACGAATTTTTACGTAGTACAAAATGGTACGAGAAACCTTTTAGGAAAAGATACAGCGAAGTCTTTAGGTGTCCTACGGACTTGGAATTTCTGCTCAATCAGAGGTTAATGCCATATCTGCTTTTCCCAAGTTTAAAAATGTTGCAGTCGATATTCCCAATGATCAGAGCATAAAACCAGTGATTCAGCCATATCGCAGGATACCAATCCCCCTGGAAACCAGAGTGCTTAAAAAAATTGAGGAAATGGTAAATTCAGACATAATTGAACCAGTAGATGGCCCTTCCAGATGGGTATCACCTATGCTACCTATTCTAAAACCAGATGGGGAAGTTAGACTTTGTATCGATATGAGAAGAGCAAATATGGCGATACTAAGAGAAAATCATCCATTACCAACAATGGATCAGATGATGCCAAACTTCAGAAAAGCAAGACTTGTATCAAGGCTGGACGTAAAAAATGCTTTCCATCAAATCGAAATTAGCGAAGCATCGAGACCTATTACTACATTTATATCCAGCAAAGGTCTTTTCAGATATAAGCGTTTAATGTTTGGTATTTCGTGTGCCCCAGAAATTTTCCAAAAAATAATGGAACGCATTCTGACTCGCTGCGAAGGAACTGTAAATTTTATAGACGACATAGTCGTATACGGCGAAAACGAACTGGAACATAATAGAAGATTGAAATTTACACTCAATATTTTGAAAGAAGACAATGTCCTTCTCAATGAGAATAAATGTGTTTACAATATCGCTGTCATAAAATTTCTGGGACACGAACTATCAAGACAAGGCATCAAGCCGCTTGATAAATACATATCGGTAATCAAAACTTTCCGATACCCGGAATCTGGACGAGTTGAGTTTTCTAGGACTTGTTAATTATATAGGTAAATGGATCGCTAATTTAGCGTCTATGACAGAGCCTCTAAGGAAATTATTGCGACTAAAATTAGCAAAACATGCAAATATATCCAAATATTTTAAGGATGAACAAAAATGCAGTTTTAACCTGTTGAAAGAATGCTTGTGTAAAATTAAATCGTTAGGATACTATGACCCTAAAGACAGGACTCAGGTTATAGCCGATGCAAGTCCTGTAGGGCTGGGGGCTGTCCTAATACAGTACGATTCAGAAGGGCCAAGGGTAATTGCTTATGGGAATAAAAGCTTGTCTGATTGTGAAAAAAGATATTGTCAAACAGAGAAAGAAGCCCTGGCATTGGTCTGGGCAGTTGAACATTTCCATATATATCTATATGGAAAGGACAAGTTCGAGTTGGTTACAGATCATAAACCGCTCGAAGTAATTTTTAGTATAAAATCAATACCTTGTGCCCGAATAGAGCGTTGGGTTTTGAGGCTACAGTCGTACAACTTTGTAGTTATATATCGTCCAGGTAAAAGCAATATTGCCGATCCCCTCTCCAGGCTTTGTAAATTAGCACCAAAAGAAAATTCTTTTGATGAGGGGGAGCATATCCATCAAATTGTAGAATATTCACGACCCATCGTATTATCATTATCACAAATCAAAGAAAAATCCAACACCGACGAAGAAATTCGCAAGGTTTACAAAATGATTTACTCAAACGAATTCGATGAAAAAACGAAACCCTTCCAAGCATTCATACCAGAGTTGTGTTTCTTTGACAACATCCTTCTGAGAGGAACCAGAATAGTGATTCCTGCTGATTTAAGACTTGCAGTTCTTCAAGCAGCCCACGAAGGCCATCCCGGAATAGTGGGAATGAAGAACCGTTTACGTACTAAAGTTTGGTGGCCTAAAATGGACACAGATGCAGAGAAGTTCGTAAGAGCCTCTAAAGGGTGTACGTTGGTATCTATACCAAATGCGCCCACCCTAATGAAGCGACGTGAACTACCTACAGAATCATGGATTGATGTGGCGGTAGACTTCCTAGGCCCTCTACCGAGTGGCCATTATCTATTTGTGGTCATCGACTACTTTAGTCGTTATAAAGAAATAAAAGTTATGAAGTCCATAACAGCATCTAATACAGTTAGCTGCCTCAAAGAAATCTTCTCTAGGCTAGGTTTCCCAGTTTCGATTACAGCAGATAATGGGAAGCAATTTATTTGTGAGGAAATCACACAATTCTGTAAGGATGCAGGAATTAAGGTATATAACACGATACCATACTGGCCCCAGCAGAATGGACAAGTCGAGCGACAGAATAGAGACATTTTAAAAAGGCTCAAAATCAGTCGAATACAGAAAACAGACTGGAAGCAGGACCTGTTGGATTACCTAATGATGTATAACGCAACACCACATACAACAACAGGAAAACCGCCAGCAGAACTTTTCTTTAGGAGGCAATTCCGAGACAAAATACCAGCAATTCCAACTTTGAACAGTTCTATCGTAGACGAAGAAACTCGAGACAATGATTTGATGAACAAATTTTGGGGCAAGAAATACAGCGACGCCAAAAGAAAAGCAAAAGCGGATGACATCCGAATAGGACGTAAAAAGACGTAAAAAATACAGTAAAGGAAAATAAGTTGGTACCAAATTTCAACTCAACCCCTCATACGGTGGTAAAGAAAAATGGTAGTGACGTCCAAGTAGAAAACGACGAAACTGACCAGCAATACAGACGTAATGTCGTCCATTTAAAAAAGACAGAGGGGCAATGGAAAGTAATAAACACTGCAGGGGATGAGGAAACTTCACTTGAACAAAATAATGAACACCATACTTAAGTCGTAACATTTCACACAGGCCATTAAATAAGAGTATATATTTTCAGCTAGGTATTAAGTTGTTATTGTTAGTTAGTAGGTAGTACTTTAGTTTGTTAAATGCATTCAAACAATATAGGGCAGTTATAACTGATTTGTTACTATATATGTAAAATAATGTAAACAAAGAAGGGATGTAGTATATTGAATGAATAAAAGATCTATTCCCCCGCTGGGTGAACGACGGAGACGGAGTTGCCGTCTTATCAGCGAGAGAGTCGGTCGAGCACACCCGCCGGGAGAAGGTCGTACCGAGATATCTGTGTATCATTGTGTGACTGGAAACGAACGTAAATAATATTATTTACACGACACTACACTCTTGATATCACAAAAGCACTTGACCAGCTATCGCATGCTACCCTCTTATGCAAACTCCCACCCTATGGCCTCCCAGAGAAGCTTTGCAGATGGGTGACTGACTCTCTCTGGCTGCAAGATATTCGTCGTAATTGACGGATTCTCCTTTTCATCCCACAATGACAATGCGGGTGTTCCCCAGCAGTAAATCTCCTATCGGAATAAAAAAGTTTCCTTAAGGTCCTCAAAGCAGCTGTGGTTCCCTGGTACTTACGCTTCCGCCTGCGCGGCTGCTTGATTCAGTATAAAAAATGTAGAGATGGCTGATCATTATTTAACCTCAGTGACTAGAGATGACAGAAAAAACCATTCCTTCACCAAGCAATTTAAACAGGTCATACCCTTTCCAAAGATTACAGTGTCGAAAAAGTATCATAATAATTCTATATTGGCCTGGGCCCACATCACGTCACCTCGTGATGAATGTAAGTATAATTAGGCAAGAATTTAAAATTCTGTTTTTAAGTATAACTTAATAATAAATGCTAATATTTGTTTCAAACTTTGAGACTGACTTTACTGACAAGTTATTTAAATAAATGATCCTTATAATACATAATCCTTCATTTCATCTTTATAACAATGACGAGTAAATTCTGAAAACCCAGTTCAAACCACTGTGCTCACGTGGCATTGCAGTATCATTAAAAATCGTTTTACAGTCCGAAAGACCATTGCATGCAAGATCTTGCAGTTGCAAGTCAACATTGTTTTGCTTGCAAGACAATTGCATCCAATCAGTTGCAAGTCAACCCTCTTTCCAAGATTCAACGGAGCAAGGTTGGCCAACCTAAACAAATAAAATATTCCCTGTCACATTCCTAACCAATAAGTTTGTTTTTTTAATATCCAAAAACTAATTTCAATTGCAGACATCCAGCTTTAAAACATAATCAAACATATCTGAAAACAATTAAATATAACCACACAAAGCACTGGACTAGCCTAAGGACATTTGCTTGCACTGGTAACCTACAAGTTACTAACTATTCCACCACAAACTTGCATGAAAAGTCCAACAGATTGATTTTCATGCAAGGCCCTGACAGTTATGAGAAAATGACAGGAAGAGTCAGCTGTTTTGTTAATTCATATCCATCTGATCAACATTTCTTTTAATGACTGTAAAATGGATACCTATAAGCTTCAAGAAATTACTTTATTCCTAGACTTGAGATATTCTCGATGGTATTGTATTAATGCAATATCTACAACCAGGACCTCCCAGTTCTCTCTATACTATAGTAAAGATATTCCAAATTATCTAACAAATTTAGACAGGTTTGAAAGAAACTATCAGAAGTTATAGTATCACATAACTCACTCTATGAAGACAGATATATTTATAAATACAAGCAAACAGTCTATAGTGGCTTTATGATTCAAAAGTCAGAAATTTGTAGTCCAGGCACAATGAATCAATAGGTCTCAACCCGAGTTCAAGAATTACTTAAATAAATAGTACTTACCTTCACAGAAACATTAGTTACAGGCTGTTTAGACTCACTGTACACACAAATATAACTAGAGAAAATTTCCCCCAAATAAATGTTGACAGGTGTTTGAGGTAAAAGTAGAAATTGACCGATTGATAATGTTTCAGTTCCTTCAACACTTATGGGGTCTTGCTGCAAGGAATTATTAAAGAGGTTTCCTGGTAAGTCTTTTGAGTCGCAAGTAACTGGTATTACACTGGCCAGGCTTGGTCTAGTAAGCCTCATCACTAAAAAATAATATTGAATAATATAAAATCATGGTTGTATTGGATTAGTTCTAAATTACACCTTACCTTTTAAAGATAATAGGTGTTCTTCCGTCTCCATTTTTGCAAATTATGGAGGTTCCTGCTCCTCTGATTTTCTTTCACAGGTATATTTTTGATCTTTCTATTTTGTCTACATTATTTGACGTTTGCAACATAACCTCATAAAATACAGCTGACATCACTGTTTTATTTGCAATGTTGCCAGATTAAACCTTTCGGAACGATACACTTACACTAAAGATAGGATATTGCGCATGTGGGCGGAGCTTCGTGACGTCACCCGGAGAGTTATCGGCACGTGGTTACCAGCGGCAGGATTGTCGTAACGTTACTGCAGTTCACGTGTATCGTAGTTAATACTATATAGTGCGATTTGTTGGTGGTTTTGTGACTTGTATTAGTTATACATACCTTATATACCCTGTGTGGTAGATGGATTGATAAAAATGCGGTGTGCTGTTGTGAGATGTAATTCCGACAATCAATCTAAACGGAATCTTTGCAAAGACATGAAGCTCCACAGTTTTCCTCAAGACCCAAACTTTAGCAAAAAAATGGCTACATCTCACAAAAAGATAAGACAAAGTCAATGTAAAAAGCGTTAGGGTTTGCTAGAAAATGCTCTATCTAGAGGATCTGAAACGACGCTTCAGCGTCCAATACCTGTTAACAAGACGTTAACAAGAATGAGGTCATATATATTTGGGCGAAACGAAGGCGCATACTCAGAATACCTATTGCAGCGTAGAGTCAGAGGATACTCCAGACATTCCACTAACCACTAACCGCATCATTATCGAGAATAAACTGAATGCACCTGAAGTATCAGCTGACTATACCGAGTAAGTTTTAGTGGCCGGCTTTGTTTGTAATAAATTGCAGGATGAGAGGTTGAAAAGTTCCTCAAATGAAACTTATTCATGGATAGACCATCTTAGTGAGGGTGGTTATCAAAACCTTCCTCAACTTTCATGAATCAAATTGAGAAGCTGAATAAGGTATTCACTACATTCAATGGGGACGGAATAGTGACAAAAAATAGGTGAACTTGTGTTGAAGAGCAGCAACATTGACTGCCCTGAAAAGGCTAAAAAAACTGTTTTTCAGGTCAAGGACGTTCTTCCGGATCAAAGAACTGAATATAAGTTTGAAAGACCAGAAAAATCATAAAAGGAAATGCAAAAAAATTATTGCTTAGACTAAGTCATTTCCATTCATTGTTATACCACCACCTTACTGCAAAAAGAAGATAACTCCATTTTTCTACTTTTCGAGTTGTAGTACAGTATTATGACATGAACATGTTAATCCTGCTCCACAGAACATACTAAAATATAGGTAATGTAGAAAAATGGAGTTATCTTGTTTTTACAGTGAAGCGACGATATTGTGGAGATAGAAGCCATTTAAGCTATATCCTGTGAAATAGGAATTACAGGGTTGAAATCTTTTATTAAAATCCACCATTTTGTTTTGTATAAAATTTTAATGTAGCTAGTGTCACTCGCACCGCTAAGACGAATCCAACGACACCTCATATGTGAAAATCTATCAAGCCGTTTGATCTGTAGCCTATGAAGTAGGAATTACAAAGTTGAAATCTTTTATTAAAATCAACCATTTTGTTTTTCATAAAATTTCAATGCAGCTGGTGTCACTCGCACCGCTAAGACGAATCCAACGACACCTCATACCTGTATGTGAAAATCCGTCCAGCCGTTTGGCTTGTAGGTGAAAATATGCACGTTATCCAGATCAACCCAAATAATAATCACTCTCCGTGACGTCATGCGCGCCGGCGGACGTTTAGCTAAGGTTTAGTGGTGTAGGGGAGTTTCACACAAGATGTTGACTTTTTCCAACAAGCCACCGACCTAGTTCTGAACCTGACAGAGCACGCCCACATCAAAATTACCGATCGAACAGAAAATGGAACTGATTCCGTAACTTGCAATTCTCTGTTCCAATAAAGTCCGCACCGATTCTGAGAGCACTGAAAGTTCGAATTTGATCTCATAGCTGCTCTCCAGTGGCTTTTGGTTTGAGAGTGACACACTCCCCAACTGTTCCAGAAACAATGCATGAGAATAGAACGTGCAGTGGATGCTGAACACTACTGAGTTACTCCGAGTACCTAACTCAACAGGGCCACAGGAAAGCAACTCGGATATCAACCTAAATATTATACGCTTATTACACTAATTCAATCAGTAAGTGACGGTAAATATTACTTTGGAACAGATTCAAGTGAGGATGATGATCTTGAGCTCGTTATAAGAGTTCCAAGAACCAGAAATGAAAATTGCACAGTCAAGTGTTGTCAATTTTAATGAATTTATTTCAACCATGTCTTATACATTCCTTTCCTGCTGTTAACATTCCACTTAATTTCCTCCCCTGTCCATGCTTCCTTTGAACGCAACATAACGAATCCTTACACTAAAAAAGACAAAACTTAGTATAGAATATGACACACAATAATTAGGCCACGGTTAGGTAGGTAAATTACAGAGGATATCTAGCTAATCAAAAAAAACCCAGAGATTTTCAAAACGTCAATTATTAGACACGTAACATCAAGTCTATTCAAATATAGAATGTGGAGAACATTAAATGGTGAAATAAGGCCCAAGCCAATCAGATTATGGTTGAATCGATCGCAGTATGGAGAAAACTACAAACAGCCAAAAAATAGATGATCCAAGTTCCCTTCAACGTTGCAGTGTTCATATAAGTTGGAATCGATAATAAGGATTCTAGCTAGATGTGTTGGATAAGCTACATGCCCAAGTTTTGCTCTAATAATCATAGATAGTATTTACGAGGAATTGTAAAATGTTTGTGCCAGTACGTTGTTGGAATATCAGGATGTATTAAAGTATACCTCGTTGGGTTCGTAAAGCAGAATTCATTCAATTCTAATGTCCAGCTTTTAAATAGGATTTGTTTTAATAAAATATTATAATCTTCTAGCAGCAGTGTATATATTGAAAATGATAGGACTGAGGACAGCACCTTGCGGCAGGCCAGCAAAACTATAACGTGGTCCTATTTTTTTGTTTGTATTATATCTTACAAAAAAACGCTCTATTGTGATATAAGTTAGTTATGACGTAGCACAAATGAGAAGGGAGCCCGTACATTTCCAATTTTGTTCTCAGCAGTGTTAAGTCGATCTGGTCATAAGCACCTTGTAAATCTAAAAATAATGCTGCCAGATAATTGTTGTCAGAAAAGCAACCTTGAATGTCACTAACAATAACAGCTGAGGCATCTGTAGTACCTAGACATTTCCTAAAGGCAAATTTTTTATCATCCTCTCAAAGGTTTTGAGAATGCAGGATAGGAGAGAAATAGGACGGTAAGAATCTGCTAGATGAGAGTTTTTATTGGGCTTTGGTATCGGAACCAGGACGATTGTTTTCCACTCCTCAATGATTTCACCTCTTAAAAAAACGTCATCGAATATTTCTAGAAGGTAATCCTTAGCATTCGAAGGAAGGCTGCGGAGCATCGGGTAGCGGATTTCATCATATCGAGGGCATAAATTTATTGATTTACTAATGGCACATTCCAATTCGGCTTCACAAAAAGGAGTACTGAAAAGGTGACTGCTGTACTGGGGGTGGTGTTCCCATATATGGGCTGACAAAAGCTGGTGCACATTTTCGATGAAATTCGTCTAACCATGTAAAATAAGTACATTTAGGTTGTGCAACTGGAATTCTTTTAATTATACGGCTTTTTTTCCAGAGTTCAATTGTCGACGTATTTTTGTCTAGATTTGATACCCATTTTATCCAGTTGTTTTTAGATTTACGTTTGAAATGATTTTTTGTCTTGACAAATATCTTTTTACATTCAATATAATTTCCGAGACTGCTATCCTGATTATATAGCAACAGCGCCTGTTTCCTCTTGTCTATTGCATCGCTACACTCTTGATCCCACCATGGTGAGGGAGCTTTGTTTCCTATACGAAAGAGTCTACAGACAGGAATAGATATTTCACTTGCTTCATTGATTTTTTCCAGGAAGTACTTATATTTATTTTCCGCTGACTCAAAATTCGGGAGATTGTCAAACCTATTATTCAACAGCTCTCGGTATTTAGACCAATTAGCCTTATTCACATTCCACTTATATTTCGGGTAAATTATGGTCTGTGATTGTATGGAAACATGTAAATTAATACAAATGACGTAATGATCGGACCCAAGAGTATCAGACGATACTTCCCAAATTGAAATTTGAGCGATATCTGGAGTGCATATGGTTAGATCAGGCGTTGAAGCCTGAAAGTTAGGGGCAGCAATTCTTGTTGGGGGACCAGAATTCATTATGACTAAGTTTGACTCCTCACGTAATTCCAAAATCTGTCGACCTGTAGGATCCTCTCTGTATGATCCCCAAACAGCTGAATGGGAGTTAAAATCTCCGCCAATAACCACTGAACCAGCAGCTTTAGTGATTATAGCTTTCCAGTCAGATAACGTTGAATGTACGTTAGGTGGCTTGTAAAGGGAAACAAATGAAATGTGATCATTCCCACTAGATATGCGACAACATGTTGTTAAAAGATCTATCAAAGTCAATATGGGAGTATGTAATTCCTTGCCTAACAAGAATAGCTACACCAGCCTTACCATCGCGCCTGTCCATACGGACTGCGCTGTAACCCTTAAACTTAACCGTTTGATTAGGCTTGAATCAGGACTCGCTTATTAGAGCAATATCAATATTATTGTGTGAAAGAAAATGAGAGAGACTATTTTTTAAGCATTTTAGTTATTTACTAAGGTACGTTAGCTTGATATGGAAACTGTTGGTTTATATTGCTCACAATACATCCTATTCTATCTCGCAATGTATCTTCGCTTATGGTTGGTATTTCTTCAAGTTTTGAAAGTATTCAAAAATTGGTTGAAGATTTTCATAAATTTTTCAGTAGTGTCTTTTTTACTACCAACATTGGACCGATATGTTTGATTCGAAATTACAAGATACTCTGGGCCGCTACTGAAATGGACCATTTCACCTGGGAATCTTACTTTATTTTCCGTTTTTTGTTGGCTTCTGACGTAGCCGTTACAGAAATTTTATTTGTAGAATATTGATGTCTTTGCGAAGATCTATTGGAAGTACTAGGTGATCTTGATGTACTAGGTAGTACCGGAAAATTCGATTGATCCATATTTAACAAAGGTTGGAAGTGATTATCATTGATTACGCAACTATCATATGAACCAGTCACTTTATCCTTGGCTTCCATAAATGACAAATTTGAGTTGGCCATGATTTTTTTAATTTTTTGTTGTTCCTGAAACACAGGACAGGTTTTGGAAATACTAGTGTGGTTGGCTGACTCGCAATGAATACAATAACTATTGGTTTCTAGACAGGAGTGGTTTTCATCTTTAGATTGACCACATGTCATACTCCTAGAAGTCGAGCTACGGCACTCGTTTGATACATGACCAAAACGTAAACATTTAAAGCACTGAATTACTTTTTGCATGAAGGGCTCAACTGTAAATAGCACACTATTGTTGGTTAATTCGTTTGGGAGCACATTACCATCAAATGTAATTACTGTGATTTGTCTGGGAACCATATGTTCCACACCATCTTTTTTCCTTTTGAGACGACTTACGCTAAGGACTGTTACAGTAGATGATTTTTAAATAATCTTCTTCGAAGGAGGTGTCAACCCCTTCAATAATACCCTTACGAATCAGCAAGTTGTTCGGAATATACGCTTGAATGTCTTCTGTTTTAGGGTTTTCATTTGAAATTGTTTCATTTGCCGGCTTTGTCGAATTAACTGTCACTTTAATCGTACAGGTATTTTGTCCGACTCTTGAAATATTGACAATAAATTTACTAAGGTTTAATTTTTTGTGAAGTAGATGGCCTATAGACATCGGATGTAGCGTACCAATTTTCTCTTTCGTCAATTTCTCCATTAAAAATATAAATATCAGAAGAATACTTATCCGATTGCAAATTGAAGAATCGAGGTAGGGGATTTCCTTCAGTTTGAGTAGAATTACTACTCCGAGATTTTTTAAGACGGTTATCTTCATTGTGAGATTCCGTTCCTGAGGTTAATTCCATGTTATCTTCTCCGAAAGTTAGATTGAATACTGCTATATTGCCATTAAAACTGTCACTAGTGGTGGGGCCACCCACCCCCGTAGGTGGTGGTGGCATTTAATTGTATTGGTATTTGTATAAAAAAAAACTATCCCAAGAAAGGAGTGGAATTTCAACGCTCCGAGTATGTTTTTATATACACGTGCGAGTCGTACACGGACGAAACGAAACTGATTTTTTCAATATATTTCACTAATTTTTAAAAAAAAGATTTAAAGTACATCAAAGAACAATAAATTATCTCAAAGTCCAATTCTGTTCCATCCAACCAGTGGCGACGCGTGACTTTTCCTAAACTGGTTAGTTTGAACCTACCAAACATAAGTTTGTGCTTATTTTAGATATTGTATTTAAACTTTTTCAAATTAAGGTAAACATTTCTGGACTGGGCGTCTGGGGCACTTGATATACCTCATCGTCTTATGCTATGTCTAATCCAAGCCTTCCGAAATAACAGGTGACGTTTCTAGATGTTTAAATTTTTACTCTGTTTTGGCAATTCTCTGTAATTTCCACTATTGTGGCAATTCTTGTTTGGCCATAAAACATACGGCATCTATAAGAGGGCTGCCTAAAAGCTTGGTTAAGACAACTTTCGATTCTTGTTTTGCCAAACTGAATCAAACTGGCTACACATCTCACATGTAACGGAGAAATTTCATGTCTGCTCTTTAGAACCCTGATACTATATAAATCGTTGACTCCACTGCTGGTCCACTCATTTTTTCTGTATAAAACAGAAGACATGGTCAACAATACAATCTGTTTTTCTTGCAGCCACATAACCGAGAGTTTTCACTATACCAACTTAATTTAAAATATCGAACTACTTTTTTTTATTCCTTTTTAAAATTATCTAAAATAGGTGTTGATCTTCATTTTCAATGATCTCCTTTTTTTCTTCAAAACTATATAAGGAGAATGACTTTTTAAGTAGTTGATCGATTACGCAGCGACATTCATCCGTTTAATTGCACGCACACTACAGCCCGTAACCAAAACGGCTACTTATGAGTGAGAAGTCAGTAACCAAAACAAAAAGTGGTAACAAGCCTAGATAAAAGTCGCAGCGGCCCACGCACTCTGGCGCCCGCGATCAAACACGAGCCAGCACCGAATGTCCCTGACGGACTATCAAGTGTATCCATAAACGAAAATGGTAACAACCGACAACCAAGTCGAGGCGAGTCAGCTTCATTGCGTTCGCAACATCTAGACTAGACAATATAGGGCGCATTATTTTCTTGCGGCTAATTTGCTATTTACTGAAGTACTATTACATATTGCTGTTGGTAAACATATAAATGAAATTATTTCACAGTACCTAGTCATAAAATATTTATTTTCAAGATTTTTAACTGTTACCAATGGTAACAATGGTTACATGGCCGCTTCGCCCATGCATCCAACGAATTCCAGTAGATTAGGGCCGTGCTGTATCGTTAGTCGTTCCTACATTTATAGGACGCTTCCTTGATTTTCAGTCTTTTCTCTCCTTTAGAAACGCTGAGGTATTTCTAGATTTCTACTGTTCCGTGACAGCGTCAGCGCTTTCTTATTGTGAGGCTGTTTTTTTTTATTGCAGAAAATTTCCGGCTGACATAACAGATGATATAAATCAAAAGCACGAATAATTTAATGCAAATAGATATTTGTAACATAACCTCAAAATAGAGCGCTCACACGGAACAATAGAAAACTATGAAAATAACAATGGGTGGTATGAATAAAAATGAAGTACCTTCTAATACTACAAGTATAAGCATTTTCTACAAAGTATGTACTTCAAATCTGGGAAGAAGCTACATTTTCAAGTAGATACTTTTTGTTTTACCGGAACTTACTATATCAAGTAGTATTTACTGAAAGTACCTACTTCTTGTAGTAGATGCTACTAATTTGAAGAGGAATTTAGTATATGCTTGACTTTTGCGAAGTTGGTATAAGTGCAACTTCAGAGAGAATACTACGGTTAGTTTTGTTTAGTTTTCTTTGAAAATGGAAGGAATACGCAGCAGAAAAATATATAATGCAAGACGCCGCTATCATAATGATATTTTATATCATAAAATATTTCGGTAATTTAACAATAATATTATTATTGTTTTTAATTACTTTTAAAATTGTTTAATCTTTTAGGTTTAGTAGAGAAAACGTATCTTACCTAGCGAATATATTTCTCCCAGAAGTAAATGAAACTCGAGGCGGTGCTCTTACACACATCCAACAAATGGAAGTATTTTTAAGAAGCTTAGGTATGTTTCAATAAATGAAATAGGATAAATAATCTAATTTTTATATCTTTATTTCAGGAGACCCTGGATTTCAGCTAGGCGTTGGACTTGATGTTGGGATTCATCAAACAACCGTTTCAAAAATTATTGATAAGGTATCACGTGAAATCTGTAGCAAGAAAAATCAGTGGGTTAAATTCCCTGCTACGGGAGCTATGTTCAACAGAGCTAAAGATGAATGGGCAGCACATAATACAATACCTCATGTCATTGGCGCCATTGACTGCACTCACGTGAAAATTATAAAACCATATGTACATGGCGATGAATATATTAACAGAAAAGGAGTTTCTACAATAAATGTACAAGCAACATGTAATAGCAGAGAAATGTTCACCAGTGTTGATGCTTCCTGGCCTGGGTCTGTTCATGATTCTAGAATATGGTACAATAGTCCTATTTACCCTATTATGTATAATAATCAAAAAGAGTTTGTCCATTGTTTGTAACTCCTTGGATGCTTACACCTTTCAAAGATCCCATAACAAACATTCAAAAGTATTTTAACAGAATACATGCAAGAGAACGTGTGATTATAGAAAGATGCTTTGGCCAGTTAAAAACAAGATTTCCTATGTTGAATTATACAATCCGACTTAAAACAGATAGAACATGTCGATATATTATGTGTGCATTTATTTTACATAATTGTGCAAAGTTTTTGAACGATCCAGATGAACATTTTGATGAAATGAACATAGAAGAAGAAGCAGTTATGCCTGAATTATATGTCGAACCAAACAACGGTGAAGTCCGACGCCGAGGTATCCAGTTTAGAAATGAAATTGCAACACTAATGTACAGACAGCGTTGAAAAAGTAAATAAATATTTGGATTGTTTGGATTTTATACATATTTATTTTATGAAGGTTCTGACAAAATAATTAAACCTAATAAACATGTTATACAAATAATAAACATAAACCATATTTCTCTTTTAACAAAAAAAAAAACATATTAATCAGTAGGTATTTTTGAATCCAAATGAATTCAAAAGCTCGCCTGTTGTCGTGCAAAGTAATCTTCTACGAATTGCTCTACAGCTCCTGCGGCCCTTTCGACAGCTAGAGCGGCCTTTTCTTGAGCTATAGCAGCTTTTTCTTGAGCTGCGGCAGTGTTGATTTGTTGAAGTAGTAATTTCTTTCGTAATTTAGCCATTAATTAAATAAAACATTATTAAATTAAAAATTTTGCACCACAATAGTATTATGATTTTATATGGAGGAAAAGTGATTTTATGACGAGCTTGACTTAGACAGCCATGAAAATTAACTTTTCCTCCAAGTAAAATATGCTGTTTTTCTTCAAATGTCAAGAAATTAATCGCGGAAAAGTAAAAAGTGAAGCTCCGGCTGATAAAAAATAAAACTTCGTGGCCGCATACAAGTCAAGCAATAAATGATTTACTGACGTTTGAAGAAAAAATATATAATATCAAATAATACAGTACCTGGCACTTGTTGAATTACTGGATTCTCACTCCCATTCCATAGGTTGAAAAATTTTTTTTGCCACTCATTTAACTTAATTTTCCTATTTCCTGTTTTCTTCATATCGGTAATATTTTTAATTTTACTTTTCATACTATTAACTTTTATATACCTGTTTTGCATCTAAATTTTGTTTTGTATTTCTGTTATACGTCTCTGTGAATTCTTTAAGTGCTTTGTCTTTGGCAGACTTAACGGGAGGTGTCATTTTTTTATCCAGAATGATTTTGTAGTCTTCTAACATCGTAACAAAGGCTAACTGCAAATCTTCATTTTGGGACTCTTCTTGATTTGGCATTTCCTCGTCGGAAGACATTTTAACGCGCGTGCCGTACAATACCAAGTATGTGAATATTTCAAATAAAATAAAACAACAAGTGTGACCTGTCGAAACTTGTGGAAATGAAAAGATGCTACTCAATTTAAAGCATTTACTTCGGAATAAAAGTATATACTACAGGCACGATAGTAAGTACTTCGACGTAAAGCAAATACTACCGGAACTGATTGGATACTTCATGGCGAAGTATTTACTTTGAAGTAGATTCTTAAAATTGTAGTATAAGCATCTACTTCGTTTTTATTCATACCGCTCAATTGTAGGAAGGATTAACCATACGACCCTTAGTGCATACTTTTGACTCAATTGACTACCAATGCCTACCAAAGTGATAGCATTGTATCAACATAAAAAATATTACTTACCGTTGAAAACCTTCATTAGGCTTATGCGGCTCTTTGCAATTATGTATCTTGAAATCATCTAAAACCAATAATTGCAAGCACAAGCATGTTTGGAAAAATAACACTAAAAATAGGAATTCAATGGCATAACTGTAAAAAATGACTTTTGTCAAGTGCACTTTGATCCTCACTACAGGCTATGAGAATAAGGAGACAAACTAATTCTTGACTGGCGCCTTCTACCTAGTCTGAATTTGTTGGTTCCACCAGAATCGTTCGGAACTAGTTCTGAACTGTACTTAACCTCAGACATGCTCGGAAAGATCATTCGGAACAAGTTCTGAACTGCTTGATGAGACAGGTAAGGCTCAGCCTCTAGAACTGCTCACATGTGTGGAGTGCTGCCGCCCCGACTACTCGATGCTGTTCGGAGGCCTGCATTCTTAATACAGACAAAACGCGTGCACACAATAAAAAGTCGAAGAAATATTTTTTTCTGGGTGCAACACTTCTATGTCACTGAGTATATCATATGAGTCGTTTGACAGGTCAGGAAGCCATCTCTGGTAAAACATATACATAGGACATTTTCAAAAATGACGTACATTTCGGATATGCTGAAACCCACAAAATTTCATACCAAAGTGCTATTTTTGCACTTGGATGGAAGACTACCATCAATATAGTATCGAGAGAGGCGCATCAGAATGACTTTTGGCAATACAAAAAGGCGGCATGAGGAGTCAAGGATGACAATTTGTATCATATTGACATAAGTCTGGCTTGAGCTGCACACTCTGTATGCACCATATTCATTTACAATAGCATACACAAAATAACGATGAAAATAGTGCACGACAAACCCGGGTAAGTTCTTCAAAACATAAACGCATGTAAATTTGAGTTTTACACCCATGTCGCAAGTCGTTATGCCATATCCACTAGAGATTCTATATCAATGAGTATGACGCAACACACAGCTTCCAAAATGGTTTCAATGTGGAATAAAACACTCGAGATTCTTTCACATTTTTTTAATAAACTTTATCATTCTACCATTTAAATATATTTATCGCTATATGCCTACTTGAATATATAAATTTCACCTTATGTATACACATTTTCTACCAATTCTATAGATATTATGAATAATATTCACAAAAGACTTAATAAAAAAATAATAGTATACAACCAGGAAATCATTTATAATCCAGTGATTTTAGAATAAAAATCTGCAACTGGACTTCGCTTGAGGCTTCATGAAACTATATGTCAATATAGTTTGACCAATCCATAGGAATAATCGAACAATGTTTCAAAATTATCGAGAAATTAATGCTCAAGTTCGCAATTTCTTTTACGAATGTATGCGTTTTTAAAGCGGTATGTCGTGAATGAGTTCACTCGAGAGGTGAATTTTATATTACACTTGATCCATAAAATCAGCTGTACTTTCGGTTGAATGGTCAGTTTGACCAATAATGAACTCCTATCACTCAATTCACCTATTGCATCATGAAGAACTGTGGGTCATATACATAGATGTAATCATAATCAAAGAATCTGTAACTGTAGTAACTTTAACTTGACAAATTATAAGAAAGGTGAGGGTGGCCCACAATATATCATTTTAAAATTGTGTTGCTTTCTAAAACGAAAACATCGGCTCAGGTTTAAAACTGCAAAATTTCGTCACACATTTTTGAGGATGTTGCATATTGATCACATTCGCAAAATGTTAGCAGCGTGACAGCGCTTTAGGCCAGTGTCTATATAATTTAAAGCTGATATAAAGCGATCCTAAATGCACCCATTAAAGCCTTGAAAGACAGTGAAAGAAATTCTTTTGGAACAACTAGTATTCCCAAAGTCTTTATTAGAACGTCCATAAAACATAGCAAAATGAACTCATAAAAAATAAAATTATCTTCACGACTTAGGATTCAGGGGGTTAACATACAATTTATTAATCTCACACCGAACAGACGTCCAAGTTTGTAAATTTGCAAATTAAAGAATGATCGAGTAAAAAACCAATATACAAGGGCATATTTCCTGACTAGATCTGGAATTTACCAAACAGATGACAGCACAAAGCTGTCTGCTAAATAAATCAGCTGATAACCTTAAAAAATATTGTGCAGCTTCCTCATCGCTTTTGTTTCACAATAATTTCATTTAGTTTGATTATTCTATGTTCATCTCTGTCAGTGAGTCCATCATGAACGTAAAGTTTGGATTTTCTTCCCTGCTGAAATCGGTAATATCCTTAAAAAATTTGAGGACCACTCATCGCTTCATATAAACTTGCTAAAGCATTTCTGTAGGTGATTTTCCAAGTGTCACGCAACATGTGCGCTCTGTTTTCAAACTTTCGTTCATGATGAAATCGCCGATAGAGGAAATCAAGCGAGGACAAAAACACAACATAAAACCGTTGTAAAATAAATGCGATGAGGAAACTTTGCCTTACACACTACTTGGTGATTCACACTGCGTCGAGCTTTTCTCTGCTGGTAAGTTAGAGAGGTAGTTTTTTGATACATCTACGTAATAAAACAGCAAAACTTATAAAAAACTGAGTTGTTACGAAAAAAAAAGTAACAAAGTTATTCATACATTATAACTTTCAAGCCAGATAATTGAAGTTACCTATTTTACTTAAGAATACCACTTCCTGTATTTTTTCAGTAACTTTTACACCAATTATATCTGAATTATCTTGCATTTTTAAATTTATTTTTCATGGATTTCCACGAATTACTGTATCGCCATACAGTAATGTAATAATAGAATTAACTTTTCTTTTTACCCATTCCTCTCGGATTTCAATAATAGCGTGCTAGCTGTCTTACAGCAGTTGATGAAACGCAGTGTTGTACCTTTAATCAAGAAGTCATTTTAATGTTCCTTTTCGACAGAAGTTTGAGGTTTTTTGGTAACCTTTTCGGAGAATAACATTATATGATATAGTTTACACGTTTTAGGATTTTGCTTAGGCTGCTGTAAATACTGGCTCCTAGGTTTCTTTGTTAATTAAATAATAACGTTTCAAAACATAATAAAAATATGTTAATATATCACACATCAAATGTCATAAGCAAGGAGGTAATGCATGGGTATAAGGAAGAAATTCGAATCTCACTGTTAGGTTTTCAAATAACTTTTAATTTGACATAATATACATGTATGCAAATTTTCAACATACTTGCTCTAAGAAGAACGTTGATATAGCAGACATGAATTACATGAAGCCTCACAGAAGCTATTTGTTTTGGTCTAAAGTTTCTGTAGGAAAACTCACTGGACTATATGAGAACATTGTTCATCTTTGAAAAAATATACATGGTGTTCAGAAGTTTTATTTTAAATAAATAAATTTAAAAATAGATGATTGAAGGAATTTCAGATTTCTGCAAACCAAACACCCTGTATATATTTGCATTGGTAGAATATTCTTAGAGATTGAGCTTAGCAGGTTGGGTTGCAATTTGGCAAAAATTATGATAAATCGCGCCAGAAAATATTTAGGTAGAATGTAGATGCTCTATGCGAGATATATTACAATTGATATATGCGACTCATAGATATTCCATAAATAAAGGCGGCATTCAACGTATTTGTAAAGCTACCCACAACATTTGCATATATCACAATCTTAACAACACTTACTCATGTAAAAAATCATTAGCATGTCCTTTCGATAAAAAGCTACACTACTGCACTGTAAAACTCGCCCAATGAGTTATTTTCATTGAATAATAAAATCGGAAAGTAGGCAATACTAAAATCTCGTATATTTTCACATAACCGACTAAGATGAATCTCAACAATTTTCCACCACACATTACAAAATTACAAAAAAAAACACGGAATCGTATTTTTACAATTTATTCGCTTCCTTTCTCTCTCTCTTTCTCACCTTGTAAAAAAAATGAGTACGCCTCCGGTCTGGCTTACGAAAGTCTGGGTTTCTTTGCGACGGCCTCCTCTGCAACTTCTGTCTTTTCCCCCCCACCAGTGTCCTCTTCTTCTTCATCCGAGTCACCATCATAGTCAACAAGACTCTGCACCAAAATAAAATCATCAGTGCGAATCATGTCATTATGTTTGAATATGAAACATAAATAATTATATTGAAATAAGACGGCACAAAATGCCATCTGTTACCAGAATCAACCGCTGCGAAAGTGAAAACAGTAAGATGTCTGTTGGAACTGTATCCCAGTTCACATTGTCAGCAGAGTCATCACTGTGGCAGCTAAGTAGAGGATAGAGGCTCAGCTTTCGTTTGTTGCCTTACCTGAGACCAAGCCTGCACCATGCTGAGGAGTTGCTAAATAGCACGAAATAGCTGTCCAAGGTTGGCCGTCTGTGGTCAGACGAACGACAGCTATATTACTAATAAATCATTATGATTACAGAAATATGGCATTTTGAAAGTCAAGGTCGAATATCACCAAATGTATCAACTGCGTAAACCTGAGATAAACTAATAAACCAAGGTTAATCATGTGCAGGGGGCGGCAGCATAATCGTTACTCTTCTTCAAATAATCATTAATTGTATTCGTTATTTTAATTACTATGAATAATTTGAGTCCAATGATTTGGCAACGTGCATGTGTAAAATGACTAATGTCGAATTTGAACAACTTCAATGGAACGTCTCTATTATGCTTTAGTTTGGTAATTTGAAAGAAAATAAACCACCTTAAAATTAGCAAAAAATGTTAATCACAATTCATTTAAATCTGCCGTGCTTAATGCATAATCGTATCTTTAAATTTTATGCAAAACGTGATGCGTTAGCGGCACGGGTATCATGTATCTTGAAAAGTGACGTTATATCGATTTTCTTTGACATTATACTGTTTTTTTTTGACATGTAGGTTTTTCTACAAGCTGTTAACTTAGCATTTAGTTGTACGTGTTGCCTAAACGTCATGAGGCTTGTTATCAATATGAGATGGCATTACTGGAGGTCTAAGCTGTAAGTTGTATGTGTTGATGATAATTACATTGAGTTCTTGTCCCAAATACACTTAATTGAGATTTAGAGCTAGAAATTAGTTGCGCATCCACTTTTTCTTATCCATTCTGGAAATTACATATACAAATTTGCTGAATTTAAAAATGAGAGAAATAAATAATTATATTCACTGACTGTCGAATTACAAGCCATATGCATGCTAACAGTAATTACACACAACACGGCGCGGTGATGATTTCCCGTCATTCTCCTCAGTTTTTCGTAACTTATAACTTTGAACATAACCTCTCTTCAGAAAGCACAACATAAAAATAACCTGTCGGGCACAGCCAATAGATATACTTCATTGGCAGCATATTCAGTAATCATTTCCTCACACAGCAAATATTGCTGATTTTATACACATGTAGACCAATACACATAATCATCCGGATGCGATCTTGCTATTAACCAACTTTCTTCTCAGATATAAATACTACAGACAAGAACCACTCGGCCTCACAAAACATATGCAACCAATAATGCGTGTTGTTTAGTTGAGTGATTCCTCCATAGATGGACGTTCGCAACGATCCTAGTGAGCAAACGTGAAATGACGCACTAAAAACTACCTAGCTTGCAAGGTGACATATGTTTTTTTGACCTTTTATGAGTTTTTTACATGATACCCGTGCCGATAGGGTGTCATATGACTCATCTGCTTAAAAACTGAAAATACTTAATATTTACTAGAAATGCTTCTAAAGCATGCGTTTTAATTAGAAAGTTGACTTGTATATAGGATTGAGGAAATTCGGAATGGCAAGTAACTTTTCGAAGCTATGGACATTTCAATTAAGCATGTACCAGCATAAAAAGTTCTAAGTGGAGCTTAGTCAGCACATACCACCCGAATGTGGGATGCCAAAAATGGCAGAAACCAGCGTTGTAACTAGTTACATTTTCAACAACTTTACTTTTTTCAAAACTTTATAAAAACCATTGTACGAATTATAACATTTTTTTTATAACGTAGGCGCATAGTTTTGAAGAAAACATCAGATAGGCGAGGACCCCGTAAACCAATTTCTGGCGTTTGTCATGACTTTTGTCAGCATAGCGGGCTTTATGTTGGCAATTTCTTGGATGTTTTTCTTCAAATCTTGTAGGGTCCTTGGACGGTTAAACACGGAATTAAAAAAAATCATAAGAGACCAAAGCAGGATAGGCTACTTTAAATTGTTCTTAATTGAGATGAGACGCCCTGGGACGTCTTCTCTTGCAATAGCCATTGATGCTCTTGAAGTATGTGCCGTTGCACCATCTTCTTGGAACCAAATGTTCCCTAAGTCCCTCACATCTAGCCGTGTAAAAAAATCCTGTAACCATTGATGCAATTCTCGAGGAATGGTGTCATCCCTGCAGTGCATGTTTTGTTGGTTGACAGATCCCCACTAATGAAAATGGGAGTCATCACTATAAAAACAATAGCGTATTCAGGAACGACCCATAGAAAAAAATCATAAGCGTCCAAAACAGGATAGGCCACTCTTAATTGCTTCTAATTGAGATGAACCACCCTGGTAAGTGTTCTCTTGAATCAGCCATTGATGCTCTTGGGGTGTATGCTGTACCACCATCTTCTTGGAACCAAATGTCCCCTAAGTCCCACACATCTAGCCATGTAACATGTTTAGTTACTATATCGAATTTACTGTCGTTGCGAGTTCATTTTCCTCAAAGAACCAGGAACCGATCATTCCTGCTGAGGAAATTGCACACCATACTGTAACTTTAGGTGAATACAAAGGTCTTTGATGCAATTCTCGAGGAATGGTGTCAACCCAGTAGCGCATGTTTTGTTTGTTGATGGATCCCCACAAATGAAAATGGGCTTCATCTCTTAAAAAAAAATAGCGTCTTCAGGAACCACTTCGTGAAGACGTTCACACGAGTACATCCGAAAATTGACGCCATGTTTAGAAAGTTCCTGCACAACTGCCAACTTGTAAGGATGGAAATGAAGATCATCATGAAGAATTCTCTTCACAGAACGATTGGAAACTCAGAGAGCAGACGCATGTTTGCCCGCAGAACGCCGTAGTGATCACTGCCTCTATGTTTTCAAGTGATCTAATGGGCTAAGGGACTCCAGTTCTTGGTCGTGTCTCACTTGCAGCTTGTCCGAGCGTAGTGATCTACGTAAAAATTGATTTCCGGTCCGGGACAGGGGCCAACGGGGTTAAATTGTAAACACGTAAAGTCTAATTTAGATGATTTTCCGAAGCTGAACGACCATAAGAGGTAGTTAACAAGAAGTTCGCTTATCCTATAGATTCCCACCCACAGATTATCTGCATAGGTGTTAGGTTGTTCAAAAAATTGCCAAAAACCCTCAGGGCCCTGCCACTCACTATTTTCCAATATGAAATTAAGGCTTTATTAAAAAGTAAAGCATATTACTCTTTGGATGAGTCCTTGTCAGATACCCTGACAAACGACCAGTAGGAGTAGTTCTGACAATATGGTTTATAATAGTGTGTGATATCCTATATCTCAATTTCAGCAGTTAACGTCCTTATTCATTTTATATTGTTTTTTGAATTTTACTTATTTTATTTATATAATTATCACATAGCGATATTTTAATCTGTATATTCCACGTTTTTCTTCAATGTTTGTTTAGAGTTAAATGTTTGTTTTATATTTCAATGTTTGTTGGATTTTGACTGTATACACTAATGTGTGTTATCTACTTATTTATTTTGTGTATATTTTTTACACTATTGTTTCCATTCCATCTTATGATGGTCTAGCAGAACTAATGAAGAAATGAAAAATTAAAACGATTCCGAAAGGCGCGCTAGATTGCGATCAGATCGAAAAGTAGGCCTCAATGGAAAAAGCACGTCCCGCACTGTTCCAACGCATGATGGCGACTGTTCTAGCGGTCCGCTAAGACATCAACCGACTGAATGACGCGCATTTATGTTGCCGCACTCTGTACATGTAAGTTTAACAGCAATTTACGTAGATCTCTAAAAATAATCCTTACCCGTTTCAATGGTGTCGTTTTCCCATCCAGCTGTGTCGCTGTCGTTGCACATTCAATTTCGTCTTTGCTTTCATTTCCTAGTTCTACATGTGAACTGTCCAAGTCACAGGTCGTTTCAACGCAGGTTTCTGTGACCACGCAGGCTGCTGGCGACGTTTCTGTCGTCATCGGAGACTTTTTCAGGTCACTTGTACACACCATGGTGCTCTGCAAGGAAATATGCTATGATAAATCTTACATCGACCGATATTCAAAATATGACATAATGAAATATTGTGTCAACCACTCTACTAAAATTTTATTAGGTAAGTACTGACCTCAACTCATGAATTTGAGAAACGAGATTACAAACAACAGTTCAAACGTATTTTCGTCGCTTACCTGGCCCGACATCATTTGTACAGCTTCTGATAACGTCGGTCCTTTCTTCCCTGTGTCGGTCGTTACCATCGGCGACGTAACTACCGCAGCGACACCTATTGGGGACGACTGATCGCCAGGACCACCTCCAGTTTCCTCGAAATCGTCGTCTTCGTTAAACCACATCTCCTCTTCCTCTTCTAGCTGCCTTTGATCGCGACGGTATCGACTGCTTCGTAAAATTGACGGTACGCTGCAAAAATAAACGAAAAGCATAAAGACAATTCATTAATGCTAAAGTCTAGTTTAGCAACAGATGATTATAGGAAAATTTCTCTCTTCTCACATATAGACCTTTTCACAGATTTTGGAGCGTTATAGTGAAGCTACTGGTATGCAATAACCTTTGTATATGGGCGTTTGTTCAGGGCATACATATTTACTTCCCACGCCTACGGGCGACAATAACATCTTTGATCTATATCTTGGAAAATACCTCTAGGATTTGGATGAAATTTTCACACACGGACGAAAAAGCTTTGCAGTTTTTAACATTCCGTTTAGTGGCGCCGGAGAAAAATGTCAAAAAGCAAAAAAAAAGTGCCTAACGTTTTTTGATATTTTAGATGATCCTGATCATTTTTGAAAAATTCTTAAGGGGCTAAAATATTGGGGGTGGGGAGCGTGTATCACCATTTTTAATGTTAGTATATTACTACTTCCAATCCCGGTAACTCTACGCACCTATTAGACATATGTGAAACATAATAGATTTCCCCCTACATTTGCTGTTAACACATATCCGCTTTACCCAAATAAATTCACTAGTTGTCAGAAAAATTGATGAATTTCTAAACAGGCAGCGAAATCGCATGATCAAATTTATTTAAACATACAACGTCCAATATATACAAAACTAAGGGAAAAAATATCAAAACATAACCATGCATAATGAACCTAACCAATAGTGCATAACCATTATTAGATAGATAGGGACTTACCCATCCAGACTATTTCTATCCCTCTCCCTATCTTTCAGCTTATCTTGGTGTTGGTCGTACCTAAGTTTCAATGCCTTGAAGGTCTGCACGTAACAGATCTCGTCCAGACATTTACCGTAGTTCTCCACTACGTGCGAGCACAACGTTTTGATGTCTTCCAATTTGATGAATTCGAACATTTCGATGATAGCACTGTCCAACAAGTTATAGCGACCGTTGTTCCTCACGAAGGCTTCCACCACAGGCGCAAACAGATTACCCTGAAAATAAAATATTTTATAATACAAATTAATTGCAAATTACATCACCGCATAAACATAAACTGACCGCCCTTCTAACTTTTTATATGACCTACCAGAAGCAAAAGTAGTATATAAAAGTTGTAGGGTCTGATATGAAGTTTATGTAATATTTTTTTTGTAATATCGGTCAGAAAGGTACTCTCGAATAAAATTGTATTTTTATTTTTACTCAAGAAAATCTTCGAAAATGAGTTATTATATTTTTGGATGTTATATCATGAATCACGAAAAACCATGTCACTCATATCCGTCTGTCTGTCCGATAACCCTATAGCCTCATATAACTTAAGCAGTACTAGTTTGATTTTGATGAAGGGCGAACAAGCTTTGTAGCTTTTGAAAATCGGTAGCGAAGGAGAAAAAGACCAAAAACAAAAAAAAAAGAATCGCTCAAATATCGTTTTTTGACGTTTCAGGAATACTGATCATTTGTGAAAAAAATGTTGAGATTAAACCATTGGGGTGGGGGTTGGGGATGTTATATTTAAATGTTTAATGTTAGTATATCTATATGGTCACAATCGGGGTATTTCTACGTATATATTAGACGTATTTCACAATCATGGATCTCTCCGTACATTAGAAAAGTCTTCTCAGCAGATGGATCCGTACCTACCGGCCGCGTCTGCTTCTGCTCCCTTCCTTGGTAAGTGTTCGGGTATTATACGTATTACTGCCGCGCCAAAAAATAGTGTTTCCTATGATAGGGCCGCGTTACCCCGTCTCAGAGTCAACCATTTTTTTTTGTATTTTTTATGCTGAAGCAGCCACACAGGCAGAAGCTTAAAGAAACCTGAACTGCCCTTAGGCCTACAACCTACATCTAATCTTAATTAGATGTAGGTTGTTCCACAATCTCAATACCCTAGGGACAATGGAACGGTCGTACCTGACAGTCCTGAATGTACAAAGTTCGACATGGTTACGATGGGAGGCCGAAGTTAGGCGGATCTGTCTGGTAGGAACATACCACGGCGGCATCATGGAGGAGCAAATCTCGTTGGTGTAGCGGTAGAAGAGAGCTAGATCTCCGACGGCCCACCGAAAGGGTCCCGAAACTGTCCGTTAGACGAGAGTCATCGATAAGTCCGACAGCCATCCTCCGAACAGCATCGAGCATGGATAATGTAGTCGAGGCGGCAGCATCACAAACATGTGATTAGTACTCGAGGCTAGGTCTTATCTGGACCTTGTACAGAGTGAAAAGTTCATGTGCCAGATCAGCATGGGTATTACGTATATGGAAAAGTGCCATTATATCGTTTATTTTTTGACATTATATTGTTTTTTTGTGACATTATGTAGGTTTTTCTACAAGATGTTAACTTAGCACTAGCTGATGGATACTTTTTATGAACTCGTTTTGTAGTTGGACGTGTTGCCTAAACGTCATGATGCTTCAGTTATCAATGTTTGGTCTGGTGTGATGTAAAATCTGCTTCAGAAGATTATTGGAGGTCTAAGCTGTCAGTTGTATGCTAATAATATGTGTTGATGATAATTCCATCGATTTCTTGTCTCAAATACACTTACTTGAGATTCAAAGCTGAAAATTAGTTGCGCATTAACCTTTTCTTATTCATTCTGGAAATTACATAGGCAAATTTGCTGAATTTAAAAAATGAGAGAGATAAGAAAAGAAACTCCCTGGTTAGTGAAGGAACAGGTGAGAAAAAATACTACAGACAGGAATATTTATGAAAGTGAAAACGTTATTATTTATTATTAAAATTTTATAGAAATTTATATTGCGATGATAATAGAAAATCCAAATCAGCGCCTATATGTGAGGCATTGCGAAAATGATGTTTGTTGCGTCATTCCTAATTTTTCTGTGATGTGGTTTAATTGCCCACAACGCGGGCGAGGCGGCAATTTTCCGTAGTGCTCCTCAAAGTTTTTGAAAACAAAAAACGGGAAGAATCCTAATTTATAGCTTTGAACATAACCTGTCTTCAGAAAAGACAACATATAAAAAACCCGTCGGGCACAGCTATTAGATATACTTCATTGGCAGCGTATTCAGTAATAATTTTCTCACATAGCAAATATCACTGATTTTATACACATGTAGACCAATACATATAATCACCCAGATGCAATCTTGCTACTCAACCAACTTTCTTTCTTTCATACCTTCTCAGAGATAAACACTACTGACTACTCGGCTTCACAAAACATAGTTGCTTTCTGCAACCAACAATGCGTAGTAGTAGCGAGCAAACGTGGAATAAACTATTTGAACCTTAAAAACTACCTAGTCTGTAGGTTTTTCAGATAATAGCTCGGTGATCTGGACTCCGACCAGCCGAAATGAACGGCCCTTTGGTAGAACTCGGCCATCTATCAAAACTGGATGAGCGCTAGGGCGCATCTTAGTCAAGATACAGAACTGTGTTTTGGAGGCATTAAACTGTACCAGCTTATTGCGTCCCCAAGCAGTGATAACCTCCAGGACTCTCATCAGGGAGGAAGTCGCGGATAGTCTTTTTTTGTCCAGCTCACCGGCAGATATCAGCTTGTCGCTGTGAATGTAGAGTGCTGTCATCAGCAAAGCTGTGGATTGTTTTTTTTATACTACAACTACTACGAAGGCCTAAGGCCTAAGCACCATTGGGTACCGTGGGGCTATAGGGGGATACATGGGAAAGGGGTAACGCCACACGGACTCTGGCGAGGGAACACATGTGCATGCAACATGCACACATTCTGGCTCCGCCTACGAAATCCGCCGGGTGGTACCTCCGCGTTCGACAGTCAGAGACCATCTACCACCTACGGATTGATCGTACAGGAAAGGAGGTCGCTGATATAAACATATAAGAGGAATAATGTAGGAGCCAAGACCGAACCATGGGGACCACCCGCGTTGACATTGTGGGATGAAGAGGAGAACCCGTCAATTACGACGGATATCTTGCGGCCAGAGGGGAAGTCAGCCACTCATCTGCAAAGCTGCTCTGGAAGGCCATAGGAAGGAAGTTTGCATAAGAGGGTCACAGCTGATCGAATGTTCTCGTGATATAAGAGAAGCAACCACCTCACCATTAAGACTAGATGAGTTTACTCCACGGTTGCGTGACGGAAGGTAGGACGTCTCCCGTGGATCGCTGGTGCCGGAAACCATACTGCCTGTCGCTAATTAAGTCGTAACGTTCGAGATACTCCCGATTTATGCAGAGCTATAGGGATATAGTTGTACAGGGATTTCCATTAGTTTGGCGAAAAACTTGTATGTATCCATCAGTTTGCATCTAGTCGCCTATGCAATCTGGTACGACTATAGAGTCGGAATACTTATGATTAAATGACACACAACCTTCAAGTTTTTTTACTAAAGTAATAAAAACAGGTTTAGTAAACCATATGAAGGGTTCGAGGAAATAACGACAATAGTCCATCCGGACTGATTTTGAGAAAATCGGTAATTAAGGTTTACTTACTTTTTGGAAAGTAAAATCGATGAAAAAATAAGTCGTAAAGACTATTTTTGCTAAACAGTGCGTTTATTGCTAAAATAGATTTTACAAAATGAACTTTTACTCAAAACTAGCAACGTAACAAACAAAAGATGATGTTCAACTATGGACTCGTGCCACTTTTCCCCTGCTTTAAGCGTCTATTGGCTGGTCATCGACATATTCATCACTGCTGTCTTCTGGACGATCAAGAGATATTAACTGTTGATAAAATGCCTGGAATCTGCTCCCTCTAGAAATTTGGACAGACCCTGCAGATTCTTCCTTTTCTCACTTTTAATAGTGATTGGGCACTGGTAAAGTTTTCTCAGTGGTTCCATTTCTCGTTTTTGTTGATCTTTTTGCGTCTTTTTTAGATTCTTCCGAATTACCTTATCAAATTTAGAACTAGCATATAGGCCGATGTACGTCGATTTGTGAAAAACTACGCGAGGATTCTGTTTACAAAACTTGAGCATCCTGACTGGTCGGGTTGGAAAGGGGCACTTAGTTGGATAAAACGGCGATAAAAACGTACTCCAATCTTGAAAATCAAAATTTTTGCCACAATCAATGACTTCAAATGGTGTAGGTTTCACACGGCAATTTTTCAATTCATCTCTCCAGTCATTCGGTACCTCAGTGTATGTTCTTTGGTTCACGATACTCATATCTCTATCACACTCGAGGTATGAATGTCCCCTGATCGGGAATAATACTTTCACAGTAGTAAAACGACTTTTCTTGGTAACCAAGTACATAATGCAAAAACCGAATGACTGTAAAGTTTTTATTTTGCCCTGCACAGGAGTCACAGATGGCAAGTTCTTTTATTTCCATAGGCAGGATGCTTTAAAAAAAAGTGATACAACATAGAACAAACATCGTCAGCTCCTTTCTTAGCAATAGATTCATCGTAGGTATAAAAGATAGAATTTGAGTTTGACAGAATGTGGATGTTAAAACTGATGAAATTTAGTTGCTGCTCATAGTAAACATCATTTGTCGTGATATTTTTACAGGACAAGTTTTCTTGGTAATCCATCGTGATACTTTCGATAGCGGGGAATTTCGAGACACGTTTGCGGTAAGTTCTCTTTAGACTGTAAAATCGCTCACTCCTTGTTTGATGTAGTGTCTTCTCAAATGTCTTTTTTCCCAAATTATTACTTGCTGACTGCCTAGTTTGTTCCGTGTGCGAATTTAAGGTAGCGGTAAATGAAGAGATATCAGCTTTTAAGGAATCACACGTACTACAAGTATCTTTTCGTGGACAACCGAACGATATATTGAAGTTGTTTTCAAAGATTTCTCGGAAGGATTCATAGGAAATCTTGTTTTCAACTTTACCAATAGAATACATTTTGTGTAATTTTGTGATATTTAGATTTTCAGGTAGGTAAACTTTTTGCTTATCTGCCAAAGAATAATGAGATTTGCGGCATTTGAGGCTCTTAACTCGGTCACTTTCTGTTTTGTGTTTTCTGAAAGTCATTTGTTGTGTTTTCCACGCATGTCGATGGGCGATTTCCCAGTTGCAACTGATGAGTCTCTTATGTACCGAAATCGACAAAAGTGTAATTCCGTGTAGAGACAAAAAATCCTTAAGACAAACTGGAACATCACGTATAATTCCATTTTCAATCAATCGGACACGATAACTAAATGAAGCTTCATTATATAGCCTTGACTCTGCTTCATTTTTTCGAGGGCGTCTACGCATGACAGAAAGAACAATGATAAGACCACTAAGATAAGCGTTTTGTGCATTAGTGTTTCCTAGTTCATTAAATTCACGAATAAGTGTACAGCGTTCAGGTTCAGGAACAGTAGTAAAACAGCGAAAACGTTCACAAAAACAATCAGATCCAAGTTTGTGGGTAGTGGCGCGCAACGTTTTCATTACGTCTGTTTGTCTTCCTGTTTCCATATGGACTGATGCCGTTTTTCCATACATGCGCAGGGATTCATGCCATTCTTCCCCGGCACAGGGAATCTTATAGCTGTTGTTTTGTGAACCTAGGCCCTTTTTACAAGTTAAGAAGCTGATTACAAGATAGCATCAGGAAAATGCCACCAAAATAAACTGAAAGCTCAATTTAGCCAAGCAATGGACTAATGCCGTTTTCCCCGGTACCCTTCATATATATTTGGAATCAGAAAAAATGGACTCTCATTGTTATTAAAAATATATAGGTTGCTCCATTTAAAAAAAATACAACTTTATTCGATAGCACCTATCTGATACCCAGTATACAAAAAATTGTACATGAAAAACTTCATATTATACCCTTTAACTTTTATATACAGCTGATTCTTCTAAAAGGTGATATAACAGTTAGAGAGGGTCAATTCATTGCCGGACACCATGTATGTTCAGTGCAAACGCCCTGCAGTTGACGGAGTCAGGTTCAGCACTGGAGTAATGCAAAGAGACCAAACGAACAGCAACCAAAGTAAACAAATGAAGTTTTTGAATCGCCTCTCCATGATGTTTCTCCTCAGAGGACATGTAGCTTTAGATTCATTTTAGAGATGTTCTAGTATGGGTGTACGGTAATATATAACTGTTTAACGTTTAAGTATATGCTCATTATGTATTTTTAACACGCCTTTCCTAGCTTGACCTGCATGTATCGGAATCCGTCAACCTAATTTTCACAAATTTCAAGAAGTGTGATTATAATGTAAATGAATATAAAAATTAAGATATTAACAAAAAAATCAATTATAGTGAAAAAACATGGGGAACAATCAACTACATATGTTTTCACAATAACTCCAATTTTGTTAATAACAACTGACAAAATTATTTTAACATTTAATATCAAGCAACCCAACCTCTAATTGATTTTTTTGGATAATATCTTAATTATTATATTGATCTTATTCCAAATTAATTATTCATACTTGATGTTTGGACTTTCTATTGCAGCAACACAAAATCTCCTATACTTGAAAATTATTTTCTCCTTTATAGTTAAATTTACTATCAAAGCGTGTTCTTTTGACTTTTCAACTATCATTTATTCGATAGTTACCAGAATGTTCTTAGACAAAGCTACACGTTTGTAGACAGAAAAACTCGAGGAAAAGTTTAAAACAAATAGCATGCTGATTTTAACTTAAAAGGACTACATAAGCTATCAAGCTGGTGAACAATGCATTGATCTTACCTTGATTATATACCGGTTGTAAAACTCGTCCTTGAGCGCGATGAGCTTCCTCATAAACCTCAAAGCACACAGTACCAGGAACTTGTGCGTGGATTTCATCAGTACCAGGATTCGCCGCAAGAGATCCTTATTCAATATGCAATTCTTTATGTGGTAGGTGTGGTGTTCTACACAAAAGGATAACAGCTCTAGGATAAGTCCGAGTAACTGAACACTACGATAGTCCTCTTTTTGTGGTTTATCGTTGGCGGTGTTTTCTAAAAGAGGAGCTGCAAATAAAAATGCAAGATTAAAATTAGAATAAAGCAGACTCATAGACGTTGAAATAAGATGTCTAAATCTATCTAGATTTAATTGTTTTTGTGTGTTCAAACTACGGACCGATCGACACCGATATACGAATCGGCCGATATGATTGCTCATATCCCGATAGAGGCTAACAAATCAGAATAAGGAATTATCGAGTTGAAGAAAAAAACCTTATAGGAATGAACATGTTCATTAATTGTACCAGTGCAACATATTTTCTGGTTATGCGTACGATTCAAATTGCACTATCGATTTTGTCAGTCTTTTGATATGGCGCTATTTTTGTGATTCTCAACATTTTTGACAGTACTGAACTTGATGCGTCAAGTAGAAAAAACTCTGCACTTCCCACACAACGCCATTACCATTAATTCAGTTCATAAATGATTAAGTTCAGCGCTGGGAAAAAAGTCAGTTACAGACATGAACAACACAAAAGTTAAACATATCAAGTCAAACAGGGACTTACAATTAGTCCATATACCTTCTTTCTCTACGTTACTGGTAGTTACCGACAATGTGGCAACGTTCTCTTTCCACATCTGCGCAGCATCGCTGCAGGGAGTTCTTTCATTTCGTACAAGTCCGTGTATGTTTTTTGCGCTTCAGAACGGGCAGACATATAAACCGGCGGTGGGCTTAGATAGATAGGTACGCAGATCGAAAACATTTCTCTACCATTTTAAGTTTTAAAGACAAATGTACTGTTAAATCTATGATGTGTGAGATATGGCTAAAAGATGCAAAGAATAACCGGGGTTACTAGCGTCTAAATATACTAACATCAAAAAAAATCCATATGCCCTCTTCCACCATCTACAACCCCTAACCCCCAAATTTTAACACGTACAGTAATTTTCTTGAAAATGATCAGGACCCTCTAAAACGCCAAAAAACAGGTTTGAGCGATTTTTATTTTTTTCGTTTTTTGACTTTATCTCCGCCGCCACTGGACCGATTTTCAACAACTACAAAGCTTTTGCGTCCTTGGCATGGTATACTCTATTTCACGAATATCAATACATTGGCAATAATGAATCGGGTATAAATCTAGTAAAACGTGTTTGGGGCGTTTTGTTTTTGTATACACATGAACTTTTCCGAATAAAAGAGCTGTTAGCAAGTACAAAATGCATCTGTAGCTTACAAAAAAGCAAAACAAAATACATCGGTCTACCTGGCGTTGACGGATCTGTCAGAATTATGTGTCATGTGTCGATACGGGGAATTTTGAAGTATTACTAGATAACCAGCTGTTATTCTACCGTGATGGTTACTCGAGAAATAGGGTACATTAAAACGTAAAAATGGCATCAAAATCCGAGCGGTATTTCTCAAGTTATGAGCGGTTATAAGGTGAGCTTAGACAAGATAGACAGACAGACCGACGGAAATGAGTGACATTCGTGATGTTCATATGTCATATAACATTCAAAAAACATAACATCTCATTTTCGAAACTTTTCGCGATTACAATACTTCCCCGCCAGTAGGCGTAGGAAGTAAAATCAAGATGCCATTCTAAAGAAACCAATTTCACGAAATTGAAGTTGTTTGAAACAAATAGAAAACCTGTGCCCGTGAACATCGCGTTTCGTCAAACGCATTTTTACGAAACCGGGTTTCATAAAGAAATCCTTTCCTGAGTCACTAAATGCACGTTTCAAGTTGAAATTTTAAACTGAAGGATTTTTCTTTGGATTTCAACAGTTTCCTTAACTTTTGAGGAAAAAATGATTGGAAAGGGGCTTTGCCAGTCTGTAGATGTTCTTGAAACGGTTCAATGGTAGGAGTTTTCCACTAATATCATTTCATCCTTAGACGAGTCGCAGCCAACGTGTTCACTCCTCATTTCCCAGTTAGGTACAGGGTGGCCAACTAAGAATGAGAGGTACTGTATCTGGGAACCTATCCATTACTTGCGGTAAAAATTTTTTTTACTAAATCGGTCAAGAGACACAACTGGAAAATATTTTCAAGTTTCTGAAATGGCAGCTATGGGGCGTAACTGCAATCTTGAATCTAAAAAAATGATGTTTCTGTGAATTCCGCCATTTTAACCTAACAAAAAAATACCTGCTCTCTAAAGTCAAGGATAATGTGAACTTTTTTGTTTGACAATTTTTGCTGTATCTCTAAAAATAAAGTAGTGGGGGGTATTCAAAGGTTTCCGTAAATAACACCTGTAGCTTCGAAACGCCTGAGCCGATTTTAACAAACTTGGGCTAGTTAAAAACAGCCATACTTGAGCTACAGATAATGTAATATTTGAGAGTTTGTGAATATGCATTTAAACAAAAAAATGCCTTTTGTTATAAGCACTTACCTTTTAGCGATATTTTGTGATATTTTCAAAAAATGGTGATTTTATTCTAATGAATAAAAAAGAATTCCAGAAAAAATCATATAAAAAATTAAAATGTAAGGGATTTCCGTATAAAACCTATGGGTTAGAAACAAGATAGAAAAATGCGGTTTTCGCGAGCTTGTTTAGACATAATTTAACTACTTTTTCATAAAAAAAATCATACCAATGCATAATTTGTTTGAGAAAATTAACCATTTCTGCCGGAATGCTGAAAAGGCCCTCTAGCGGCCACATACGAAATTAACAAAAATTCAAATATATAGAATTTGCAGCCCAAGAATTGCTCTTTTCAACTAACTCAAGTTTGTTAAAATCGGCTCAATAGTATCGGAGGTACAGGGTATTTTTAACGGAAACCTTTGAATACCCCCAACGACTTTATTTTTAGAGATACAGCAAAAATTGTCAAACAAAAAAGGACACAGAACCTCGCATTCTTAGTTGGCACCTTGTACAGAAAAACATGAGTGGCCAATAACACTGATATATAGGCCGTTGGAAGGTCGGTATCGGCAATAATCCTCTATCGGTTGATCTTTAATTCAAACTCACCAATGAGTATGTGTACACTGTGTTTGTAGAAAAAGTTGAGAAAGTCCGTTTTCTCGGACTTATTCACGGACGCCAGCATGTTTTCCGGGTCCAATAGAATCCGCAGCACGCCCATCAGCTGAACGGCTCCGCCCAACTCTGGATCTGTATCGCAGATCATTTGTTCTATGATAATGTTCAGTAACATCTGGTCCTATAAAGAAATTGGTAAATAAAGGTAGTAAAAAATATCAATAAGTTCAGTATGTGAGTTACACAATAATTATATCTATACACCTTTACCCTGCTCCCAAAATTAACTTATCAAAACTATGACATGCATATAACCTCCGACATTAATTATTGACAGTTCCAATTTGGGCAGCCAAGATTAAACAGAGATCAACGCAAGTGAGTGGCGCATTATTCATTGATAATTCCAACATATATGGAGGAACAATAAGATATCGTTCTCAGTCTGAGAAACTTCTAAGACTAACCTCATCCGTATTGCTAGCCTGTTGCAACGTATATTCCCTAACGACGCTTGGCGAAAACTCAACAATATACGTCAAAATATCAATGGAGGCAGTTTTGGTCTTCTGGTCGTCTGCAGCTAATGTGATCTCCAGTGCCGGCAGAATGCCCAGTGACGTCAAGGTCTTGTAGAAAGACTCCTTGGCGGCCGGTTGAAGATTCTGGCTGTAGTTGCAGAACTCCTTCAGGAACAGCACCAGGTCCCTTCGTTTACTTTCCGAGGTACTGAGATCAGTCAATGTGGTGAACAGTTCTGTGAGAAAACGTTCGTCTTCTTGCAGCAGGCTCACTATTTCGACCTTGTTGAAGAATATGAACGAACTCAATGTGCTAAGCATGTTCTCCTCGAACACTGACGGTGTAGGAAGAACGACATCCTGTATGTACTGCACTCGAAACGTCTGATGTATCTTGCTCAGCAGTTCCTGGTTTTTGATTGGTATCGCCTCCCTGCGAGTATTGGCAGAAGAATTTTGAGTTGAATTCACGTTGTGTCCAAAAATGAAACATCATACACAGCACCGCATTTTAGGGGGGGGGGGTCTTCTATGTAACATGTTTTCCTCGAGGGTTTCATTAACAAGATATAAAAAACGATATTAAATAAAAAACAATTTTTTTTAATATCTTCAAAATCGTCAACTGGAATGAACTAAAATTTGTTATTTGCATTTACCCAACTATTGTCCACATTCAAAAGTCTTTACTAAAATTAAAGTGCACCAGTGACCGAGATACAGGGGATTAGTGGCAATATTTTTCCAAATAAAAATAGTACGTCACTGTTTTCTTTTTTCAAAACGCGCAATTTTACGAATTATACCTTTAATTTGCTACAAATAATTACTGGTGTGTTTTTTCTAGAGTGCATTGTTTTCGTAAAAATAAAAAACAAATTAAATAATCAAAGCATTATTTCAATAAATGTTCGAAAAGACCACTATTTGTTGAGGCTTGAATTTGATGAAACGCATTATCTATTCTTTCTTGTAACTGATCAACAGTATTCATTTTTTCAGCATACGCTAGTTGTTTAAAAGCGTCCCACAAAAAAGAAATCCAGGGAATTCGAATCAGGAGACCCCGCAGGCCAATGTACGGATCCGTTTCAGCCAATCGATCGTTGTCTAAAATGATTATTTAACCATGCGGTTATGTCACGACGAACACGCGGTGGGGCACCGTCGTGCTGTTGTTGAAGATTTATTTAGCATTAATGCTGCAATGTCAATTTTGTTTAATGATTCGGTTACATATTTTTCTTCATCCATTTTCTGTAGTTTTACATTCTTGTCTATTAAAATTAAAATTACGTCACTATGTATTTTGATTATTCATAAAGTGTTTTTTTAATTTCACCTTAAACATTTTTAAATTCGAACTCTGTTTAATATCATTATTCAATTTATTAAATTCAAATACTCCCTTTTAAAATATAGATTTACTAGTTATGCTACTACACCTACAATTTTGCAGATGAAAATCTATAATGCCTCTAGTTTCGTAGTTATGATAATAACTGTTTAATTTTGTAAAGTTCTCTAAATGTTGTGGTAATAAATGATTTTTTAATTTGAATATGAAAACGAGAACTAAACAATATATGCAATTTTTCACATCCAACCCCTGCAGTTCTTCCAACATAGGCTTAATCCAAGCATATATGTTTTTATTTAAAATGATTCTCATAGCTTTATTTTGTATAATTTGTAATTTTGAAAATATGTCTCTTTTTCGATATTTTTGAAATAATGTATTCATAATGTTCGTGAAACAGTAGCTATCTACATATATACCAAGATATTTAAATGACTCTACTACTTCAATTTTTTCATCATTAAACATGAGCCTAATTGTATTGTCACCTAAATGTTTCCCTATTGACATACATTTTGTTTTATTAGTGTTTAATTTAAGTTTATTGACATTTAACCAATTCATAATTTTTTCAATATCACTATTTAACAGTTCTAAAGCAGTGTCCAAATTTATGTGCTATATATATATATATATAAAGTGTATCGTCCGCAAATATTTGAATTTTGCAGTGTTCTAAAATATCAGAGATATAATTTATATAAATAATAAATAGTAACTGCACTAATTTACTTCCCTGTGGCACCCCCTACTGATATATTTTGAACACTTGACATAATATTTCCAACTTTAGTTTTTTGACTTCTATTTACTAAATAATTTTGTAAAATGTTAACACTGATCCTTTAAAGCCATATTGACGCAATTTCATTAACAATTTTTCCCTATCTATAGTTCTAATGCCCTTTTGAAGTCTAAAAATATTGTTACAATATATTCTTTCTCAACTATACTTCTTCTCCAGTCTTCCACCACCATTTGGATTGCCGTTTCTGTGGAACATTTTTTTCTAAATCCAGCTTGATTTCTTATCAAAACTTTGGTTTCTTCAATTCTATGATTTGTTCGTATATTATACCCTCGAACAGCTTCTCGACATCGGGCAAGACAATAATCGGTCGCATATTTGTATACAGCTGAGAATTTTGAACTTTTCGCACAGGAGTAATGGTGGAACACTTTAATTTTGATGGGAATTCACCATGTACTAAACAATGATTCACCAACAATAATAATTTCTCTACAATTATATTGAAACAATCATTTAAAATATTTTTTGACAGATTCTCCCTTGGATTTTTATTAGATTTCAATTTTAAGATAGCTTTTCTTAGATTATTGATGATAATTGTCCTAAATTGCTTCATTGATGAATGACATACTTGTAATGGACATAAGTTTGGATCACCGTCATCAATCGTCTTCACTATTTGATTTATACTTTCTATAAAATGAGTGTTCATTCTTTCTGCTATAATTAATTTGTCTGTCACTACCCCATCTTCGAAACGCATTTTAGATAAATTAGTCTTCCTATTAGGAGACACAATATTCTTTAAGGTTTTCCACATCATTTTAGAATTATTTTTATTGCTATCGATCTTCTTATAGTATTTTTTCTTTTCCTTCCTGAGAACTGCTACACACTGATTTCTTGATTTTGTATATTGTTTCCAATCATTTTCACTTTGGGTTACTGAAAATGTTTTGTAGGCGTTATCGCGTTTTAATTTAGACTCCTTGAATATCTGTGAAAACCAGGGTGTTTCATCTATTATTTTCTTGACCAATAGCTTCACTAATATATTTATCCATATTATTCATATTCGTACTCTCATTGCTAACGGAACATCATCTAAAACATTTTCTATGTAATTCTCTAGGAAAGCTAAGTATAAGTTTGCATTTAAACATTGTGGCAATATCTGCATAAACAGTTGGCCATTGAAAATGCCGCACCAGACATTTCTAGAAAATCTGCGTTGAAACGAGTGGATTACTACAGAAAGTGGATTTTCTAACAACCAAATGCGAATTAAATGTTACACTCCTCGTAAAAAGCGATTCATCTGACCACGAAACCAAATCAATAAAATCTGCACTTTGATTATGCATTTGAAGTAACCACTCACAAAAATTTCGCCGATGCACTTCGTCGCCGTGTTGCAAATATTGTGCATTTTGCCGATGGTAGTGATGTCAAACTTCCTTATTTAAAACTATGTAATTGTATCTCGGCTCTTCATGAATGATATGATTGGTTTTATTTTTATTTTTATGAAAACAGTGCACTCTAGGAAAAAAACACAAGAGTCATTATTTGTAGCAAATTGAAGGTAAAATTAGAAAAATTGGGCGTTTAGAAAAATATTTGGAAAAATAATGCCACTAATCTCCTGCATCTCCGCCACTGGCGCACGTTAATTTTAAGTAAAGACAATACTTAGGTAAATCCACATACCAAATTTTAGTTCATTCCAGTTGACGATATTAAAAAAAATTGTTTTTTATTTTTAAACTTCAACATCGCGTATATTTTAAATGAAGCCCTAGAGGAAAAAATGTTACATAGAAGACCCCCCTGAAAATGCGGTCCTGTGTATAATGTCACGACTTGTGAATGACCCTGTATATTTAAACCTGTTTGAACTATCCAAATTTAATTACGGATATATAAGAACGAATGAACGAATTTCTAAGAGGTTTTTCCAACACACAAGTGAAGAAATGATTTATTCTTGAAAAATTGATGCAATCTATTTTTGCTATTAAAAATTCAATTTTGTCTTAATGAAAAAATGAAAATAGGTGCAAAATTTGACAAATAGAATGTAACATTCTGGATCGAACTGAGCTTTGGCGCTCTTTCAAAAAAGGTACTATAACACTCATTAAATTATACTTTTTAAAAGAAGATCTACATTAGACGAGTGACTTTACAGACTCTGTTGTCATAATACACTGTATAGTAATGAAGGAAAGGAAAAACAAACGAAACGTCACCTAGAAGAGATAAAATATATTGTCATCAGAAATGTCCTTTGTACTTGAGAAAAGCCACCATGGTGGCCAAAACGAGGAACATGGAGAGTTATTAACGATTTAGAAAATGCTCCATTTGATTTGTGTGCAATCTCGGGAGAGTACTCACCTAAACCTTGCCTGCTGCTTTAGATATTCCCTATGTCTTTTAGGCTGAGGACTGCTAGGGTCATACTCCAGACAACCCACAACATCAAAAATCAAGTCGTCACTGAACATGGTATCAAAAAGTACATTCTTGTTTAACAGGAATATATTCTTAAAGATATCATAAAGATGGTGGAGACCTTCCAAACTTTCCAAGTCCTCGCACATGTGGAACAAGTTGATCAGTTTACGGATATAACCTGTAAAATAATGTCAATTGCAAACAAGTACCATAACTTACTGACAAGCAGTGTAGATAGGATTGCTGAGATAATTCACCAACTTTGGCAGATTTAATTATAATTACTAAACTGTACTTACCCTCACTCTCTATAGCAGCTGCCAATTTTTCTTTGCGCATTGGTGAGCTCAAACAACTGCCAATTAATTCACTGATATCTTCCAAACGACTAAGTTCACAACTTGGTAGTTCAATTGGTGGGGAGCTATCTGACATATCATCGAATCTTGAAAAGAAACTTGATTGAAATAATTGTCAGATTACAATCATCTGATTTTTTTACCTTTCATCTTCAGATTCTTCCACAATATCCTGGGTAATCTCAACTGAAGGATCTTTGCCTTGGACTTGGCAGATCTTTTCCCAAATCTCATCACAACCAAGCTTTTCTTGAAAGCTGAGTGCCAGGTCAAAGTTATCCCCTTCTGACCATACTATTAACGTGTCCTAAAAAAGGAACATTTCAACATCAAAACTGGAAAAACTCATGATAAGTGAATGACACTGAAATAGAGTTAGACCATGACAATAGTGCAGCACTATGTTAGGAATTGTTCTTACCAAGAGCAACTGACAACCGCAGCCCGACCGAAACCCGACTCCGTATATGTATTTAAATACGACAGTTCTCGCCAAAGCGACTGCAATGGGGCCAGTTGGTCAACAGTTGTTGGCACTGCCGTCGTTAGTCTATTTGAAGTTGTCCACTAGTTGATGAAAGGTTTCATCTATAGATATCATTGTGACATTTCAGCTAATCCAACTCGGTATGTACTTAATCACAAGTATTCTCACCAAAGCGACAGCACCGCGACCAGTTGCTCAACAGTTGTTGGCACTGCCGTCGTTAGTCGGCTTGGATTTGTCTACTACTATACCCTTCAGCTATAGAACCCTAATGGTAACCTCAAAAAATCGTTAATATCTGGATACAAATATTTATTCATAGTGTTATGTGTTCACACTATCGACTTCAACAGTCTCTTGATCAGTAACTTTTGGAAATATTCAAAGACAGTACTAGTTTTCCTTATTTTTGACATTTTCATTTAGCATTAAACTTGCAAGCAAAACAGATAAATGTAAAGACTTGCTTTGATTAAGGTGTGTATTGCATTTTGAAACCCCTCATTGAGATAGCACTTTTTATTTTGCTGTCCTATTATTATTATTTAATATATATTGTTTTAAAGGCTTTAAACACAACCTCAAAACGAGACTGCCACTTGCTTGGCAATTGCTTCAGTAGGAACACAAAAGCAGTGTAAGTGAAATCAAGTTGCGGTCGGATTGTCATCAAGATGCTTTTGACGAGAACAGTGCTGTCAGAAACAAAGTTCATACCTGTTGCTTCTGGTAAGCTGTATCAGGCTGTATTTTGGACTCTAATAAGAGTGACCCATCACTTTCAGCCCTTACAAGTAGAGAAATGCCTTTAAGTCTATCAACATAAGAAGAGGAGACATGGCCAGTTCCCCTATCATCCCATTGCCTATCTGCATTAAGAGCATATAGCTTCACTCGTCTTCTTGTGTCTGTCATTTTTATGCCCTTCTGCTGTTTGTATTCTTATCTTATTAAAGAATAGACAGCATCATTTGACATCTGTTGAAAATATTATTATTAGATACATGGTACATAAGTTTGAATATAAGGTAAATTGTCATTATTATGAGCATAACATTAAAATAAAGGTTATAAGAAAAAAATTAAGATGCTGTATAAATTTGTTGATATGATGTTAACAGGTCTACAACACCAAAACAAATGATAGATAGAAGCCTGGTCAGAGAGCAGTGAGGAGGAGAAGAGGTACATATTCCATAGGCCTATCAGTTGAAAAAAGCCCAAACCAACTGCCTGTTTTGAGAGCTGTTGCAGTTTCAATGTTGGCTGAAGCAGGAACACCTGTCATAATTTCATAATTTGATTACCTTCCAAGAGAGGTTTATGTAATTTTGCGCACTGATTTATTTACACCTGACATTAGTATACTAGATATCAAAAAATAAATATGTTTTCCATTGACAATTTCCATGTTCAATGAGATTCCATCTCCAGGGTTGGAGCAATGGGGTGAAGTGGAGTACTCTGCAAAGTGATTCGCTCTGAGGTATTTCAGCTAGTTAGTGACCTTAAAATTACATTTGCATCTTTAAAAGGTCGCTTTTTTTAAAAATTGATTTACTTTTAAAAAGAAATTCATGAAACACAAAAAAGGATTGTGCAAATCGAGACGACATTTTATGAGTGTAGTGTTGTAAGTTAGTGTATTTACTAGATTTCAAGCAGTTTTGTTTTTCAAGTATTTAAGAGTAACAACTGTGAAATTCCGTAGAAACCCATTGATGTTACTCTTCAAGTTTTGCAGCATTTCATTTACCTCATTTTGCGACATTTGTTGGGTTTTTGAGTGTTCATAGGATAAAAGTTACAATGAAATGCAAAAAGGTACAATGTAATTTTAGTTTAAATAGCTACTGTAGCTGCTCCATGGATTAACCATAGTTTTTATGAAGAACTATGTAATAGAAACATCTTGTGCATAAAAAAGCTATGCAAATACTATAAATGTGCATACACAAGTATACTGGAGAAGATAATTGATCATCCACATTAGCTAACTGATTCTGGCAAAAATATGCTGCAACCTGGGATACTTTTTTGATGGTGAGCTAATTTTCTGAATAACGTCATTCAGGTTTGGAATATATGAGCTTTGCAATCTACATATGCAATTCGTTTATTTACAAAACTTGTGCCTGTTTTTGAGTTCCAGGTACAAACCAAGTACATGGTGCATCTCTAAAAGTAATAAATATCATTTAGGCAGAATGAAGGAGAATGTGTTGAAAATTCTCAAACAGCTGATGCACAATATTGCTATTCCAACTAAAAATATTTGGATATTGCTACATAATGTTTTGAAAGGAAAACATGTTTTCCCCATATCCATTAGTCAATAGTAGAAGATTGTTAGCTTAAACACACATAGTTCTTTTCACAGTTTTCGGCAGTTATTTCAGAATGTAATATGTAATAAGAAAATAGATTGACTAATAGTACCATGTTTTTGTTTTATTTATCCATATCCTTGGACAAAGAACATTGTATAGGAATAATGTATATCTACCCATAAATAACAAAAGACAGTCAATAGTGAAAAATCACATTGAATGGCATACATCACAATGTTCTTCCACACCATACTTTAGATTGCAGAAATTCCTTATTTTCAAAGGCAGCAACATTTTTTTACGTGCATTGCTTAACCCCAGGAAAGGAAATTGCACACTGTGCAAGAAACTCTGTAATGCAACTGCTACTTACTATTGCACTCACACATGAATATTTCCGAAGGCAGCAGGTTAAATTTTTTTTATGTGCATAGCTTAACCTCACTAAGGGAATTGCCACACTCTGCAAGCCAATCCATAATGCAGCTGCTACCCGCTCTTGCACATACACATGAATTGGGTGATACGAGGATTGTATTTTTCACTCTCTTTCTGAAAATGTCTGCACACCTGCACAGACTGTCGACATTGCAGTTGTATGTTCAAGCACCACTATGTTTTATATTGTAGATGAATTTAGGGAAACATAAATCAGACATCCATGACAAGCAAGTTGTCATACTAATAGTGACAAGCATAAATGTGGAAGTATCATACGTTGAGAAGAAAATTTTCATGGTGGTGAAATAAAACTAAAAAAAAACTTGTGTTTTTGAGTTCACACTAATAAACATATGAACCTAGAGACTAATTCCATATGTATGTGTGAGGGAGGATGTATGAGAGTAATTTCTGTAGTGATACTGTAACCCACCAAAAACTATGAAAATACACACAGTAACATTCTATTTGAACATTATTTTATATAAGTCTAGTCCATCTTCCTGAATGCTCTATAAACATGAGAGTTTCATATTAATAATAATGGCTTCAACCTTTGACTATCAGATACATCTTCAGTATTTTGCTTAGGCAAAGATATTCACATAAATTTCCATCAAACATTTTTATATCTATGTTTTTAGTATCCTTGATAGCCTAGCATTCTACCAGTAGTTCTGACAGCAGTGCTCAAATAATTTGCTGTGTTTGTTGTAAACCACCTATATATAATGCTATAATCAAAATATGACTCAAAGCCATTCTAAAGCAACCTGCTGGAACTGGAAAGTCAATCACTGGAATAACTTTGAGGTCTAGGATTTGCCCAGGCAGTTCAAGTAATATAAACTAGGAGGTATCTAGATTAGGTTATTGGTTACATATACCAATGTCAAAATACGTATATTCTATATTCTGAGCTTCTGCTGAGTGTCTGTGGAGAAAATTTAACAAATTTATTGACTACGTGCGAGTGTGATCCGAGGGGCATAAAATGCATTGATACAATTCGTATACGATAGTAACGTTCACTGACGAAGTTTGTTTATTCGCACTTTTCTCTTTGTGTAAGTATAAATTAACACATTATCCATAGCTTTTATAATATAATAAAAGTATTATCAAAAAAATACTCACATTTTTGATGAAATACTTTTCCAGTACCTTTGTGATGAGGTCTCCTTGCTAAGGCTACCTCCAAACCTTTGCCTTCCCTATAAATGCGCTATTTACTACCTTTTCCTATTGACACAATTTGAATTTAAGACTTATTATACTCTATAAACATTGAAAAAGCTAGCTTAGTTCGTTTTTTATCTAAAAAATCGAACTTATTTGGACATTTTCACAAACACACTGACAGCCATTTTACCCAAGGATCAACGCTTGCGCGGTTGCCAAATATACATAGACTTTGTCAGATAGAATACAGTCAAAGTAGTTCCATGGTAATAGCTAAATGCTTTTCCAATGACTCCCTATAAATTGCCCCTCCTCTAACTTTTTTGACTGACCGTTCAGAAAAAATCTATACAAAATTTGTAAAGTCCAATATAAAATTATGTTTTTTAAATAGAGTACCATGGCATAGTTTTACAAAAAATGAATGCCGCTTTTTTCTGATTACAAATTTATATAATTAATTATTAATTATTTTCATTACATTAGTTAAAAGCTTATATTTGGGGTGCCATTTAATCATATATGCAGCTAGCTATAAATATCTGATGATGCAAACATAGTTTGAACTCGTATATTTAAATGACACAAAATTTAGGTATAGGCATGATAAACTAAATATACAGGGTGTTCCATAATTATTGCGACAAAATGATAGGGGTTGTAGAGGGCATCAAAATGAACATTTTTTCCTTATAAACCCCTGTTCGGAAATATGCCGTTTGGGCTGCAGCAAAAAAAAAAGATCAGTTTCTTGAAACAGCTTACCTACAGTAATTGCTCAAAGTGTCCTCCACCTTGCTCAATACACAGCTGTGCACGATTGTTCAATGATCGGCGAACTCTGTCGCATACCCCAGGTATGTCCTGAACATGTGCGGACGCGGCCATCACTCTTCCCAGTAGCTCTTGTTGGTTGGGAACAGGAGTTTCGTACACTAAAGCTTTCAGATAGCTCCAGATAAAATAATCCAGTAGGGTCAGGTCAAGTGACCGCGCAGGCCAAGGCACAGGGCCACCTCGGCCTATCCACCTATTTGGAAATTTGTCGTCCAAATACTGCCGCACTTGTAAAGAAAAGTGGGCTGGAACGCCATGGTGTTGAAACCACATGTTGGCTCTTATATTCAGTTGCACATTTTGTAATAGTTCCGGTAGCACATGCTGTAAGGATCGACCATAAGCATGCCCATCCAAACGTGGTGGAAGCAGATATGGCCCGATGATATGCTCGTCCACAATGCCGCACCAGATGTTAATTGAAAACTGATGTTGGTCTCTATGGATGGCTATGGCATGAGGGTTTTCTTCATCCCAAATGTGACTGTTATGGCTATTAAAATAACCGTCTTTTGTAAAACAGGACTCGTCAGTGAACAAAACGTAGCGACCAAAGTTTGGTTGCCTCAACTCCTGCTGCAGCCACCAACGGCAAAAACGTCGACGCGGCAGATAGTCTGCTGGACCCATGGCTTGGACTTTTAAAAGGTGGTACGGGTGTACGATAACAAAAATGTAAACACAGCAGGCTTTTTTTACAAACCGGTGAGACCATGAAATGTGCTAGACGAACATTTTGCAGCTGGTGAATTTTTTGTTTCTCCTATGAGCTCTTAAGGTAAAATTAACTGTAATGCTCAAACGGCATATTTACGAACAGGGGTTTTTAAGGCAAAATTGCATATTTTTATGCCCTCTACAACCCCTATCATTTTGTCGCAATAATTATGGAACACCCTGTATATTTGTAATCAGAAGAAAAGCGGCTAACATCTTGACTAAAAATATACAGGATGTTCCATTTAAAAAAATATACTTCATTCGGCAGCATTTTTCTGAAAAAACCCTAAAAAACAAAAAAATCATTGCAAGAAAAACTTTATATTAGATCTTATAACTTTTATATTGGACTTGATTTTCCAAACATCACACAAAAAGTTAGAGCAGGGTCAATTTATATACTAAGTGACATATAAATCCGAACACCCAGTTTAAATGGGTTTATTTTAATAAGATTTTGTATAAGTACTTAATGAAGCATAATAAGTAAATGATAAAAATTTCAAAATGATTGCACTGCTTTAAAGCCCTTTGACCTTTAATACTGTGTGGATGCATGTGCTACGCATACGCATTCTCCAACGCGCCTACGCATGCTTCTGATCAGGTGGTCAATGTCCTCCTGTGGTATCTCGTTCCAGGCAACCACCAACTCCTCTCGAAGTGCTTCTAGAGTCTGAGGAGGACGTTGCAAATTGAGCATCTCTACTGCAATTGCCCGAAAAGAAAGTCCAGCTTCCCGAAGTCCCACTATACGTCCCCTATCAAACTCACTAAGTTGACGAAATCGTACAGGTCTCCGTACTCTAGGCATCCTAATGGATCGTAAAGGATGTCAAGAACCAAAATCCGCCAACGTTGATTCTTTACTGCGGCTGAAATATTCATTTTTAGAGCGTTAGTGAATTAAAAAAAAGCAGTATAAAACCGGAATGTCCAACTGATAAGGCTGAAAATTTTTTCACTTGTTATTTACAGTAAGATAAATTTGCTCATTGAATGCAGAACTAGCCCAAGTCCATTTTTGCCGAATTTGCATTAACAACACCATGGGATGCTACGGCGCATGCCGGATTTGGGTGCAGAACTAGCCTATAATATCAACACGTTATCCCCTCTACCGCATCTATTATGCAAATATCCCAACTTGCGACGCGTTCCGAGATTCAGTGCAGAAGAATCCCTTGGCGGTTGCGTATGCTAAGTATGTGCTTTGTATGGACATAGGCTAGTTCTGTATTAGAATTTGTATACCAAGTACATAGTAGCTGTGGACATAGAATACTTCTGCAATACGGTAACATCCTTAAAAGTAGCGATATTATTTTGTATATCGCGGTCACAATGAATTCTAGAACTCTAAAAATGATACAATTGGTGGCCCCGAAAAAATCAGAAGGCACCCCGAAGGCTGGTGAGACAATAAATTAAGTTTTAATAATTTCCGAATTATGTATGGGTATGATTTGTAGGCATACAACATCAAGAGAAAAGGAGCTCATCTACATCGTTTACTCCGAGTGCCAAACAAAAAATTGGAGATGCTATTACAGAAGGTAAGTGACATTAGACTTCGATACTGTATAAACTATAAAGTTGTAATCTACAAAAGACGATTTGAGGGTGACTCGAAGAGGAATAAGAAGGGAAAACTGATTGGGTTATAGGATTATAGCTAAACAATTATTAACCCGACTATTATTTTCTGTAGGTGGATCTCAAAAATTTTCCCACATTCGTTCGTGTTGCCTTTCTGTTAATTTACAAAGTCCAATTTGATTCTAGAATATGTACAAGAAAATGATGGGGGATCAACAACTTCGAACAACCAAGCTCATGATGTTCCCAAGATACCTTCAACGGCAAGAAGCATAGCTCAACTGATGCAGGACAGTATCACCCAACGCCTCCTCTTTTTTTGATGCCTTGGGAAAGTTCAACTTACATCCTACAAAAGAACTCTGTAACCATTGAGGAATTTCCATCCAATGAAATCCTTAAGATCATTAATCCCGCTGTAGTTGAATTGAACGGTGGAGATACATATGAGAAAACTGTTCTACAAAATACTGACTTCACCTCAAAACCCTCAAATACTATAGAGGATGATTTTATGCTTTCTGAATGTGAGACAGACCCGTTTGCCACCAGTGATGATAGCAATGACATGGACTATATACCAACATTAAGGAAAAACTCAACTCACAGTAGAGATCCAGATGATATCGAAAACTCATAGGAACATGATAATAAAAATGAGCCGATGAAAACCAAGAAAAATACACGGAAGAGACAGAGGAATCCGGGTGAATGGAGAAGAAATGAAAGAAAGAAGCTGCGGAATCTTGGCGAGAAGTATATAGACTGGAGAGGAAACCTTCGTCCAAAAAGGCAACCAAAACCTCCTTGTACTAACTGCAGACAAAAGTGCAGCGAAAAGTTCACAGAAGAAGAGAGGAAACAGATATTTGAGAGATATTGGCAACTGGGGGACGTCAATAGGCAACAGGATTTTATTGCCCAGTATGTAGATATAATGGACAAGAAAAGAACACGGTTGAGAAAGCAGGATGGGAACAGTAGTAATGAAGATACAGAAAACACAACAGGAAGAAAAAAGGCGTTCCTTTAGTATTTTAAATCGTGGACAGAAAATAGCGGTCTGTAAAACTTTTTTTATTAATACTTTAGGGATAAGCGCCCAGGTCATTAAGACAGTGTTCAAAAAAATGGGTAGCACCGGTGCAGTCGGGGCAGATCGGCGTGGTAAAGCATGCAAGAATTCTAATTGAGTGATTCAATAAAGCAGTCAGTGAGGGACCACATTAATCTATTCGAAACAGTCGAGAGTCACTACTGCCGAAAAAACACTTCAAAGCAATTTCTGCCACCAACGCTTAATATTTCGAAGATGTATGGCCTTTATCTTGAATATTGTGAGCAGAACAATATCCAACCTGCGACAGAAAGCATTTACAGAATAATCTTCAACACCGAATACAACTTCTCATTTTTCATCCCTAAAAAAGATTTGTGTGATATTTGCAACACGTATGATGGCGGCACAACAGAAGAAAGAACTGAAATGGAAGAAGAATACCAGTTGCACAGAAAGAACAAGGACATTGGACGGGATTTAAAGAATGCTGATAAACAAACGGCTAAGCAAAATAGAGAATTTTGTGCAGCCGTTTTTGATTTGGAACAAATACTGCCTCTCCCCAAAAGTAATGTTGGTATGGCATATTACAAACTTAAATTATCAACATACAATTTCACGATTTTTAACTTGGCAAATTCTGAAGGACATTGTTACATGTAGTACGAGTCTGTTGGGAAAAGGGGAAGCTCAGAAATAGGCAGCTGTTTGATGCGTTTTATCGACCTCAAAGTACATGAAGGTACGAGAGAACTTTCTTTCTATTCCGACAATTGTGCAGGTCAAAATCGAAACAAACATATTTTTAGTACGAATAGCTTATTAGCACAGAAGCACAATATTGTGATAAGGCATACATTTTTGGAGAAAGGTCATACGCAAACCGAAGGGGATTCTATGCATAGTGTAATTGAACGAGCATCTAAGCCTATCCCTTTATTACCCCTGATCAATGGTATACTTTAGTACGCACGGCAAAAAGAAGTAAACGGTATGTAGTAATTGAGATGGACAAAGAGGATTTTTTTGATTTGAAAGCGCTTGCCAAGGATACCATTTTGAATTGGGATCGTGATGTGGAAAATGAGAAGGTTTCTATAAACAAAATACGAATTTTAGAGGCAACCTACAGATTTCCAAATAAAATTTTATTCAAATACGACTACAATGAACCGTTCAGAACAATTGATTTATTAACAAAAGGCAGGAGGACAACTGATGTTGATCTAAAAAATATACAGTTAAAGCAATGTTACAAGGGTGCTATCCCGATCAGCAAAATAAAGTATGATCATCTGCAATTCCTATGTGACAAGGGGATTATACCTACTCGGTACCGCAGTTTCTACAAGAACTTACAGTATTCCGACATAAGTAGGGATGACGACTCAGAATAGAAGTTCATCATTTTTCTGTTACAAAAAGTTTCTTAATACTACCACTTTTTTATATATCAGGTAGCAATAGTTGATCTGGTGGGGATACTGAATTATAATTTTTATTTCCTGTTATTATTTTGAGCACTGTTCATCGTTTACCTGAATGTCTCGTTTATGTTTTGCTAGTTAATTATAATATTATGTACCTGAATAATAAGACTGCTTAGTTGTCAATAAATGTTTTCAATTCATGTTCAAATTCAACGTATTCCCGTTTCTATTTTTGTACTGAATAAGCTGAATGTACATATATAGATATAAACATGGGTCAGAACTAGCCTATGTTACTTATATAACGACTACACCTTATCCTATGTGGACATAGGATACAACTTCCACGAGGACGAGTATCCTAAGTCCACAGGCTTTGTAAGCCTAAATAAAAAAAAACTTAAAAGAGCAAAACACATGCAAGTATACTCATATTATGAATACATTTTCATTCAAGCCTTGCAAGAAGTTTAAGACAAAATCAGAAAAAATGATCTCCTGTAAAATTTGCATTTTGTGACTTGAGCTAGTTCTGCATTCAATGAGCGATTAATACATTCACCAACTTTTATTAAAATAAAACCATTTAAACTGGGTGTTCGGATTTATATGTCACTTAGTATATATACAAGTAAGCTCTTACGTACTTTTGTAGAGATATGAGTATTTTTTATTTTATTATGAGATCATAATTTTAAAGTAGAAATTAATAAGCTGTTATGCAGAGCAGTAGGAGCTTGGTAGTCGGATTGGCAGTAGATTGTACCGTAGAGCCAGACTAGGTTATTGAGTCCAAGTAAGTAGCTTTGAGGTTAAATTGCTTTTGAAATACTTGTTGTATTTTTGCGAGTGAAGCTTTCGTTTTAATTACATGAAGTTGAAATTGCATTTATGAATTTTTCTTTAGTTGAAGCGACTTTACATACTTCGGTTTCCAGAAAAAATCATTTCAGGAATCATAACTTCAAGTTCAAGAAGTGTGAAGATTAAACCAAAATTACGTAGTTAGTAGTCGAGATGCAATTTTATATTACAATTCGATCAGGCTTAGTCTGCCAGTTTGATGGTTTAAATTTCATATCAAATTCATATGTTTCCGCAAAAACATTAAAAGCGCATTATCGCAGCATGTAAGCAGAGAAGAAATCTAGTTCCTATGCTTAAAAAAGTATCCTGTGTAGCCATATACCACAAGAATATGGTCATATAAACTCACTGGATAATGTCCACCTGTATACCTACGGTTTTGCTAATATCGTTTTTCATCGCTTTTTCCTATCATTTCTGCTAAATCAATAAATTAATGTTTTCTTTAACATACGGAAAAGTTTAGAGAATTGAAAATTATCATAGCTACAAAGCCATGGTTCCATCATTAGAATTTTTTTTCTTACAAAAAACATTTCTGCCATTAATATTATGAAAGGTACATAACACAGAAATTTTAGTTATTCGCTTGGAATTGATTATAGACGGGCCAAGGGTTAACAGACAAATAGACAGACAGACGGATAGAAATGTCATATAACATCCAAAAACCATAATATCTCATTTTGATAATTTTGGTTGTTTTTCGCTTTAAGGTAAATAATATCGCGAGCATCACGGCTTGATTAGCGACGAGCAGTATGGTTTCCGACACAAGCGATCTACGGCAACCCTTTTAGCTTACGTTACACAACTGTGGAGTAAACTCATCCAGTCTCATGGTGAAGCTCATGTCGTTGTCATTGACATCACGAAGGCTTTCGATCGGGTATGACATACTGCCCTCTTACGCAAGTTTCCATCCTATGGCCTCCTTGAAAAAAATTGCAGATTATTCTGGGACTTCGTCACCGGCCGCAAGATGTCCGTAATGATTGACTGTTTCTCCTCTTCGTTCCACAACTTCAACGCGGGTGTTCCAATGGGATCGGTCTATTATATATCAACGACATCCTCTCCTGCATGCTCAATCATATCCACAGCTTAGCCGATGACACCACTCTATGCAGGCATTCAGTATTGCAACCGATCACTGCTCACTGGCGATGAGCTGGCGAGAATCAAACTAGTAGAGACATCCGTTCTATCGAGAGACCAGGAGCTTACCACAATCTGGGGAAGAAATAATATGGTATCTACAGTTTAATGCTTCCAAAACATAGTACTGTGCCTCGACTAACAAGAAGCGACCTAGCACTCATCCGGCTTCGATGGGTAGCCCAGTTCTGCCAAATAGCCATTTATTTCGGCTGGAGGAAGTCCAAATCACCGAGGACCTGATTTGGGATGAACAGATCTCGTCAATCGCAATAGCTGCCGGTAAAAGCTAGGCTATTTGTTTAGGGCTAAGAAGTATTTTCTTTCACAACACCCTCACTCTGTAAAAGGCCCAGATTTGAGTATTGCTCAAATGTTTTCTCCACCGACTACATTGTCCATACTTGACGCTGTTCAGAAAAGGGCTGTTCTGCTGATCAATGACACTTCTCAGTCACGAGATTGTATCGCTCTCTTCTACCGCTGTGTCAACTGGGTTTGCTCTTCATAGCTCTCGTACATGATGTGGTTACGCGTTGAGCCTGCCAGACGGAACCACCAGGTTTCTACCACCCATCCCAACACTGTCGAACTTCGTACATCGAGAACTGGTCAGTCGATCGCGCCTTCGTTTCTACGATGTCGAGAATGTAGAGAACAGTCTGCCTAAGAAGCCTTTTCCCAGTTCTGCTAACCTAGGCAACAAACCGCCTTTAAGTCCTTCTAAAACGCGATACGCGATTACGTGGTCTGTCGAAACAGTCTGGCTCGGATATAGTCTGCAACTTGAGATGATTTATAAAGCCGTAACTTCCTTATTATTACAGGTAGGTGGAGGCTGCTCGTAGCAACTGAAAATCACCGTATTATTATTAACTTAACATAAAACTCAGACAAGAATGGACTTAACCCTGTCTGCCTCTCAGAAAGAGCAAACCATTGATTTTTTTATATTGCTTAATGCTATTTGTAATTCCCTTTGACCTAATTTGAGGAAGATATTATTTATTGTAGGTACCACAAGAGCAAGATACGATTGCTTTTTGCTTATATACTTTTCTGAGATCCTACACTGAGCTAATGTTGATAAAAGCCATCAGCCATTTTAACTCCTGAAACTTATCCGAGCTTTCATGTTCATGGGACTTCATTGTGTGGCCGAATCAAACGACATGTATGTCTTAATTTCACCATCATTGTATTTGGCCGTGGTGGCCGAAAACAAACATTTATGTGGTGTGATTCGGCCAGACATGGTTTATCGTTACCCGGTGTTTGCTGGGATGGCTTAGCTTTGGCCAATATAAAGTGGCAACTCTAAAATATTATTCCATTTGTAAACAGTTACCAAGTGACCTTGAAGTGAGAGAAAATGTGTATACCAAAAATAAATTTTGAGCGTGGTTACATTTTTATAGCATATTATTCCTACAATACCGAAGCTATACGCCGATGGATCACGTTTGGGAGCTTTATTCCAGCAACACTGTAAACGGGGTTCACTGGGTAACTTCCAAGGACAGACGTTGACAGATTTCGCCTTTGCATGGAACATGAAATGCGCACATCATAGACATAGATTGTATCAGAGATTTCAGTAACCAGTCTTGGGGAGGAGCCTTTGGTTTTGATTATTTGAGTTGGTGGTTTCACTGACAAATTCTAATTGGAGTTGTCTATCACATTTATACACTAATAAAACCTTTCTGTGTCTATAATCCTCTATGTATGTCAAGCCGAATCAAACCACATATTATGTCTTTTGTTTTACTTGGGTTGATATCTTCTTTTCTTTGCTCTATCCTCAAAACAATATTCCATGACTGAATTTTCTCGCAAGCGTCAAGTCACGATGCCAAGACACAAATCAAATTCAAGCGGATAACCAAATGGAAATGGTAATTTACCATTTTGGGTTGGTATTTACCAATCCGTTCAAGCGAGTGTAGTTATCAGTTGGTTATAAGATCCGTGGACGTCACGAATCAGCTGTTATATGTCATAGTTATCACCGCAAAATTGTGGTATTTACCCAACTCAAGAGTAGTTTTATATTTCTGTTATATTTGAAATGTGACAAGTTAGAATTTTGCCGGGTATTGGATATTGTTATTGTAGTTCAGCTTCATTTTTGAGAAAAATGATACAGGCTGACTTCAGTTTTACCATAAAGTGGAGCACCTTATTAGTTATACTCATTACGGTTGTTGGGGACACTTTAAATGTAGTTCCTATGCTTAACAAAGTATCCTGTGTAGCCATATACCACAAGAATATTAAAATATGGCCATATAAACTCACTAGATGATATCCACCTGTATACGGTTTTGCTAATTTCTTTTTTCATCATTTCTGCTGAATCAATAAATGTTTTCTTTGACATGAGGAAAAATTTAAAGAATTGAAAGTTATCATAGCTACAAAGCCATGGTTCCATCATTAAAAAAAAAATCTGAAAAAAACATGTCTCCCATGAATATTATGAAAGGTTTCTTATTTAAACTTTCCATATACAGTTGTAGACGAAAAAGCACCGATTATTAAGTGATCATAAAAATAATCAGAGATTATATACGCGCTTTTCTAAAATAAACAACTTGCAACAAAACCGCGGTTAAAACCAACGCGTTCAAGCGATTCGTGTAACTGACGTCATCAACCCGTGTGTCATCTTGAAACATATTATAACCGCGACACATAACACAGAAATTTTGGTTATTCGCTTGGATTTGATTACAGGCCAAAATCCAAAATGCCAAGTTTGACATTTTATATTGACATTTGTTGACGTTGTAATGGTTGATATGGCTTGTTAGTTTTATTCCACCCCCTTTTAAAAAAAATTGTGAACAAGTTAACTATTGGTAATAATGAGCTCGAGAAGCGAGAGGGATAAAGCTAAACAGCTCCAGGAAAAATGTCAAAGTGTTTTAAATGCGTTATTGAGGGACGAAGATAATAAGTATTGCGTGGATTGCGACTCCAAAGGTTTGTATAGTAGAAATTCTCAGGACTACATATATTGCACTGAAAAGCCCTGTAAATTTACCAATGATCGATTTTATATATTCTCAGTACAATTAAATTTCAAGACTGGCGTACCTAGAAATCTTATAAACTTGAACTTTATCCGCCAGAATGGACCAACATTGCGTGAAAATAATACATGCATATCACAAAAGAATCTTTGTTCGTATTTTAATAGATTTATATCTTTATGTATTGATTACTAAATTGCTTATCCCAATAAAAAAGTGTACAACATAAGATAAAATGCCCAGTTTTGTTGTGCACCATTTTACTAAATATCTCATTAATATGTTTGACTCATGAATATATATATTTCAGTGTTTTGAGTTCTGATTATTATTGATAACTTTATTAAACTATTGGTTTCCAGTTTCTAAAAGCATACTTATTTTATCATGTGATGATTAACTGTTTATATGAATACTGAATGTAGCATGTGAAAACTTCATTGTGATCCAATAAATATCATATTTTATGTCAGTGCTGTATGGATTACAACAAATATTGTACATGAAAACAAGTATCTTGGGCAAGTTCATCCTCTAACTCTCTTTATGGATGATTATACATTCAAGTACTTATTTTTATTACAATTAATTAAGGGCAATATGCACTAATAATCATTATTTTTATTTTTCTTGCTGTTATGATAGGACCAAGGTGGGCATCATGGAACATAGGTGTTTTCTTGTGTATCAGATGTGCAGGGATCCACAGAAATCTTGGTGTGCATATCTCAAAAGTAAAATCAGTTAACTTGGATTCCTGGACACCAGAGCAAGTTGTGTCCTTGCAACAGATGGGCAATTCCAGGTAAATTATATGAGCAACTTTTGCACTTTTGTGCCACATTACTTCCATTACTCATTTGAATGCTCTTTGATGTGAAACATTTTAGCTGTGCTTATACTGTATACACATCTGCCTAAAATTACTTTAACTGATTGAACATATAATGTTTTCTCTTAGATCATTGCTTAAGATAATGTTTTTTCAATTAAATGAAATTGTAAGCTTAAGTTAAGACTATCAACGATATTTTTTAGTTGAAAGGAGAACACAAATTTGGCAGAAAAACCATGTACTTAAAAAATCATGCAATTTACTACAATTAAGTTATGGTTCATGTGTACTTATAACATATAATGTTTAAGAAAACTATTTAAATTTATGTATTTTATTACACAAGACTTAACAGCTGCAGTACTATCATAGGAGGAATGGTTACATATACAGCAATATAAAGCTTTTAGATCAGTTGTCTTTTTTATGTATTTTACTTAACCTCTTAACTGCTTATGACGAATATATCCACATCTTAAAACGTTAGGCTTAGTGCTTATGACAGATATACTTGCACGACAGTTTTAGGTGGTCCTCTCCATGAATTTGATGAATATGCTCGCCTGCTATAGATATTACGATTCCCCACCCTTTTTTCTGCCAGCCATTACATTGCTATCGAATTTTCGGTCTATTTTTAGATCAGGTCATGCAGAAAAGTGTAGTAAATAGCTGGTGGGCACTTCGTTGTATAAAATGGCAAGAGGAAAGCAGAATTGACTGATTTGTTTTACTCTGAAGATTCAGATGACTACGACAGTAGTACTCAGAGTGACTTAGAGGAGAGTGATTATGAAAATTCATGTAAGGATGCAGAATGAAGAACCGGTTTATGTCCGGCTTCTTGTTTCGGCTTGTTCCATACAGAAAAACCATAAAATATTCTAGGCGCTTTTCTCTTATAAATGTTAGCGTTTTTTACGTTATTAATTTGAGTTTAGATATGTTTGAGGTTATTTATATTTTTTATTTTTCAAAATATTTTAATATTTTTCAAGACTTATTTTTATGCCTTATATATGTTTGATCTTGTATGAAATGTTTATGTTCGTTTCCTTAAAAAAATAAAATTGCCGGATTGTGTGGTACTTTTGAGTAAAACCAAATCAATAATTTATGCTCAGCATATGACGTATATATCCGCAAAAAACAATATTTTGTGTGTCAAATAACATATTTAAAAATAAGTCTTTGTTTTAATTCAATAAATGAGTGTTTTTATTATTAAAACAGATTGAAAGCTCTAAAATAGATTTGACTACTTTTGATTTTTAGTATGGGTGTGACGGATATATTGGCAGCGGCAATTTTGAGGTGCACTGGCAGGAAGGTAGTGGAAATCGCTAGTAGCAGTTAAGAGGTTAATAATCCTATGTAAAAAACAACCTTTTTCATTAAACCATTACCTAAGAATTGATTTAAACTGCATTTCAAATGCTAAGTCTGACAGTTGGTGAATTTCTCAACAAAAAATTTTAATCCTGGCTTTCATTCCATTGTGTTTGTGTGTTTTAATTTTAATTCAGCATTTTCCCCCTTGAGGATGAGCTAATTTGCAAGCTTATATACAGGGTGGCCCAACAAAAAGGTGCCACCCCCATTTGTGACTCCTGGTATTTTTTAGGAAAAACTCTAGGACACGTCAATTTTGATTTCTAGGGGGACGTATTTTCATCTATATCAATACAATACAGGATGATCTAAAAATTGTGTTACACTTTAGATTTTTATATTTATACCCCCAATTTTCAGATTATCCTTGAAGTTTTTAGTAGGTTTTGTATCCTAAAGTTTATACCTATCTTCAATTGTTGTGAAGCTATTTGAGTTTATAATAAAATTCTAGAAACTGTGATAATAAGGGGTTATATCCTAAAAATAATAATCAATATAGTTCCCTTAGTAACAAGACTTTACTTTAAACCAAAAAACAAGTCTCCAAGTATTAAAAAAACAAAAAACAACTTACAGTTCACATGCACATTAAAGTTAAAGTAAAAATTAATTTGCTATAAAGAGGTAGGCAGGAGAAGACTCTAGATCAGGGAGAAGTGACACTTGTAGCCTTTTTGGACATTGAAGGTGCATTTAATTGCACTACAACCAACTCTTATCAGATATGCCTTGGTTAAGCACGGGGTTGGATCAATCCTGGTGGATTGGGTCCTATCTACTCTGGAGGGTCGGGTAGCGCCAGCTATGCTGAATGAGGTAAGCTGCAGCATCAGCGTAGCTGGAGGCTGCCCTCAGGGCGGAGTTATGTCATCCTTACTGTGGTGCCTCACGGTTAATGAACTCCTCATTAGGCTCAGCAGTTCAGGTGTTGATGTTCAAGCCTATGCCGATGAGTTAAGTATAGTAGTTAGAGGTCGTAGAACAGTCTCTGAGATTATGCAGGTCGCTCTGCGTACTGTGGAATCGTGGTGCAGGGAAGTCGATCTTTCTGTCAATGCTGGAAAGACAGCTAATCCTATTCAGGCTTGACGGGCTTGTCTCTCTCTTTGGGACTAGATTAGTTCTATCCCAATCAGTTGAATATCTAGGAATTATCCTGGACTGCAAACTGAACTGGAGAGAGCACATTGAATTCAGGCTTAACAAGGCTCGCAATTCATTGTGGGCTTGTTGATGCGTTGTCGGTGTAAGGTGGGGGCTTAAACCCAAAGTGGTTCACTGGCTCTACACGACGATAGTGCGTCCATCTCTCTTGTACAGCTCCTTGGTTTGGTAGCCTTGCATTGGAACTGAGACAAGCCCAAACTCAATAAAATTCAGCGTTTGGCCTGTATCAGCATTACAGGCGTAGTTCGGACAGCGCCATTGAGTGCAATGGAAGCTCTGCTGGATCTCCCACCGTTGGATCTAGTGATCCGCGGAGAAGCGATAGTAGTCGCACACCGACTGCGGAGTCAGGGCAGCTGGGCCTTCTTGAATCCTGTCAAGGGTCATACTGCCATCTGAATCGAACTGCAAAGGGAGGATTCCGTCTTTCTGAGCAGGGGTGATCTAATTACCCCTAAATATCGCTTCAACCTCAAGTTTAATGTGGAGTATGCATCGAGGGAGGAGTGGGACGCCGGTTGCCGGAAGCTCTCCGGAGTCAGTGGGCAAGTCTGGTACACGGACGGCTCGGTCATCTAAGAGGACTCTGGCGCCGGGATCTCTGGGCCTAGAACTAGGCTATCTCTGCCTCTTGGTGGATACACCACTATTTTTCAGGCGGAAATCTTTGTGATTTTGGCTTGTGTATCCCTCATTTTGGAGGGGGGTGGGCCTAGGAGAAGAATAACAATCTTTTCCGACAGCCAGGCTGCAATGAAGGCACTAGGTGCTTGTAAGATTACTTCGAGCCTTGTATTGCAATGCAGGGAGCTCTGGATTGTCTAGCAGCGAGGCATCCGGTATCGTTGGTCCTGAGCCAGCTTTAGGGGTGCCCGCGCTAAGAGTTAGGAGGAAAATGGAGAAGTAGATTGCAAGACAACACTGTCAGAAATGGAGAAGCATTTCCAGACATCTACGTCAGGCAAGGAAACTCATTGTAGGGTCCAGCGCTAACAATGGACGTTTCTGCTTATCTTTGGATAGAGCCAACCTAAGGTTGCTGGTGGGACTGTTGTCTGGCCATAACACGTTAAGGCGCTACCTCCACGTGATGGGGGAGGCTGAGGATCCCTTGTGTCAGCGCTGCGGGGGAGTGGAAGATATCTCGGCGCACGTTCTGTGTCGCTGTGAGGCTGTGAGCTACTACAGGCAAACTATACTGGGGTCCAACTCTTTGGACCCCAAGGACGTTAAGGAGCTTGGACTCAAGGCCATACTCAACTTCGCTAGAATGGCGAGGCTTGAAGTCTAAGGAATGTAGATGTGCACAAGTGCCCCTCTAAGTGGCATATGAGCTGGCTCCTTATAATGGCCACTTTATCTCTAATTTCATGTTTCTTTCATTCATTTAAGAGTTAGGTCAATGTCATAATAAGTGCTGAAAGTTCTGTCCATTTACCTCCAAGCAATAATAAAGATTTTGTTAGAATCTATTCCTCACATTTTCAAGCATGTCTTGAATTATTTGTCTACATTCAGCCGTAACCCGCTGACGAAGATCTTGAATGGAATCTGGCTTCATACTAAAAACTTTTTCTTTTCAAATGCCCCCAAAGAAAGTAATCTAATGGACTTAGGTGCGGAGTTCTCGGCGGCCACTCGATGGGGCCTCGTCTGCCGATCCACTGATCCGGGAAATGGGTGTCCAAAAACTGTCGCACTGGATGTAGTGACATCTTGTTGAGTTTCCATTATGATTAACGTTCTATTATTTCGATAATTCTTGGCTCTATTGTAGTGTCTTACATGTCTCGCCCGTCAAGTTTCCAGTAATAAAGAAAGGTCCTACAATATGATTTCCGATAATGCCGGCTCACACATTTATTTTTTCAGGATATCGCGAGTATATCTCTCGAAACAAATGTGGATTCGAGTCACTCCAATATCGACAAGTATGTCTATTTACAGCACCATGTAATTAGAACGTACACTCATCCGAGAAACAAATATTAAATAACAGATTTGCATTGTAGATTAAACGTTGGGTGATTTATTCAGTTTATTTATTTCTACCCTTTCTTGAGCGGAATAAGTCATTGTTCAATAATTATGACAACTAGGTAGGTAACTTAACAATTTGAAATGAAAGAACGTTTTTCTATGACATACGATGACACTGACTGATGTTAAATGAAATTTATTACACATTCAAATTTCAGGTTCAGGCAGCAGGGGTGGCCGCAGTAGTAGACTCTTCGGTCTCCTGATCAGTCGCCGTGCGCTGTGCCGGTTCGAATCCCATCCAGGAGAAATTTTTCTCTTGGCTATGGATGTTGTGATTGTCCGTAGGTGATAGACGGCTCTGACTGTCGAACGCGAAGGTACCACCAGGCGGATCTCGTATTCGGGGCCGGAATGTGTGCATGTTGCATGCACACGTGTTCCGTCGCCAGAGTCCGTGTGGCGTTCCCCCTTTCCCTGAATCCCCCTATAGCCCCACGGTACCCCATGGGTGTTTAGGCCTTAGGCCTTCGTGGTGGTTGGAGTATAAAAAAAAAATAGCTTCACAACGATTGAAGATAGGTATAAACTTAATTATACAAAAGTCACGAAAAACTTCATGGAGAATCTAAAAATTGGGGGTTTCCATTTAAAAAGCCAGAGTGTAACGCAAAATCTTATTTTTGGATTACAATGTATTATACGGCTATAGAATGTTTTTCTAAAAATATACCAGGGGAGTTACAAATGGCGGTGCAACCTTTTCGGTGGGCCACCATTTATAATAATAGTATTTTATGCCTGACAGCCAGGAGGTGGCAAAGTAGCTGATGTTAGCGTGTGCCAGATCTTACAGTAAATTCTTCGATATCCCAAAAATTAAAGAGCCTGCTGTGGGAATCTATGGCCAAACAAGTTGGCATTTCGGATTGCCAGGCTAAAGATATTGTTATAAGTTGGTGTGATGCAGATGGATGTTTGCCACATTCACGTTTGATACTTTTTGCTTCTTTCCTCCGCTAACCGTCAGTGGCAGTGGCGGATTTAAGGAAAAGGGCCCGGTTGCCAAATAGCGCGCACTATAACTGTTTTGCGAATAACATAAATTACTGCAATTATTGTCAAATAAAATACGGCAATGAAAACTTTGAAAGTTGCATGATAACTCAGAAATTAATATCAAAATTTAATGCGTAATGTCATGTTAGTGCAATCGTACGCCTGGATGCTACCGATAAGTAAAGGGCGTCGAGTCAAATTTGGAGTGAACGCTATTTATAGAATTTGCATAAAATTATAATTAAAAAAACAAATATGATCGATAGTTGTTGTCATGTTTGCCGTGATTAATGTTTCATTAAATACAAACTTGGAGAACAATACTAAAATACGTTAAATAACGTGCATTATTACAGGGTATATACTGGGCACTATTTGCGAAAGTGATATTCTTCATATTTATCGCTAATTGCAAACTAATAACGGCAACTCAGAATAAAAAAATTAGAAAGACCTGCACAAGTAACCAAAACAAGCTCAAGGTTTTTTAATAGTAATTTAATGCAAAAAGTTAATCTGATGCTGCTTCAACATTCTAATAAAACAGCTATTCAAATTGTTTGCAATCATGAACTTCAAATAATCTAACGGGCAGTCATTAGTAAAATCAGGATTTTCTGAAAAATACATGCTCGTAAAACTGGCTAATTCATATTTTAGATCTGTAGTGAAAAATTCCGAATATTTTTCCATCAAATTAGTGACGCTGGTTTCTAATTCGTTTTCTTTTAGATTGACTGATTTCTCTGGGATCATTCACTTCACGAAATCCTTGTTATTAATTTTGCATTCAGACGCGCTGAACAATATAGACACTAGAGCTGATTTTTGCTGGAGGGGCCCCTGTGACCAACCTTCCTTGGGGGGCCCAGGCGGCAATGTCCACTTTGCCATTACTTAAATCCGCCACTGGTCAGTAAGCAGGCATGCTAGAGAGGCTTAAGAAGTCAATGTATAAATTAATGTAACATATAGTACCTTGTTGATTGCATGAATAGCCACCATTTCTGTACATACAATCAGTAAAGTTTCTTTGTAAAAGGTTGTAAGGAATTACCCTCTGGAACTAAAGTCATCATATAGTTTGATTTATCCTAATTTTTTTCCAGGGCAAGAGCTGTGTATGAGGCCAACTTGCCTGATAACTTTCGGCGCCCACAGAATGATTCAAGCTTAGAATCTTTCATTAGGGCTAAATATGAGCATAAGAAATATATTGCTAGAGAATGGGTTCCACCTCAATTACCAAAAGTTGATTGGGAGAAAGAGATAGAAGAAGAGATGGAAAAACAGCGTCGTAAGAAAAAAACAGGTGAATAACATTTTGTTATAAAAGGGTTCTGAGGGCATTTCAAAATGATTTAATTCTAATTTTTGCTAACTAAATAATACTAAATGTTTATTCTAGTTGTATCAACTTCACCTGCAGTTACAGAAAAGAAAGTGCTAGAAGGGGCTTCAGTAGAAGTTCCACAACTACCAAAGCCCACAAACCCTAGCCCCAAGTCTGGTAGAACTAACAAGTTAGAGAGGGAGAGGAATAAGGAGAAAAAAGACAGTGATTTGTTAGGTAGATACTGACCATTGCAAGACCATCATGAGAAATATATTTTATAATTTCTTATGCTTATTTCAATCTTACTAAATGTGTAAATTCCTTTATAGTCCTTGGATCATTTTTGGTTGACCTAAAAATAACAGATGATGAAAGCTTTTCACAATGATCAACTTGAAATATGTTTTCACTATAATTTGAAAATCATTAATTTTTTTGAAGGAATTCAGAATGGTGAAGATAATTTCAGCAATTTTGTGTCAGCACAGCCAAAAGCTGATGAAAAAGAGTCTAACACTGATGTCCAGAAAGAAGAAGAAAATTTCTTCAATCAAGTGTTGCCAACTGAAAAGGAGAAAGCCAAATTAGATAAGGATAGCATATTGGCATTGTATGCGAATACACCAGCAACTTACAATAAATTTTCACAGGTAAATATGAAAAACAATAACACTAATTTTAATTGTTTAAATTTGTTTGGCAATCAAACATTTACTAAGACGAAGGAAACATGTGACGCTAGCAGGACACCAATGAGGGATGGTGTTGCAGCACTTTATGCTATAAAGGGAATTTATTTTGGAAACTGAATATTTAATCACTTCAATGAGCGTTGAATAAGTTTTGTAGGTGCTACGTTATTGTGATGTATCTATGTATATTTAAATGTGAATGTCTGTCAGCATCACATCTGAACCACAATACAGAGGAATGTAAAAATTTGTACAGTTACTAATTGAAACCTGAGGTAGGTTATAGGCAACCTTTTATCCGCGACAATATACGTTTCGTAGATAAAAATGTTGTTATGTTTGAAACCATTCATCCATTGGTGATCTTGAACGTGACCCTGACTATATGACCTTCAAGGTCATTTGAAGGATAAGACAGTTTTCTCACATGAATACCCTATTGTTGGTACTGGAGATTTGAAGTGTGGGAAGCTTTATAATAAAGTATGTCTTTGCCTCTGACCTTGATCATGAACTTTCAGAGTATTTGAGGGTGCCCAGAAAGTAGCTATGGGACACCACATCTCAAAAAAGACGTTCCATAAAGAAAAAAGCTGCATAATGAAGTTGTAAGGTTTGAAAATATCCATCATATGCTGACCTTGAACCTCGTTTGAAGGTCAAGATATTTGTCTCAAATGGACACCAGAAATAAAAAGAGCAAGACATTTTATGTTCAAGTATGTCCATGACCTTGACTATGACCATTAAGGTCATTTGAAGGATTGAATGAATTTTTATCTGGAAACACCTATCCTTACTATCTGAAATTCAAATTGCGAACAATCTTAAGTTCAAGTATATCCTTGGCAATAACCTTCAAGGTCATTTTAAGATCAGATAAATGTTAAAGTAAACTCCTTAATTTCTGTCGAGGATATAACAAAAATATTGGAATTAATTCATTGTTGCATTAAAATGTTGGATGAAAAATGTTCATTGCCAAAGTAACTACTGCATCACTTTGAATGCATTTCTTTCTTCTTCTATCACTTTCAAATGATTATGTAGTTTATTATACAACTTTGTGCACGTATAAAAAGAGTTTTTTCAGTTACTTTCATCCACAATATTCGGAGCTCTTGTCTGACCATTTTGCGTGGGAAAATTGTTTCCATTTTTCACTGGGAACATAACACAATTAAAAATGTAAACTGCATATGCTGTCATTAAATCCATACTCTTGCGCCTCTGTATGTTGCATTAAATCAACACTCTTATTCCATAGCTGATGCTACTCAGTTTGAAAGCAGTTTTATTTGTGTGGATTCCAAAACAGACATTCATCTAAATGTATAACACTTTAGTTTGCTGACTTACTGGTATATTACATATTATCGGAAAGTGTGATATTTTATGGTATATCAATCTGTGATTGCTTTGTTCTAAATATTATTGAATCAGTTGTGTCAGTGTTTAGTTGCAGTTTATTAATTGCAAATTATGTCCTCATTGATTCAAACACCGGGTACCACTATGTTCCAATCCAATGGTGTTTTGGTCGCTAATGAGTATGCTGGTATAATTAATTATTTTAAAGTCATAATTCTTAATGTTATGTCTTAGATCATTGATGTATATGACAAATAATATGTGACCTAACACACTGCCCTGCGGTATACCTACCTCATTACAAATGAAATCTGACTTTATAATGGTGTTATCTCTTTTTATTGCTACACATTGTTTCGTGTTTGTAAGATAGGATTTTACCCAGGGGATTTATTAAACCTCATTCCATATCTGTTCAATTTGTCAAATAGGATGTTATTATATAAGCAGTCATATTAGTAAGGAATTTTTGTCGAGGATATAACAAAAGCGAAATATTGGAATTAATTTATTGTTGCATTAATATTGATGAAAATGTTCATTGTCTAAGTAACTATTGCAATACTTTGAATATTGCATTTCTTTCTCCAAAACCAATCTCCTCCACACTTATGCAAGCTTATGGCAAAGTCGATTAAATTGAATAGGATGGCCTCTACTTTGCACTATCACCACGCGAGCGGAGCCGTGTGTTTAGTCTAGTTAGTTATATTCGCTCGAAAATAGAGCGCTTTTCTTGGATTGAGAGTTCATTGACACACTCACACATTCTTTTATAGATTCCGGGTCAGCCTATGGTGGTTCAAAATGCATTCAGTGGTTTCCCTCAACAGCCACCAGGTTCCGTGTATTCAGTGGTAGCCCAAAATGGCCTTACAGGTGCTGCTGGCCTTCAAATGCCACATATGGGCCCCCAAATCAATCCAGTTATAACCAACATACATCCTGTAGCTCCAAGTGGGCTGAACATGACGCAGATACAAGGATTATCAAACATGACCCAGAGTGGGCTTACTGTGACTCAAACAGGGCACATACCCCCGGCTATGCAGAGTGCAGTTCCTCCCGGAGGTCAAGCAATGCATTTAGGGCACAGTGGTCTGAACCAGCAGCAATGGGCTAACAAGGGAAATTTTGGACCTTTTGCTGTCGGACAACAGGCAGGTTTCCAGCAATTTGGAGGTGTTCATGGTCAGCAGTTTACATCAGTGGGCTACAATAGCGCACAATTGCCGCAGGTAAATCACATCATTTTCAATTCAAAATCATCTGGGTAAAATAAATATACATTGAATAGTAAGCTGGCTACACTTTTGAATCAACATCCGAAATTACCAGTCAGCCAGATAAGGAAATTAATAACTATTAATTACACAGACCCACATGATTCTTACCCTGAAACCAGGGTATACTTTCCCGAAGGTCAAATTCGAATCCGTGGTCCAAATATCTCAATTGGCTCTATGGTATTTTTCACGAGTATCCATTACGTTTTGACGTCTATAGAGGTGAACAGCTGTTGTTGTTCACATATCTGGATTATACTTTTAAGTGACAAAAATGTGACAATAAAAAATACGAAGTACACAAATTAAGATGTTTATTAGAAAATTATTATACTACATCTGGGATTTATTTATATATAAAATTAATATACGACGTCGTAATGTGTACGAGAGACAAGCAGCGTCCTATCTGTATGTTAGAAAGAGTTTGCCGATGGCGACTGAGACAGCGTTAGTCGGGTTGCTAGGCAATGTGCTTTTATCTCCTAACACACGTATAGCACGCTTCTCGTACACATTACGACGTCAGTGGTATTTGTTTTCAGTGTAGACATGTTTTTCTGGTTTATTGTCCGTCATCAGTGTAACGTAATTCAAATTCAGATCAAGTATGTGCAGAACCTGTCATACAAATTAGTTATAATGCACATTTTACTTACATTTTTCTAATTTCCCACTTGTTAAAATTACCTGACTAACGTTCAGACCTAATTCAGGGAGTCGAACCTCTATCAATTAGGTCATATACTGCCACACATCTGAATTAATTGTATGGCTGTTTCATTGCCCTTTAAAATCATATGGTGTCTGAAGTTTTAACAAGTAGAGATGAGTAACATAGTCAAAAACTGTTTTTCTTATTTTATTGTTGTTGTTGCTTGAAGCATTTTTTTATATGCAAAGGAACTTTTCTAAATAAAAGAGTTGTTAGCAAGTACAAAATGAATCTATAGCGTACAAAAAACCACAAAAAAATACGGATCTGTCTACCTGGCGTTGACGGATCTCTCAGCATTAATTATAATCAAATTCAAGCGAATAACCATATGAAAATGGTATTTACCATTTTAAATTGGTATTTACCAATCCGTTCAAGCGAGTGTGGATATCAGTTTGGTTATAAGGTCCGTGACGTCATCAATCAGCTGTTATATGTCATAGTTTTCACCGTAAAATTGTGGTATTTACCCAACTCCAGAGTAGTTTTATATTTCCGGTTATTATTTGAAATGTGGCAAGTTAGAATTTTGGCGGGTATTGTTTGTACTTCAGCTTCATTAAGGGGAAAGTTGATACGGGCTGACTTTAGTTTTAGCATAAAGTCGAGCACTTTATTAGTTATACTCATTACTGTTGTTGGGGACACTTTAAATCTAGTTTCTATGCTTAACAAAGTATCCTATATAGCACAAGAATATTGAAATATGGCCATATAAACTCACTGGATAGTGTCCACCTATATATGGTTTTGCTAATAGGGAGTTATTGAAATATTGCCATCCACTATTACTGCCGACCTTACACTCATAATGGCAAGTAGATACTGATCTTGAAATTATTTCAGAATTAGAGTTATTGAGTGTATTTCCGTTTACTAGTTCTAACCTAGAAATATTGGTATAAAATGAAATTGTATCTTGTTTAAAAGTGTACCAACATTGATTTAATTCCAATAACCTTATTAATTATAAAGTGTTGGTATTGTTATTGTACTTCTTCGTGTTTTGCAACTTGTTCGAGGTAAATATCAGTGTCTTTGATTTGAATGTTACGGCCAAAGAGACCATGATTTTCACCAATTAAACTTTCAATCATTGAACAGTACAAAATAATAGCGACAAAATGGCAAATGAAACTACTTTCCGTATATAATTTATCTGCGAAAACTGCTATAAAAAGTAGGGTTATTGGCACAGAAAGGAAGAAAATATACCCTATTTCACGAGCATTCATCACACCGTCTACTAAGGTGAACAGCTGATCAGCAATAGAGATTTTTGTGTTAGTCTGCGACGTTGACAATAATGAATCGGGTGTAAATTTAGTAAAACTTCTTTATAGCGTTTTGTTTTTGTAAGCAAATTAACTTTTCTGAATAAAAGAGCTGTTAGCAAGTACAAAATAAATCTGTAGCGTACAAGAAACCAAAACAAAAAATGGCTCTGACTACCTGACGTTGATGGATGCGTCAGAATCATGTGTCCTGCGCCGATATGGGGAATTTTAAGATACTACTAGAATCAGCTGCCATTCTACCGTGTTTGATACTCGTGAAATAGGGTATAGTCTTGGCTGTGCCACGATTTTAAGTGACCCGTAACAGCGGCAGGCACTAACTTTATTAATTCCAAGTCTTATTTTTGATTTACTGCGCCTGCTCAGATATCAAATCCTGCCAGGAATTATTAGTGCCTGACTTTATTGGACGTTCAATAACTCCCTAATATATTTTGTCATCAGTTTTTCCTATCATTTCTGCTAAATCAATAAATATTTTCTTTGACATGCTGAAAAGTTTGAATTGAAAGCTATCATAGCTACAAAGCGATATTCATTTATGAACTCATAAAGGCGTTGCGTGGGAAGTGCAGAGTCAACTTACTTATCGTCATTTTTAAAAATAAAAAAATGTCTTTCTTCTGATAAAAGCTTAACCAATATAGATCAGAGAAATCGGCACTCGGATGGGCAAGACTTGTACTTTGAGATAGTGTTTATGGTGATTTGAAAAAAATAAATTGGCCATCCTACATAACCTCAAATATAGACAAAAATCGCTATTGGCTTTAAGTTCTTATTGAGAGATTTGGACCACAAATTCGGATTCAGCCTACCAAAAATCCTCGGGAAAGTACACACTTGTTTCTGGGAACATTTTTGCCCGCTTGTGTTACTAACCCCATCCATTTTACAATAGGTTCCACCTACCGCTTTCCAGCAACAGACTTATCAACAACCCACAGCAGTTTTCAACAATTCGTCAGCAACGGTGGTTCCCAATGCAATGTATGCCACTCCGAATACTTTGCAACAGCAGTTTAGCAACTTGAATCTTAATACTAGTAACTCATGGCAGTAGTAAGATGATGAAAGTGAATGAAAATAATGTGGAAAAGTGGTTGAAGGGTAATATGACGATGGATATACAGGGTGTTACAACATTTGACATACTCTAAAAATTGCACTGCTTTACACACCCTGTATTTCAAGATAAAAAATAAACGCTGTTTAAACACTACATGTGAATTTCAGTAAGTAGTTTAATTTTGTTTATTTATTGGAAGGGATGGGTTGCAATAGATCTCCAAGGTGCAAAATAATTTGAAAACGAATTTTAATTTTAATACTATTTATTTTAGTATTCTTTTAGATAGTGTAATTTTCAAGAAAACTATTGAGCTTTCATGATGAAGTTCATTGTGATTTTTTTATTTGTATTGTTGCGTTAGGAAACTTGTATTTTTATTACATTCTTTTTTTATATATTGTTTTAAGTGTATAAAATGTATTAAGAAATGTATGCATACAAGGGTACACGAAAAGTTTTGATATTATTTCAATTCACATTATTTAATGAATTATTAGACCATGTAGATAAAAAATGTTAATTTTATGTAGATTACAATCATTGATCTATACAAGAAAACTATTTACTGTTCTTGATATCAATTGTAATAATGAAAAACAATAATCTAGAGACTATTTTTTTGTAGTTATAAATGTGTACAAAAATACATAGTGCCAGTATAATATGGTGCGTCACTTTTTTGACTATTCAGATTTATTCAGAGTTATCAAAATGTATCTACTATTTTTGCTAGTTATCTGATTCACATGCTTTGAAATTCACATTAATTAAAATATGACATTAAAATAGACCAATAACAGAAGAGAATAGTAAACCTCTATAGAAACACTAACGACAAAAGTGATACTAAGTAAACTAGATACTTGACGGAAACATCACATCTGCAACCAATACAACTTATTCCTGCCACACCCAAAAAATGTAGTTATATAAAGAGAAGACAGTCAAGGCGAATAAAATTAGAGAACGATAAGAGAATAACATAGCCTCCACAAAGCAGCTGATGGCTAAGCACGGCTGTTATTCATTTTTTTGTCGAAAATAAATGCGTTGTCGCCAGATAAATAATCCTTTTGGATAAATTCATTGACCATCACTTGCAGTGAACCCATTTTTTGTTAAACTTTACTCTTTTTTGGACATTTATTCATGGTAGGGATGTTTATCATCCATTTGCAACTTACGAAATGTATTTTTTATTCAGTCTATATGTATGAATGCGAATGCCTGTCCAGCCTATCAGCATTTCGTCTGAACCACAATACCCAGAAACGTACACTTACTATTTGAAACCGGAGGAAGGTTATAGGCGTGGGTTTATCCACGAAAATATACAGGGTATTCTGAAGGTATGGATAAATCATAATATCTCGGAAAATACGTTTCCTAGAGAAAAATGTTATAGGAAAAAGCTCCTAGTTTTGAAAGGATTCATGTAAGGGTGATTTTGAACGTGACCATGACTATGACGTTTAAGGTCATTTGAAGGTCGAAATAATTTTCTTAGATGAATCTTCTATTTTCGACACCAGAAATGTAAAGAGCGGGAAATGTTTCATTGAAGTATGTCTTTGCTTTGAAAAATAGGATTCATAAAGAAAAATGTTGTGCAATAAAGTCGTAATGACTTTGAACGTGTGGCCTTGACTATAATCTTCAAGCTCGTTTGAAGGACAAGACAGTTTTCATAAATGGAAACCCAAATTTTTGATAAGAAAATAAAAAGAGCAAGACCATCAAAGTCATTTGAAGATCTATTTTTAATTCCTGAAATGCAAATTTTGGAGAATTTTAGGTCCGTTGCCAGTGAACCTGACTATGACCTTCAAGGTCGTTTCACGATAATTTATATATAAAGTAAACTTCTTACCTTTTGTCAATTATTCAAGGATATAAAAAAAGCTAAACATTGAAATTAATTTATTGTTGCAATGAAATTTTGGATAAAAAACGTTCATTGCCAAAGGAACTATTGCTTTACTTTGAATATTGCATTTCTTTCTCCGGAACCAATTTCCTTCACACTAATGCAAAATGAATGTCCTAAGCTTTACACTACTTTCACGCGAGCGGAGCGACGGATTTAGCCTAGTATAGTTATAAATCACACTTTTCGCGAGAGAAGGTATTCTCAAAACCTGTAAGTTATCACAAAGCTACTTAACTTTTAGGGTCCTACGCGGAATACTACACGACTTGGTTGGGTAATAAAAGAAGTACATCAGCTTGTAATTCAAAAGTTTTCTAATTTCATATTACTTATTTGTGCAATCGTCGGTGTATTTGATATGGTCGCGAGTTCTATAGACAGCCTGGCCTTAAGACGATATGTTTATTTCGTATGGCGTACTATAAATATTTTATGGCATCTTAGCAATACCGGTACTCATCGCGTACTGATATGTTGAAATCTAGTCAAAATACGTAAGATGTGACTAGTTTTTGTCGTATTGTATCAGTACGCGATGATGTAATAAAAAATGTACGATTGGCTTCCCTACTATAATGCGGATGGCTCATTGTCAATGGGGCCGTCCGGAGAATTATACAGGCATTCCAGAAGTGTCTTCTCTTGATATAACTACCCTATAAGTGAATTAATGGCTTTGTAAGCTTACTCTTTAAAATAATTTTTTGTACTGTGTATTTTGTTATATCTTAACTTCGAACTTTGCTAGAAAATTATCCATCAATGGCAGAAAACAGTATCAAAACTTATTGTGTAGCCGATGTCTATATAAATAAACATATGATGTATAAATCCATATTGTGATGGATTATTTTAAAATTGAAAAAATAAACCGAAATTATTCCACATTTTTTATTATTCCTTGATGTTTGCAAGTGGGTTACTAATGGTCGGCTTGACAAACTTGTGAAATAACTATTTGTATATAACTTAATAAGCTGATTTTTCAAAATACCCGATTTTTATCAACAAACAAAATAGTATCTGCTTTAATAACAACACTAATTCTAGGGATATAATGTAACGAAATTAGTGTTTTACTGCCCAAAGTCTAATGTATTACTTTTACATGAATTTATAACACTTGTACTAGTTTATGAAAACTGATAACCATGTAGACTGGACTACGCCATTCAGCGTTGCTTGACTGTCTGGACCGTGACTTGCCGCTTCTGCTGTCTGTACCTATACTTATTCTCCTATCGACGAATCTAGAAGCGTCCCCGAAAAAAAAGCATGGAAATTGCTCAGAAAGCCAATATTTTATTATATGAGAACAAAATAAGTACGTGGCATTTTTTAACTAGTGTAATAATATTAAAGATTCAAACATAAAAAACTTCATTGCTCGTTAACCGACAAAAAATAAATAAAACATTCTGAGTGACCCCGAGACATATCCCAGTCCATTCCACCCAAAACAATGTCTTTGATTGCAAAAACGAACATGAGACCAAAAAATTCACATTATCGTATGAACGCTAGACAAGACAAAGAAGCAAGTCTGTAGACCATCTATAAATCGTGTCTTGAGACCGTCTCCAGACTGCCTATAGACAAATTGCGCAATGGGGTCTATTAGTATGTAATAAGCTTAAGGATTAAGACTCTGAACTGCCCATTAAACAAATCAAGTAAATTGTGCAAATACTGACACAATCAAGCACTTCTATTATATCCGCAGTATGAGGCATGTATTCCTCCATTCCGTCTTGGATAATTTCGGTTATCGAAGAACAGAGAGCCGACGCATCCGCGTCAGTGAAACAGACATTTCTCCAAGGAAAGGTAGAGAAGTCTCTGACCCCTCCCAGTCGGCATGTCCGTAATGCCAAATTTTGCGAGCAGGATACTGTCATGTGACGAGTCGCGGGGTAAAAAAATTAGGACCCGTCACCAGCTGGGTCAGCCCTTGAGTAAGAGCGAACGCTTTAACTGCACGACCTGCTGCATCGGTCTTGTTTGAGCGCAACCAATGCAAAGTATGGTCACTGAAATCACCTCTGAAGCGGAGTGATTGATGTCCAGGAAGTCGATCTTGACGGCGAGGTATTCAAGAAGGTCATTCCATTTATGGTCCGAGGGAAGCGATAAAGGCAGCAAATAAATTTGGGGCATGTTTTGGAGTTGAGGCGAAGTCACAGAATGTCCTTCCGGTCTGATTCCAGAGAAACATCTCTGCAGCAGGAAAGACTACTGCGGACAAAGGCCACAACTCCCCCGTTCTTTCTCAGATTGGCGTGCACCTCGTAATTTGGTAAGGTAAGATGGTTAATCGGTGCGGACTCTGGGATTTTTGTCTCCGCCTCCCTCGAGTCCACCATCCACCCGGACATACTGAGAGTGGAGTGAGCTTACATCCGGAATTCTTAGTACTCGAGGGATCCATCATCATCCATTTCTTTGTTTTGGAAGATAACCGACTGCATAGCTTAGGTGTGGAAACATGTGGACATTTATAAGACTCACTGGGAAAACCTATAAGGTGGTACCGCCTCGGTTGACTGGTCCTTGTCTACCACCTTCTTTTTGCGTGTTAATGATATTAAATAGATCTAAAGTGGCCCGTTGGCGGACATGTACCGCCACCCGGTAATCGATACTGAGGTATTCCTTAACCTTCCATTACTCGTAGCAAAATTTAGTACATAAGTTCTCGCGTACGGTCTAGATTTCCGGGCCGAATTTTTCTATTTCCGAGTTCAATAATTTGTTATATTTTTCAGTATTTTTTGTTTATTGTTATTTCTTTATCAATTACATTTATCAAATAACGCAAAGAGTTTTTTAATAATTTTATTGGTATGAAAATGAATACATTAAGCAAGGACACTTTTTTCCTCGCATGGGTACTTTGAAATATTAAATCATAAATAAGGGCACAACTAAATAACAAAAAAGGTATAAGAACTTCTCAGATATAACCATTATAACCATTAAAAACATATCTGATTGTGAAAAAAATTCTAAAGGCTTCAATGCCGGTACCATCCGTTCTCCAAAGATCCTTCAAGTTCAAATGATTGGGCTTGCTTAGTCCTGAAAGATAAAGAATAGCAATTAGCGACTTTATTTCCGAAATATTGGTAGGTTTAGCGTCCTACCAAACCTTGTTGAAATTGGGTGCAATGTATTTTTATATTGGTACAGTTGGTAATCGTATTGAGCATCTCTTCGTCAAACAAGCATTCCCAGAACTCTTGTGCAGATTTTTTAGATTTTGCACAATTTTTTACACATGTATTGTAGAACAATATTATAACTACACGTTCTGAAGTTTCTAGGTGGACAATGTTTCTTCCATGTTGTTATTTTGTCCTTTCCTACGAAACACGGCTCACGCTGGAGTAAGTTAAGATCGTAATTTTTCTAGGGCCTCAACAAATTCCTGCTCGCTGTCACTATATGATCTTTCCTCAACGTTGTCAACTTCATCTTGTTCGTCATCGTCATCATTGCCGTAATTTTCGTCGTCAGTTAGGACGTTCTCCATAAGTTTCAAGAATCTTGCTTGTTCTTTTTCGTAACTCATATCTACAATAGATTCATGACATAAATACCAACAGAAATTAGCAAAAAGAAGCTCAAACTTACCCAATATAACTTATCAACATCTAAAAAAAAATAATAATACGAATACTCGACCGTGTTCGTCAACAATTTTCTATAGACACCACCTACAGACCACCCGCTGTCTGAGACACTAACTACCCTCTTAATAGAAAGGTACATGGACTGAGCAAACAGTATCCCCCCTACTCCTAGAGATACGCATTAATTCGTTACGGGACGGTTTTCTACACGGGGTGCGAGTACTGGAAGGTTAACGCGTGTACAATCACACGTACGGGAAGAAGTTGCATGCTGGATACAACAACTTCCGGAACAAGCATTTGCCACGGCCCCGCTCAGTAGGGGTTGGGGTTTTTTAAATTCAATATAGATTTTACAGTTATTTTTCAGACTTTCGTTGTCCAACTTAGATTTACGGCATAATTGTTTTCTCAGTTTTCGAACCGGTGTTGATCGCATGTAGAAATGTTGAAAATCCCTGGAAAAAACTATATCTAATAGATCGTAATTATTTTGATAATGTATGTTTGTATTAAACAAGTACAGGTATACAGGACTGTACATATTCACGTATAGTGCAGCAGCTCTGTGATTCAATATAGCAACATAAATAGACACATACATACGCGAGAACAAATGCGGGGCGTGTGGTGTTGATTTTGAGCATCGATCGACGCAGTTTCTAGACAGGCCACAGGCGCACCGCTAAACAAATCTCATACATGTCTATTTCCAATTCAGGCATTCATCTAACATAGTGCTTCGCTGCAACACCGTCCCTGAACAAAATCAGTCACACATTTACACACTTTTTAAATTACTATTGATCAACAAACAGAACATTAAGTGCAATCTGTATAGCTAATATATTACCCAGACTTAAATTTGTCACAAGTGACAATACTCGTATATACGTATAAATCGTAAAAGTTGTGCTGTAAACAAGTGATGCCAAAGAGGGACAGCATTTGGAACACCAAAGGATACCAAAAAATCATAATGCTCAGTTCCTATAGCTATAACTTATAGTTAGTATGCCTCGGTCACCATGATGTGACAGAAAGTAACACAATGGTGTTAGATTGCAAAAGCAAATGTCAGACGTCTAGAGGGCGCGCGCCCTCCTCTAAATCCGCCAGTGGATATCGTGCCGTTGATACATTTTTTCAAAAATGCCCCATTGTTGTAGCTAGAAGAATCAAAAATCGTTTCGAACCGCAAACGGAAATGTAACAATATTTTGATAACAAAGGCAACCGTAGTTAAATCCTATTCTAAGCATATTTTAAACTGGTCAACATTGAGTGGTATTAAAATACACAAAAACAAGCTTCGACCCATCATTCAAAGCCCAAATATGATTTCGTTTAATTTTACTTCATAACGCTATTTCAGCTACCTTATGGCTATACGGAGTAATTAATATTGACATTTCATTTTAAACTAAATAACATCGATAACCAAATCATTGTTTTATATTATATTTGTATATTATGGTCAAACTATCCTTTTTTAATTTTCCTCAACATCCTTGACAATGAATCATTCTTTCTGCTGCATAACCTGGTAGCTGAACGCCTCTTAGAAGCTTTTCGGAGATATCCTGTGAATAAAAGGCATTTTTACTAAATCCTATAAAGCAAATAATACAGTTCATCCAGATCGAAAACAATATCAACAAGGAGATATGCATCCAGCTATAGAACTAGCTTCATAATAATACCAGTTAGTCTAAGCTACAACGACGCTCGAGCCTAAGTGATCGAGGATGTGGATAAAAATGGTATCGGAGTGTGGTTGGTAGTGGGCAGAAATCAGGACACCAATGTAGGACGGACGTTTCCTTTTACAAAGTTTCTTAATTAGTTATTTAAAAGATGTAAAATTGACGTAATTGTGACATAATTTGGACCGACATTTCAACCTGTGGTTTCAACCAAAAAGCGACTGGTAACGATGGTAATGTGCATTGTTGTATGAGTTACCATGGGCTTGAGGAGGAAATGTATACCTACAGGGTGTTATTTATTCATTAATTAAGTAACTTTGTAACAGTATGTATGCCCTCCATCCACGTAGGGTCGAGTGACGTTGGAAACTCGACTATGTAGAGTGATGTAATATATACTAAGTGCCATAGAAAATGCAACACTGACTAGAAGTGTTGTAATTTTGAGCAGAATTTCATAAGTTTTAGGTCTTCTGATGAATAGGAAGTGATTAAAATTTTAACTCGAAATTTCGCAAAAAGCAAAGCAAAGCAGAGATATCCCACCATAATGTTAACATTGTGTTGAAGCTCCTCTGTTTGTTCGCTACACATTCGTTAAGTCGTCGCGGCATTGATTGGACTAGATGATTGATGTCTTATTGGTGTATTGTATCCAAGGCCATCAGAATTTGGTTTCGTAGAGCCTCCAATGTTTGTGGAGGGTGCGGTGAATTTTGCAACCTTCTTTCCATCATGTCTCATAAATGTTCGAGAGGGGAAAGGTCTGGAGATCGAGGAGGCCACTGAAGCAAATTAACTACGGACGCTTCTAAAAAGTGTAACCTAACACGTTCGTTATGAGGTCGTGCATTGTCCTGCTGAAAAAGTGGATCTTGAAATGTTTCCAAAAAGGGAAGCAGATGTGGTTGTAAAATTGAGTGGATATCGCGCTGGACAGACATGCTACCTCGAATGAACACTAATCGTGACCTGCTGCCGTAAGCAATGGCACCCCATACCACGTCTCCTCCTTACTATTACATGGCCATCATGTATGCCCAAACAGAATCTGGACTCATCGCTGAACACAACTGAGTTAAATTCCATATTCCATTCAAGTCTCTCCCTTCTCCATACCAATCGTTGCCGACGATGCTCTGTATGAAAACAGTTAAAAAGACCTTATTCGACGATAAACTGTCCTCATTGTTATTGCGGTTCCCACAACATCAAACCATTGGTTCGCAACTGCCCATGTTGTGGAAAATCGATATAGTGCTAGTTGCCTCAGATAACGATCCTGTCGCTCTGTAGTCTGTCTTTGACATCCACCTCTATCTCTTCGATTTAAGCCTTCTTAGAACCACGCTCGACAAAATATTACAGTAGCTTCGTTTCGATTCACCGATTAGCGATTTCTCTAGTCTGGCTTCACGTAACCCGGCGATCATTCGACCCCTCTCAAACTCGGAAAGTTGAGGGAAATTAGCGCGTCTGCGAACTCTAGGCATGATATTGCAATGAAACAAATGGAACCATATTGTTCGGATCCTGAAGAGACAAAAAAGCCTTCACAAAAAAAGTACTACTCGGAGTGCATTTTATCAGCGTATACTTCCATGATAGCAAGTTTTTATCAACATACAATAAATAATACTTGGTATTGCATTTTATATGCCACTTAGTGATGTTACACTATTATGCAACATTTTCTACTGGTGATTTGTTGTTTGAACTCGATTAATAAAATAAAATTAGATGAAAATGTTCTTACCAGACAAAACGACAAACATGGAGAGAGAAAATACGCGAGCACATACCAAAAAGCACAGAAAAAAGCTATGGGGAAAGCTGGTAATATCAGCACCAAAAACCATATGACACACCAAATTGGATTCGCCATCGCAAGTTTTTTGATATACAGGAATGACGCTGTCAAGAATTTACAGTTAGGTATACAGAGTGTAGTTTTACATTTCAAATGCTAAAAACAAAACTCCCGATTGAAACACATGTCCATGAGGTGAGACAACTCAATTGAAAGAACAACAAATATTTACTAAATTTTCTTTTCAAAGTTTTCTTTTTACAGTCAGGATATAGTTGTCTGTGTTCTTGTACAAAACGTAATAAAAATTGCTTTTGTTCCTCATCAGTGATTAAGTAATGGAAGTCTTGCATTAACTTTCTGCCGTATCGTTAACTGCTCTCAGTGTTTGCACCTTACACTTGACGTGTTGAAAAGAATCATTCTGTGGCCTTGAAGTTGCACACTCGTCGAGCAAACTGTCATGAATTTTGAGTCGATTGAACAAGGAGTTGCTTTTGATTGAAACAGTCATCTATATTTTTCTCTGAAATGGAAAAACTAAAAATAGTTACTATCTAAACATACCGGTTTTGTTCGTCTGGCTACAGACAGTTAACCGTAGACAGATGTTTTGTGCTTTTTGGCAACCCATCAGCATCGTCTAGGCTAAGCCTCAGGTCAGAACAACGAACGAAAGCATACCAACTAACCTCTATCTGAGGTATAAGATCCATCGAAACAAGACAGTATAAGGTGCCATCTATTGCCAAAATCGCATTTTATGCTGGCTTATTTTAACAGTTAGCATATTATATCAAAGTAAAATAAGACATAGGAAAATTTATTCGTTAGACTTACCATAAAGTGGGCCAGAAAGTTCTTTTGATGGGATGTAGCGTTTACCGTGGGCTGATCGACTTTCTTTGACTAAATTAGCAACACAATTTTTACTTCAGTATCCTCATCTACGTTGTCATCAAATAAAGATAAGACAGAGACCTCGTCTGTCAAATACCAAAAAAGTTTACCGAACTTCTGTAAAGCTGCTATTGAAATGGTTTTATCAATTATTTCGTAAGGCCTTCATTGCCTCTAAAAAGCATAAATCCTGGTTGCTACTCTACTCCCGCGTGAATGACGATATGAACTTCTAAAGCATAAAGCCCACAACAGCATGGACGCGACTGCCGACTGCGATCATCACCCGCACGTATCGACACACGACTGTTGGATATATACTGAGTGACAAAAAAACATATCGGATTTTAATAATTTTTGGCTTATACATTCAGTGTCCCTTACTAGTAAAATGACTAAACTTTCAGCTTGATTCGTCAACTGACTGCAAAAGATCGTTCAATAATGTGTTGAGGATCCATTATTTCTTATACACTCATTGACACGCCTGGGCATCGTGCTTGTAAGGTAGTCACATTCCAGGCTACCTTAACTTCGTGAGTAAGAGCTGCTAAAGTCTGTGGAGGATGTTGCAAATTCAAGAGCTGCGACCTATCATGTCCCAGACATGTTCAATTGGAGATAGGTCAGGCGATCGTGGTGGCCAAGGTAAACGGTTGATGGGATGTTGATCCATGAAGGCTAACGATGCTCTGTCAACATGCGGTCTGGCATTGTCTTGCTGAAAAATCGGGTTTTGGATGGTGTTTAGGTATGGAATAAGATGAGGCTCCACTACTTCCTGAATATAGCCTTTGATGAAAATTAGTAGAGATCTGCTACCATAAGCAATAGCACCCCATACCATAACTCTCACCGTGTGGTGAACGTGACGCTCTCTGTCAAATTGTGGGTCACGTCTGACGTCAGACAGAAGCGGAATTCGTCACTAAAGACCACCTGATTCCATTCCCAGTCCCATAGAATTCTTTTTCTATACCAGAGCTGTGAGAGGTAGCACCCAATAAGGGCGATAAGAAAAAAAGGCCAAAATGTCGTATTCGGCGATTATTATTATCATTGATTCATGATCCAGGTTAACTTGTAAGTGCAATCTGAGGCATATCGTGTAGCAGTTAAAGATTCGAATTGTAAAATGATAAATTGCGATTGACGGATGAACCATGGGGGCACCCTAAAAAATTCAAACACTGTATATATTGTGTATTATTTATTTTGTATATATTTATGAAAGTACAAATATTGGTTTAGTCGCCAAAATACATTCTAGTTGCCAAAGGTCCATTATTAAACACAACCGTAAGATCCTGGTTGAGAAATATTTTATGATGTGGATACAAAAGAGTCTTAAAACCTTGAATTAAACGATGTCTGCCTGAATTCTTCGCTGTCCTTTACTTTTTTGTATGCTGTAAAAAGTACACTATCATATTTCACGAAAATATGAGGAATGAGTATTTAACAAATAAATACAGTAGCTAGTGGGAATTAAATCTCACTCAAATTAAGACCCCAAATATTAATGGTCTAAAAATGTTCAACCTACTTCCTTTGGAAATAAAGAATTGCCACAGTCTAAACAGATTTAAAAATCTCTTAATAGACTATTTAATTGAAAATAGTTTTTATAGTGTGGAAGAATATTTTGATTAACGGCAAAATCTTATTTTTACTATTTACTTTTTTAGATCTAGTTTTTTCTTAGATTTGAAAATGTATGACAATTCCTACACAATGTTTTCTTGTCAAGAGGAAATAAATAAATAAATGGGATCAAAAAAGTCCGGAGATACAGTTGGTGATTACTAAACTGTAAAAAGAGTAAGAATGATCTGGTGCCATATATGTGTATGATATAAAGCGTCCATGACCGCCCATATAGCAAAATCCAGGGGGGCATGTTTGGTTTACAGGTTGTACAGGATAAAAAAAGCTGAGAACAACTATTCAAAATGGAAGCAGAAATAATATCTTCTATGTTGGGATGCTCCACTTCTTACCCAATGATTGGGTATCTTATTAAGAATATTCCACTTTGAAGCACAATCCAGGGGAGGGGGCATATGGCCCCCCTTCCCCCAATGGGCGCACATGAACGCGTATTTTTTGTTCCATCAATCGCGTCTGGGAGTAAAGCACTTAGGTATTACTAGAATTTACCAAACTGCCTCAGTATGTTGACAAAACTTTTCACTGGCTACGGTCCAAACAGCTGATGGATTTTTTGACATATGAGATGTTGGATTCCTCTTATAGACTAATCATAGACGAAGATACCCCTGATTCGCGAAATAATTTTCAAGTCTGCTTTTATTGATGCAAGCTATTCAAGGGGGTATTTGTAACATGGACGCAACAAATGGGTATAACATAATATAATAAGATTTTTAGGTATTTATGAGACCTACAGAATGAGACCACACGTAAAAAGATCCCACTAGTAGTAAAAAAGTTATAGCCGAAAACCGAGGTTTTCGGCTATACCTTCTGTAGGTCTCATAAATAGGTACCTGAAAATCTTATTTGAAGAGTGTTTTGGTTCCTGACAACAATTTCGATTGAAACCCAAAAAAAAACACGTTTTCTCATTCTTCATTGTCGAATAAAAAGTTTTCTCACAAAAATTGGTGTACCCATTTTATGCGTCCATGTTTTAAATACCCCCTTGAACAACTTGCATGAATAAAGCCAGACTTTACAATTATTTTGGGGAAATTTGCTAACATTATTAGACTATTAGTAGTGTGAGTGACAGTGCATATATTGAAATTTTAGTCAAAATGATGGATTTTATTAAAAAAAAATCAACTTTCAAATTCCCCTTTCACTGGTTAAAGCTTGAATGGCTTGAGGAATTTTGTTTTGAGACTTGTCTTGGCAGTGCGAGTGACACTGGGTCTACTAAAATCTTGAAATCAAACGGAGGAAAACCTTCAACTTTTAAATCCTGTTTCATGGGCTACAGGCAAAACCGCTTAATGGATTTTGACATTTGAGGTGTCCTTAAATTCGTACTGATAGCACAATCAAATCACTATTTTCAGTTACTGCAGTCAGATTACTTGTATGTTTTGAAAATGTACTTTTATATGTGGCATTATTAATTTTCTCACTAGAAGGGGGATGCCATACAAAAACAAAATGCACTTTTTATTGATTTATTAAGCTGGTAGAAAATCATAAACTAAACGTCATATATTTAATTATCCCAGATTCTGAAAAACAACTAGGTATAAAACAGTAAAAAAAGTAATTTTCGTTTACTATATACTAAGAGATACTCGAACTAGACAGAAAAAACCAGTCTTTTCCATACCACATGCACACAAAACTAAAACACAGACTTCTTCAAAGAAACTTAAAGCTTACACTTTTACTCTTAAAAACTATAAAACTAAATGCTGTTACTTTTGCTTCTTTTTGTTAGTCTGTAAAAAACATAAAACAAAATTAGCAAAAAAGACAAACTCTACAGGAATAATCAGGCAAGATAAGATGGGCACTTTCATGTAAAAAATTGCCACCTAGTTTGGACAGCAATCTCAGCTGTCAGCTGCAAAACTTATACAATGTTTGATTCTGGCTCCGAACGCAGTGAAACGCGTGTCACGCAAAACCAGAAAAACCGGCTTTTTACAGAGTCGAAAGTCAAATTTTACTGCACAGAATCAAACATGTGATGTGGTAAGAATACTAACCAATTCCCTGTATTACACACCCTTACCCCTTCTTGGTGAGTCAAAACCAGTTTTTTACTTCAACTTATTTCTATTGTTTGTGAGCCAATCTTCCTCAAAAAAAAGAGGAACGTAGAAGAGTAAAGAAGCATGGCAAGGGACTCCGGGGGAATCACCCCCCTGTTCTAGGTCTATAGATAACTTAAATCTAACACAAGTAGAGCTAAGCTACAGAAAATAATAGGTGTTACCAACGACAATTCCAACAGAAAAATCATCGTCGATAAAAAAGAAATATGCTACAAAAACTCGGAACAGGGACCATTCGTAATTTTTTGTTGAAGCACTGGAAGGCACGGGTATTCAAGTAGGTCAAAGAAGGTATCTTCATCTAGCAAAAGATATTGTTCTTCTAAATCTTACTAACATAAAACACATACAAGTCAAGGGAAGGAACAGGCTGGCGTCGAGTTCGTAGATTTTAACAGTTTTGCAAATAAAGAACTCAATGGGTATAATACATTCCATTCAACAAAGTAACATATAAAGGAATCATCAGACAAGTTGAGACAATCTTCTCAATTGACCAGATAATCAGCGCTATTGAATCACCAATGAAAGTGTTAGATGCAAAAAGACTCAACAGAAAAACCATAGATGGTACTTCAAAATACACGCCACTGGAACCATACTAATAACATTTCAAGGCACAGTACGGCCTAGAGATGTATCAATTTATTATCTTCCATTTCCCGTCTGTACATACATAACGCCCGTCACTCAATCATACTCTTGTCTAATTTATGGACACACTAAGACCCAGTGCCTGGAAAAAGAAAATGCTTCAATTGCAGTAAAGGGAGACGACTTTCATTTTTAGAGAAAATGCTATCACTGCGACAGCCTGGAACGCAGATCCAATTCTAAAGACTGCCCTGAGCACAAGAGGAAGGAAAGGATAAAACAACTTATGGTCTTTGAAAATATTTCATACTTTGAGGCAAACGAGCTGTGGCCTAAAACATACAAATCGCAAAACAATTCGAATAATATAATAACTGACTTTATAATACTAGAAATTTCCCTTCAATCAGTAACCAGAATACCCCCTCCACCCCCGAAACCAATCAAATAAACTCCGTATAAAGAAGAACATTTGAATTCGCCAACAAAATAAAAACAAAAAGAAGCTTCCAACAAGCATTATCACAAACACAAAAAAAAAGAATAGTAGAACAAAACACCGTTTACAATAGAAAACTTCACAACGAGAATCTAATAAACAGAAACGGTAGATTCCAAAGCAGTAGCGGCCCTATAACAGTACAAGCACAAGTACGCAATACGAGGGATGTCTTTTAAGTTTTGCATATGTAAATAAAACAACACGGTAGGTAGTTTTAAATGACTTTATTGTTTTTTCCACTTGTTTACTGGCAGATCCAAAACGGCATTTTTGAATGCGTCAACTGCTTCTTCTGGAACCTTTGACCACGCAGTCTGTTTTTAATTTTCGGGAAAGTAAATAAATCGTTAAGATCGGGACTATATGGAGGATGGTCCAATAATTGCACGTTTTCTTCCGTTAAATACAGCCTTGTTTTTTGGGCCGTGTGCGAGCTTGCATTGTCTTGGTGGAGGATGATTCTTCTTTCGGGGTTGATTTTTCGAAGCTCGGTGATGACTTTTGGCAAACAAATGGTGGTATACCAATCCGCAGTAACAGTTCTTTGCTCATTAAGAGGAATTGTTGCAATATTACCCGCTTTTGACACAAATGTCGCGACCATCTTTTTCGAAACACTTCGAGAACGGATGACTTTTGTTGGTTTTTCTTTACCTTGGAACACCCAAACAGCCGACTGTCGTTTATTTTCTGGTTCATAACAGTAAAGCCACGATTCATCACCACTAACAATGCTGTACACATTTTTTGAGTTTCCGGAATTGAAACGGTCAAGCGTTTTTTGACACCAATTAACCCTGGCTGCTTTCTGCTCTTCAATCAACAGGTGGGGTATCCAACGAGAAACAAATTTTCTTACTCCTAATTCTACATGTAAATTTTTTGAATTGAGGTCTTTGAGATCTTCAAGGACGCCTCAATCTCGCGATATGTCACATGTCTACAATCAATGAGGAGTTTGCGCACAGCATCGACGTTTTCCTGGGTGACTGCCGTTTTTGGTGCACCCACTCTGGGATCGTCGCTAAGACTCGCCCGTCAACGTTTGAATTCTCCATACCAACGGGAAATTGTCGACTTATGTGGCGCTCGTTGCCGAAACCAGACAGTAACTCAGCAAGGCACTTCTTGTTGCGATAATTGTATCTGAAAGTTGTAATAAATTATAGCGCAAAAATGTTCTCGGTTTTCTAATGACTTGGTAACACTTAAAAATTCACTGTAGTGAGAACACTGCACGTATTGTTGTGAAACTTTGAATTTAAGTTTACTAAAGAGTGCGGTTAAGATTCAGTACTGACGTTAGATCCGCGCGGCCTACTATGTTTCTATATGCAAAACTTAAAAGACATCCCTTGTAACACCTCAAATACAGAATCACCATTTAACACACCTAATACACCTACTAGTGCCCTTCACGGTAATAATAATAATAAAGAAGATGTAGAAAAATGCATTACAATGATGGAATCCTTCAAAATAAAACAAATATTTTTTAACGAAACAAACCATACTGTCAACGATTTCTACTGAAAAGGTTTATATAAGCGTGTGTATTTGTATGTATACATGTATATATATATATGAATAAATATTGTGACATAGCCTAGTCTCAGTAGAACAAAACAGACACATCCGCAAAATGAACAGCAAAGGAACATTCACTGCTTTGCAGTGGAACTTATCGAGTTTCAGTAGCAACAGTGCGAATCTAATTCATTTTATAGATTTACACAATCTAGATAATTTTCTTAAGTGAAACTAGAGCAGACGGAGAAGATGTGAAAGGTGGAGCAGCTACATTCATAAAAAATAATATTTACTATCAAAACATACGACTACCCAGCAATTTTAACATGGGAAACCTGCAATGCTTTATCACTAAAGCCTATAATTTAAGTTGGCTGAATTTATACTGCCTTCTGAACAATAAATCACTGTAAATGAACTTTTGACCTCGCTGATGGGCGACGTGGTGTTGGTGGGAGACTTCAATGCCCATCACCCAGCATGGGGTAGCAACAAAGTAAACTACAATGGGAGCTCTCTACGAAATTATCGAATCAAATAATCTCAGTATAATGAATGATGGTTCCTCAACCAGGTTCATAGGAGCAGGGGATAGTCCAAGCCTCCTTGATCTGACTATTATGTCCAACAACTTGGCCACAACCATACATTGGTTCTTTCTGCAGGTCTGAGGAAATAGTGATCACTTCCCGATCATGTGTAAATATGATCACTCGCTATTCTCAATGAATGAAAAACCTAAATGAAATTACTACAAAGCAAACTGGAATTTATACAAACAACTGATAGACGAGAGATTTAGTACGATTACGGATAACGTAGACTACGAAGCCCTTTCTCAAGTAATAAGCATAGCAGCTGATCTTTCAATTCCCTATACCAAGCAAGTGAATAACAGAAATGTGTCCAGGAGCCCATGGTGGAATGATGAATGGACCAACAAAATCGTACAAAGGATAAAAGCCATACTTAACTTTAATCTGGAACCCAGCCTAAACAATTACATCGAGGCAAACAAATCAATAGACTCTTAAAAAAAAGAAGCGAACTGAATTCAAAAAATTTTGCTCCAACATAAACAGAAATACGAATTGTTCTTACATATGGAAAACGTTAAAAAATTTAGTGACAACAAAAAATCATTAAAAAAAACTCATCCCTTTATCCACAAATAGCCGAAAATATCATTAGAAACTTGACTGTGTGCAACATTAAAGCCGAATTCTCATTTCACCGTCCAGAAAATCAAAGACAACAATTCTACTTCAGAATGGAAAACAGAAAAAACAGCGCTCCAGGAATGGACAACATCACATATTTAATGCTTAAGAACCTACCAGTCTCGGCCCTACAATCACTATTAAACATATACAACCATTGCTTATTGGGTATGCAAATACCCAGCAGCTGGAAAGAGCATTCGATACATTTTTTTTTATATCGAAGCAGTCGCGCAGGCAGAAACCTAAATGCCGGAACACCGCGGCTGCTATGATGATCCCAAGGAAATTTTGTTAATACGATTTTTGAACTGCCTAAGGTTAGTAGAACTGGGAAAAGCTTCCTCTTGTAGATTGTTCCACAATCTCGACACCCTCGGGACAAAGGAGCGGTCATATCGGCCAATTCTGGATGTACGAAGTTCGACACGGTTAGGATGGGACGCCAAAGTCAGGCGGGTCTGCCTGGCAGGCACATCGCGCGGCGGCATCATGGAAGAGAGCTCGGAGGAGCAAAGCCCGTTGGTGTAGCGGTAGAAAAGAGCTAGATCGCCAGACAGTCTCGGGACCGTCTGTTAGAGAAGAGTCATCGATCAGACGGACCGCCCTCATCTGGACAGCATCGAGCATGGACAATGTAGTCGGGGCGGCAGCACCCCAACCGTGTGAGCAATACTCGAGGCTAGGCCTTATCTGGGCCTTGATAGAGTGAGAAGGTCATGCGGACAAAAGTACTTCTTTGCCCTAAACAAATAGCCTAGCTTTTTCCCAGCAGCCGCTGCTATTGACGAGATGTGTTCGTGCCAGATCAGGTCCTCGGTGATCTGGACTCCCACCAGCCGAAAGGAATGGCTCTTTGGCAGAATTCGGCCATCCATCGAAACCGGATGAGCGCTAGTACGCTTTTTGTTCGTCAAAGTACAGTACTGGGTTTTGGAAGCATTAAACTGTACAAGATTGTTGCGTCCCCAAGCAGTGATAGCCTCCAGGTCTCTTGTCAGAGAGTAAGTCGTCGCTAGTCTTCTTCTTTCCAGCTCAGCGGCAGAGATCGGCTTGTCACTCTGAATTCCTGCATGTAGAGTGCTGTCATGAGCGAAGCTGTGGATTGGGTTGATCGTGCAGGAAAGGAGGTCGTTGATATGTAAGAGAAACTGTCGGAGCCAAGACCGATCCCTGGGGAACACCCGCGTTGACGTTGTGGGATGAAGAGGCGAATCCGTCAATTACGACGGATATCCTGCGGCCAGAGATAAAGTCAGCCACCCATCTGCAAAGCCATAGGACTGGAAGTTTGCTTAAGAGGGCAGCGTGCCACAGCTGATCGAACGCTTTCGTGATGTCAAGAGCAACGACATGAGCCTCACCATAAGACTGGATGAGTTTACTCCACAATTGAGTGACGTAGGCTAGAAGGTCCCCTGTGGATCGTTGGTGCCGGAAACCATACTGCCTGTCGCTAATCAAGCTGTGACTTTCGAGGTAGTCTAGAAGCTCGCAATTTATGCACCTCTCCATCACCTTACTTATAACAGAAAGCTGAGCTATAGGCCTGTAGTTGCAAGGGTCGGTCTTTGATCCTTTTTTTGGGATGGGTTGGACATGAGCAAGTTTCCAGTTTTCTGGGAAGGTGCCGGATTCATAAGATATCTGGAAGAGACCCGAAAGAACTGGAGCAAGCTACGCTGCACACCTCTTCAGTGCAATGGCAGGAAACAAGTCCGGACCACAAGCTTTGTTGATGTCGAGCGACAAGAGCACTCGTCTTACGGTCCTATGTCTGAATGTTACCTCCCGCATAGTGTAGGGAACCCTTTAAATTGACGGCACTTGGGCATTGGGGGAGACGTCCATGGTGGAGTAGGCAACAAAGATCTTGGCTAGCACTTCCGTCTTGGCCTTTGAGTCGAATACAATAGTTCCATCCTGACATGTAAGCGGTGGAAGGCTACTGTGAGGGAAGTTCTTTTCAATCTGCTTGGCCAGCGTCCAGAAATACCGACTGCCATTGCGCTGCGACATTACCCTGTGCCTAACTTTTATATCGTGCTGGTTTTTGGCATTGCGAACCTCTTCATTATATTTGTTTCTGGACTCGACGTCGGCTTGTCTGTTCTCTACAGTGGGGTTTTGTAAGAAGGTTCTGTGTGCCTTGATCTTCTGCTGGCGAGCAGTGTCAGACGACTTGTTAAACCAGCCGTTGGACCCTGGTTTAGACACTTTCGCTGTGTGAGGGATGTATTCCTCCATTCCGACGTGGATAATTTCGATTATTGAAGAACAGACAGCCGACGCATCCGCGTCAGAGAAACAGACATCTCTCCAAGGAAATCTAGAGAAGAAGTCTCTGAGCCTCTCCCAGTCTGCATGTCCGTAATGCCAAGTTTTGCGGCCTGTACGTGTTTCTGCTGCCACAGCGAGTTCTGACCGAAACCTAACCTCCACAACACCGTGGTATGAGTTACCCAGGGGGACAGGACAGTAGTGCTGTAAGGGACAGAATGGGTGGTCAGAAAGAGATCCAGCAGGCTACTGGCGTGTGACGAGATGCGGGGGGAAAAAGTACGGCTCGTCACCAGCTGGGTCATCCCTTGAGTAAGAGCGAACGCTTCGACTACACGACATGCTGCATCGGTCTTATTTGAGCCCAACCAAAGCTCATTATGGGCATTGAAATCACCGAGAAGAACTACCTCTGAAGCGGGATGATTGATGTTCAGGAAGTCGATCTGGACGGCGAGGTATTCGAGTAGGTCATCCCAGTTATGGTCCGAGGGAGAGCGATAAAGGCAGCAGATAAATTTGGGTGATGTTTTGGAGTTGAGGCGAAGCCACAGAATGTCCTTCCGGCCTGATTCCAAAGAAACATCTCTGGAGCAGGAAAAGCCACAACTCCCCCGTTCTTTCTCAGATTGGAGTGCATCTCGTAGTTTGGGAAGTTAAGATGGTTAATCGGTGCAGACTCTGAGATTTTTGTATCCACCAAGAAAAGCACGGCGGGACGATTGGATTGCAGGTAGTGATGAACAGCATCAATGTTGCTGTTAATCCCGCAGATGTTCGATAAACAAATTTTATCTTCGATGTTGTTCCCTCGAGCCCACCCTCCACTCGGACATTCCGAGAGTGGAGTGAGTTTACGTCCGGAGTTCTTAGTGCTCGAGGGATCCATCATCATGAATTTCTTTGTTTTGGAAGATAACCGACTGCACAGCTTAGGTGTGGAAACATGCGGACATTTAAAAGATACCCTGGGAAAAGCTAGCGGGTGGTACCGCCTCGGTCGACTGGTCCTTGCCTACCACCTACTTTTTACGTGTTAATGATATTAAATAGACCTAACGTGGCCCGTTGGCGGACTTCTACCGCCACCCGCCAATCGGTACTGAGGTATTCCTTAAACGCATGTACTATCACTTGAACGGGAAGAAGTTGTATACTGGATACAACGACTTCCGGAACAAGCATTTGCCACGGCCCCGCTCAGTAGGGGCCCATCTTAAATCAAATAAAGACCCAAACAACCCTAATAACTATAGACCACTGGTGCTAAGTTCGTCCACAGGGAAAACTCTAGAGATCTTAATCAAAAACAAATTAGAGTGGGAACTAGAAAGCAAGCTTACTTTTAACCACTAATATACGAAATACTAATTAACCTCAATATACCTAAACAACTGTGTAATCTAATTTTTAATTCACCGAATAACAGGTATATACAATAGATAATGAAAACAATATACATGACCCAAAAGTCACCTCCCTGGGTCTTCCTCAGGGGTCTCCACTAAGTCCACTACTGTTTAACATTATATATATATATATATATAAATAAATTATACTCAATGTTACCACAACACATCCATTTACTCAATTTCGCGAATGGATGCAACGACACAATTATTTCTCCGTGAAAAAAAGTTCAGCGATAAGGTTCACGAAAGGTAACCGAATGTGGTTCACACCAAGTCTTAAAATAAACAATTTGAACATAGTGTTCAAAAGTCAAACTAAATATTTACGGGTCATACTGCATAAAAATTTAAAATGGAGCTCACGGATAGATAATATGATAACTAAAGCTAATAGAGGAATAAAACTTATGAGCATTTTTGGGAAGGTTTCCTGGGGCGCCGATCCTGTAACCCTACACATGGCACTTAATGGGCTAGTGAAATCACATTTGGATCATGGCAGCATACTATTACATCCGTGTAACCAAAAATATCTTAATAAACTCCATAAGACGTCATAGCAGAAACCGCAGAAACGGACTTACACCACAGGCGGGTCTGGTTATGCACCAAATTCCTAGCAAAAAAAAGCAGAATTCAATCCTACCCCTTGATCACATTAAAAAAACTAAAAAGACACCATGAGTCGGCTCTAGGCTATTGGAGGAATAGAGCGCCCATCATCACCTTAGAAGCCCTTAAAATTTTCGAGGAATACATCCCACAAATCCACTCGGGCCGAGCCCTACCCTGCTTTAAATACCCAAACTCGGGCAGTGAAAGTCGTCCCCTGAACCTCACCAAAAAAGACCACAATATCGAGTCGCAATTTCTAGAAATCGGCAGAAGTAGCAGCGATCAATAAAGCATGCATCATTGTCATAGAGAAGAAAACTCCAAAAAGTCTAATGTTAACAGACTCTCAAAGTGATATAGCACAAATAGCTAAACAAGGTGTTGACTAACTCGGAATACGGCTGTTTCACAACAAGAAAGCTAGCTAATTCAGGAAGCTGCAGAACAGGGATACAATACTAAACTGGATTGGATCCCACGACACTCCAACATTCGAGGAAATGAAAAGTCAGATATATTAGCTAACTTAGGATGATAACTCAGAATCCCACAAGACATACTAACCAATGCCAAAGCAAACATCAAGGATAAGTTCACAACAATGTGGAAACGAACATCCACCAACAAAGGTAGGTGGTATAAGAAAATCCAAGAAGAATTCCCTACCAAACCATTTTACTCCAAAATCCCTTACATAAGCAGAAAACACCTAACAGCCATAATTAGAATGAGAATGGGACACGTAAGATATAAAACTGACATATTCAAAATAGGAATGGAAGACGATTGCAGACAATATGCAGACTTAATCATATCCTATTCGAATGTCCAATTGATCAAATAACAGGATTTAATTTATACTTTAGCAAGCATAAGTATTTTTTTTTATTATACACCAATCCCAACATCTCAGTCCTAGATATAATACAGCAGAAGTGTCAGATCTATTTTCAGCATATTTAATACGAGAATTCTATACAATACTGTGACTCGTATATTGCCGCGAGCCAGACAAAGTGCAGACACAACAAATGTGCTGGCGGATTGTGCACACGCGCAGAAGGCATAAGGAATAAAGAAGAAGAAGGTGCAATGGAGGGTAATGAGGGATGCTAGTTAGGTCAGAGGAAATGTCTTAAGTTACAAACAGACAAAGATTTCAATTGCTGATCAGCTGTTCATGTCAATAGACCTCAGAACGTGTTGAAATCGAGAAATATAGATTGCCTTTCGATCAAACTGTCTTTTCCTATATACTTTTGACAGAACGATCTCCGACCACTAAAGCGCCGCCTAGCGAGAACAAAATTGGCTATCGCTGCCATATAATATGATTTTAGCATTTGACTAAAGGGATGCTATTTTTTACATGATAAGGACGCCAGTATAGTTTTTGCTTCTAAAATCACAAAAAATAACTAACTACACCCAAATCATACAGTATATTAGACCTACCTTTTCTTTATGTTTAGTGTTACTATGACTTTCAGAACTAACATGATTCTTTAAAGATCTTTCTTGTTCTAAGAGTTTATGGAGCCTAGCAACTTCTTCTGTCAATTCTTCCTTCATAGTAGTGAGTTTTTCTAATTCTAGCAAGACAGCTGCTTTGTCTTTCACTAAAACGAAAAACAGTGTTAACCCGGCTCAGCCAGCAAACATTTTCACAATAACTCACTTTCTCCTTGACTGAGCATACTGCATAAGGTTTTGTTCCTCTTTTTGACCATTGTAATTTCCTTTTTGGCATCTTCTAATTCTTTCCTTAACTCCTCATTAATTTGTTTTTCTTTTTGTAGCTTTTCCTACGGATGAAGACATGAGGAATTAGTAGGAAGTGGTGCAGGGTCGTTAACAGGGAAGGGTCGATGAAATTGCCTCTTTGGGAAATATCATTGTACTGCTGTTATTATCAGTTATATGTTAGTACAAATTTAGTTAATACGGTAAAAAAGTTCAACACAAATATTAGTGTATGTGACAATGTTTTTTGGATGCTAACATGACGTGTAAATCAGGAAAAACTATCTCTCTCTCACACCCGCACACACTTCCGTCAGTCTATCTGCGGAAATTAGACTCTTCTACAACTGATCGGATTTTGATAAAATTTTGACACCAACTTACTACTATGCTGAGCGCGAAAAAGCTTTATCAGTTTCCAAAGTTGATACTATGACGTTATAGGTACAAAAAAAAGCAAAAAAATCATACCAACATTATATTTTTTGATGCTTTAGAGACTCTTGCTTATTTTTTAATTTATCTTGAGCCGTAAAAAAGAAGAGAGTTTCAAGGGATACATTTTTTGCAATTAGTATATTTATAAATTTATATACCTCTAGCCCCCGTAACTCTACGCACCTATTAGACATATTTCACAACTAGATTTCCCCATACATTTGCCCCTACAACTTGGAATAACAGAAATATTTACAATACCTACATTGCAATAAAGGTAGAATGTGTGGGGACTAGGGACCATCATAAATGCCTGTGTCACTTACTTAACCATTTAATCCCTTTATTATACATATTCATAGTTAACTTTCTTTTAAGAGGAGATAACTTGTGCTAAACATAAACTTTTATGGATTGATGAATGTGAGAAGTGCAAAGTCAATCTACATGACACCATTTTATTTAATAGCATATACACAATTTTCTTATCATTTGCATCAATAGATAGATAGCTTTATTGTCTGAAGAATACAATCATTCTTGATGACAAAGCTAAATTTAAACTATAATATAATTATATGAGTGGATCTTAAGTAGGTTAATTGTAGAACTCACACAAGGTATAATATGGTTTACATATTAATAAAGTTTTCAAGGTCACGGCGGGATATCTTTAAATTTTTAATTCATTTGTGATCTTGTTTTCGTCTAATATTGTTGTTTATATTTAACGTTTTGAATTTAGATTTATTTTACAAAATAAGAGTTGCTGTTTCTAAAATGAACAATGATACGACAGTTATTACTATAAGATATACAAATAAAGCTTTGCATGTAGCTCTACGATTGCTTTTAGTTATATATCTAATAATTCGTTTTTTAGAATAAGTACCTTTTTTAAACAATCTTAGGAGCAGATACATCAAAAGTGAATGCTACATCTTAATCTACTTTCAAATAAGGCAAAGTAACTGCTTAAGCGCCATACTGTCAGTCGTTGCTACAACTGTAGGATCCCGTTACAACCTCCTTGATTTTCAGTATTTTCTCTCATTCAGAAAGGCTGAAGTATTTCTAGATTTCTACTGTTCTGTGTCAGCACTCTTCTAAATAAATAAATAATATTTTCTCTTTTTGAATTGTAGGAAATTTCAGGCTGATAAAAATCAAAAGCATGAACAATTTGATACAAATAGATATCTGTAACATCACCTCAAAATTAAGCGCCTTTCTGAAGGACAGGAAAAACTATGAAAATCAAAGGAGGCCATAAAGGTGTCATACAATTGTAGGAACAACTGACGATACAGCCCTAAGTTTAATAAATCGTTGATATGTGCTAATAATAGATATAAATGCATAGATTACCTTTAGGGAAGACGAAACATACCATTATAATATAATTGCTAGTTAGTTTTAATATTTACTCACCTGACACTGTGCTAATGTTATGATCTCCTCAATATTATTTGCTCTTTGCCTCCTTTTCTCTTCTACTCTTTCTTTTTTCACCTCTTCCTTGGCTGAAGATATAGCATTTTCAAAGAAATTTGTATCATCCTGCAGTTTTGATGTTTCCTTATCTAGAATAAAAAAAATATAAATATAAAAAAATATAATATACTAATAAAACTTTTTTAGTTTACTAAATTCACTACACTATTAGCTGACTAAGATTACTTAATATATCTAACTGATTAATAGACAAATTAATTTTTATCATTTTTATAATTTAGCATAATTAACATTGAAACATACTTCAAATGAAGTTTTTATTAATGTGTCTCACTTTATGGATTCCAAATATGGTATGCCTGGGGAAATGCCAGAGATGGGATACAACTGACCATGACTCATGGACTAGAGGGCTGATCCCAAATATTAAGACTTGAATTGACAAGGAAGCAGTGTGAATAAATTACTATAATGCACAGTTCCTCACAGGATATGGTTGTTTTGACAACTACCTGAAGATGGTAGGAAAAAGAGAGTATGTGAACTGTGAATACTGCTTCAAAGGCAAGGATACTCCTAATCATCTACTCGAATATGGTAGATGGATTGACTACCAGACACATCTGGAATTGATGCTTGGCAAGAGGCTCACTGCTGACAATTTTGTTATACATGTCAGAAATGCTGGTACAGGAGGACAAAAAGTAGACCAATAGTAGGTTCCTGCTCACTTGTATTAAACATACATATGAATATATGTATATGTACGATGAAGAGTATGGTATGAAAACCTGGGGCAACACTACCCATTATGAAAAGAGGCTGCAAGCATTATTGTGGTGGGATGTGTGGCAAATAACTGAGGGTTTTAGTGAGTGCACTACTTCTGGTGTATCTCACACTTTGGGAGAAAGGCCCACATGTTAATTCTATCAATATTTTCTTTATAAGAGCAGCTTTGAATGTTTTCCTTGTCACAAAAGAAGCATTGTAATAATTATCAAACTATACTTATTGCTATAGTCTTGTAGATAATGCAAGAAATAGTCCAACACAAAATGTTCAAATCTGGAATTCAACCTAATTCTTTTTATTTGTGACCAACCTTTATTGGGACTATTATCCAAAAACTGGTCTAATGACATGGTCTTGGTTTTCTTTTTCTTATTCTTATCTTGTGTTGTCATGATCACTGAAACAGAGTTTTTCTTTTGTGTTTCAAAATCCAACTTTGATTGCAGAATAGCACACTGCAAATCCTAAAAGAAATATAAATGGTGTTAATGATAAAATGGTATTCCTTAATTTGTATCTAATTATATGTAATATGGCAATAAATCATAATAAGACAAATACAAATAATAAACTGCTAGGTTTAGGTTTTCCACTGACAATATATAGAGGAAGTGTCCCTGATATGTACATTTTTATTAAAAAATGAGATTTTATATTTTACCTGTTCAAAGTTTTCATTAACAAACTCATCATCTTTCTTTTTCCAGTCTTCCCATTGTTTATTATGTTCTGACTTGGATTTTGACTTTGATTTCTTTGAAGGTCCATTTTGTTGAGTAGACTGGAAATGAACGTTAAGGTTAACTATTTAAGGAATACTATTCAATCTCAAGGATACAGTAATAATAACAAATATGTTATAATACATACTGTCTGCAAAGTGATTATATGTTTTGGTTACATTTTTACATTACCCACAAAAATCTGAAACCTTAGATATATATCTCATCTCAGTCTTGCATCAATAATTTTATAAAAATCAAGTAATGATAAAGATACAATAATAATGGTTCTACACTCAAATAGTCCAACATTACTTTACTAAATTAAAAATAACTGGTAGTCCTTTTAGACTACCTATTGGATATAGACAACAAATGTTTTTAGGAACAGTTTAGCAGAAGCAATGTGATATCAAAGCAGCCCTATGGCTGCAGCCTCATACTTGTTTCTTGCATTCAGAACTACCAAGAAAATACCTGCTTCTGATTAGACTTCTTGGTACTATTATTTTGATTTAGGGTTTTCTTGGTGCTCTGCGGTTTGCTGTCAACCTTCTTTTTCGCTGCATGTTGGGCATTTTGTCTTGATCCAACAGTTTTAAATTCATCGTCTTCAATTTTTAAACAAGAAAACCTCGACGGTACAGCTATATCCATCTTGATAATAAAAGAAAATGTAGAATTTTTTTCAACAAACGTTCAGCGTTCAGCCGATATAACAAAATAGAGACCGTGACGTTTTGTAGGAGCCGGGGTCATGTGACTTTGACCGCTCGATACAAAAACGGGTTAGTGATGGTGAAAACTTTTTATGTATAAACCGACTCTTTGGTATACTGAAATGCAAACTGTTCAAACCAAATAAAAAATCTATAAACCAGATTACGCTGTTATTTGGTAGATTATTATAGTATGAATGAAGTATGAGAAAAAAAATGAAAAACGAAACTCTGAAATTTCAACAAAAGGATGTTTCATGAACATTTGAAAGTGCTAATGTAATACCGTAAACACATATTTCATTAATGCAAATGTCTGAATTTTCCTTTCGTTACGTATTTAAAACTGCAACGCCAATGACGTTGATTCAAATGCAGCATTTTTGGCGCGATTCACAGTGACGTCACAACGCACGACTTATTATTCTGCTTTGTAACTTTGTATCCTTTAGTTTTAATTAAGCAGAGCAGAAGCGCGGATGAAGAACAAACACATTATAAGTACTGCATTGTACCTTTGTGCAAAAATACGATGCCAAAGCACCGGACAAGATGGTCGCAAGCTGAAATGGTGACGTCACTCTAATAATCTTGCATTTCGATATATCAAGTTTACCGCGTATTTTTCATTTTCAATGATTTGAAACTCATAATTTTGTAGCGTTCAAGTATAAAATAAAGTTAAAGGTGTCAATCTGTAGCAATATAGACTGTATTAAAAATAATTAGCCAGTACAGTCAAAATCACGAAATATGACTATTACGTCATACCATAAATTGTACTGAAGTGATCAATGGACGTACGTCGATGATAAAATCACGATGTCATTAATTTATGTTATGATTTTGCGAAGTTAGGTTATTTCACTGATTATTTTTATTGTCATTTTATTTCATGGTTTTAAGTGATACCTTAATAATAATTTTAGTGTCGAGTTTTTGTTTTGAAAAAAAAACAGGTATGAGTAGAATACACCTTAAGACATTAACACCAAAGGCCAAAGTATTATTTGAAATTAACCTAACCATTCATCTTTCAAAAATATGATCGATCATGCAACATGAAAACATTGTCTATCTTTGTCGGATACGTGTAAATTAGCAATACATTTTGTTGACAATAAAAGTCGGTTTGTCTCTGATGTTTAACATTATTTGAAACTTCAGTAAAATGTTCACGAATCGCTGTCATTTGTCTTTACTACAGACTAAAATGATGACGTAATCGTCATATTTCGTGATTTCGACTATATATATTTGAATAATATGAATATTTCCTATTGCCGTGGTTGATTTTCTTTATTAAAAGTTCTTATATTTTATATAGGATTTACTAATTGTAGCTATTAATGTATTGAACCTGCTAATTATCAATTCAATTTTTTTTGACTCTCTTGCAGATCGCTTTATGGTAAAATAAATCATTTATATTTTAGATAATTTCCTGCTCATTTACTCACAATGCGATTTCGGGGCTCCCAGAGTAGGGAAATTGCGTGCACCCTCCCGATCTTTAATTTTTCCTAATATATTAGTAATTTTCTATCACGTCCTTCCGGCCATATTCTTCTACAAAACGGTACCCAACTCTATCTTTTCTTTAGGTCTGTCAAAAAACATATGTTTTAAATGTCATTGGTCCCTCTTTCCTCTTCTATTTTAACAGGCTTTTTTTAAATTAAAACGTCATGTTACGATTATGGTACCCGATTTTATTCTGGCTTATTTGTGCAATAGCGCAAAACCTGTAAAGATAGAAGAAGCTGTACCGACTTTATTAAATGTGCTTAGACAAGAAATAAATAATCCTGTAATGTGATACCGGTTTTATGAATCAAACCTATATTCTGTCCATGGTCTGATATACAAAACAATCGCTGTCATAACAAGTAAAAGTTTTGAATTCCAGGAGTAATTTTCACAAACTCTCCTGATTTTTATTTTGATTAAACTTTATCTCTTATCTTGTCTAATGTTTCATTATAAATACTACATGAATAGTGTATTCTAGCTTCCAACATTTCAAGACTATTTCTATAATAGTTCCTTCTTTTTACAGCAGTTCCTTTCGGTTTATCGATACTATATGTTATTTTTTAAAGAAAGAATAAAGATATGGGTGAAACTGGAATATCAGTTCATCATCTCACTAATGATCCTACAGAAGCTTGGAAAGATATAGCAAGGGGACAGAAGGTTTTAAAGGTATGAATAAATTAACATTTATCAAAGGCACTGTTCCCACCATAAATGATATGATTAGTTTGTTTACAAAAGGTATGTCAGAAACAACATTAGTCTTTTCAGAGTCGATGCAAATTATTTTTTTTAAGAACATAAACACACTACACGCCTCATTTTATTAGCTTTTTGTCCAGCATCCTACACATGCTTACATTAATCACATGTTTATATATCTCTTCTCTCTCTTTCAGTTGAACGTTAAGATACCACAGACTCCAGTTGATGCGAACAAAGTTAGATTTGTTTGTATGAGTGATACTCATTCTTTGATTAGGAATATAATGTTTGATATACCTGATGGAGATATTTTCATTCATGCTGGAGATTTTACCAAATGTGGACAAAAAGAAGAGGTGATCCAATTTGACAATTGGTTAGGTAATATTATAACAATTATCATCTTCCATAAAAATTTTGTATCGTGAAGTGTCTAATTTGATGATTACACACAACATAGTCTGGACATTTTAATGACAATGACCCAAAGAAACCCTAAAAAACTTACTTTGCAGCATTTTTGGTTGTTCAGTTGTAGTGTGCCTTACATTACCTACCTGACATCATTCTGATATACCAGATTTTAATCACTATGCCTAGACATCTGAAAAAATGACAAATCCCCATGCTTCTAATCTGCGCAGGAAAATTATTCTTATAAGCATTCAATAGAAGTGACAAAACACAAAAGGTCTTAAGACCATTACATCTGACAGCCCCCTGTTCAGGGTAGGGCCTAAAGATAAATAAGGGGCCCTGGCAGAGCACAATAGTATCATGATTTCTTATAACACAATTTTCTCTGCTCTGAGGGGCTCTTTATACATTTTTGAAGGCCTCCTTCAGGTCAGTGCTGTGGAATAGGCCTGGACCTGTTCTCCCTCTTCCACTTTCGAATCTTCCAAAAGAATTTCCATAAATGATCAGATGCCTCCAAAATACTGAGAAACAAAGTTCTAGCAATTTCACTTACTCCAGTGTCGGCCCCTGACCAGTTTACAATCTGTGTTTCAAAATTGCATCGACACTTCTTAAAGGTGCATGCTCATTGAGGGAAAGGAAAGTGGCTCAGGTGCCCAACAATTGTCACTTGACAATGCTAGACATACAGTTGTCTCTTTCTGACTTCATTGCTGAACATCACTTCAAGGGTAGCGAGTTCCAACCAAGTCAATTCAAAATAAATTAGTATGTACTAGAATTTTCAGCAACATGTTAATTTTATTTTGATTTCCCTTGGTTGGTGCTCACCATTTCTGGGTACATGGTGGAGTTCAACAAAGTGTGACTATGAAAGGAACAATGGTTCCATGTTCATGGTGTTGCTTTGGTAGGGTAATTAAGTGATCAAGGATTTACCAGCTAGTTGACAGGCAGATAGGGTGATATGAGTTCGAAATTTTACTTCTCTTGCCTGTTGATGATTTTTTTGTCACTGTGTAAAGAGAGGACAAAAAACTCGTATTTTTATTAGCAAAAAAATTATTCATCCTCTGGATTTATGACATATTGGAATTTATAGGCTCTCTTCCTCACAAACACAAAATTGTAATAGCAGGCAATCATGAATTGAGCTTTGACAAGAAGTTTGCTGAGTATTTCAAAAAACTGATGAGTGCTCGACTAGAAAAAGCATCCTTTAGTGTTGATGAAGAAGTGCCAAACTATGGGAATGCGAAAGATAATTTAGGTATTTTCTTCCTTAGCTATCTGAAGGTTTGATGAATGCATGTGTAAAATGCTTTTTGTAGGAGATGCAGTAAATACACAAAACATTAGGCAATATCTAACAAATTGTATATATCTAGAAGATAATGGAATTGAATTGTATGGAATTAAAATATATGGTTCACCATGGTAAGCATTGGACATTTTAATAAACATATAATGATAGCTGTAAGATTTCTTGTTCTAATCCAGGGGTTTTCAAACTCATTTTGTTCACTACCTATTCTGAAAATTAATTATACTCTAGCCAAATTGTTTAACATGTTCGTCTCGGGGGAGTGGGGTTGCGAATGCCCTTATGACAGTTGAAGAGCAGGGGGCAAAAATTATCCATTGTGTCGCCTCCTAAATCAAATCACCGCCCCTCAATTTTCTTTAGGCTCTTTATCTCTGTAGGCCCCAGCACGAACAACGGGGCGTTATTGCCCACTTTGAGAAACATTGTTCTAATATTTTACTATATCCTTCTGTTAGAATATGCTTCATCCAATATCCATGCACTGTGATTTTAATATTCGAGATTAATTTCTCTCCATATTGCAGGCAACCTGTTTATAACAACTGGGCATTCAACTTGGAAAGAGGGGCTGAATGTCTTTCTAAGTGGAACAAAATTCCTGATGATACAGAGATACTCATAACACATACTCCACCTGTTGGTATGTATGGGTACATACATTGAAACAACAGCTTATCTATGCTATATTCCTGCATTATCAGATGCGTTGATCTGCTCTTAAACGTCATGCGTATTCATATCGGCGCATTTAATGTAATAGATTAGGAATGAATAGTGGCAGCCACCGTTCTTGGCGGTTACGTCATCAACCCCTTATGAAATAAGTAAACAGATCGAGTCTCCATACCATGGACGGAACATTGGGCGGACTAATCTTCAGCGTACCTGCTACTCTCTCCAGTACGCATGAAGTGGGTAACAGGAGACAGCTGTTTTCATTCTCTTTCTGGAAATGCTCTAATAAATTTAGCACGAGCTGTTGGCCTTCTCCATTGTTCGTATTTTTGGGCATTGTACAATTTTATACTGAAGATTGATAACAGGACAACTGAAATTGCACGCCTATGTCAAGTAAGTTGTCACTCTGACAAATGTGATTGAAGGGCATTCATTTGTAACGACAAAGTTTTCGAGACGGAGACACACAACTAAAAAACGTATGTCTTTGAGCTTACCGAACAAACGTTCAACACAGGGGTAGGTTGCATGTGCATGTATGAGGGAGATGGAGATATATAAAGGGATACTGGTAGTCTTACTTTGACCCGCCAAGAACCGTGACTACAACTATAGCAATAGTATTCCTGGCATATTTGATTTGATTAGATTCCCTTTATTTTAAGGCCATGGTGACTTGGCTTGTTCTGGCGTGAGAGCAGGTTGTGTTGAGCTTCTAAACACAGTACAGAAGAGGGTCAAGCCGAAGTACCACGTTTTTGGACACATACACGAAGGTAACTCTCAATATGAGGTCTGTAAACTAAGTGATGAGACTGATTTCTTAACGTTTTTTATTCAAATATAATCCCAATTTTATATTTATTGTCACCCTCAAAATAACTTCCTTCTGAAGCCACACACTGCAGGAGATGGTTGTTCCACTCCTCATCACAGTGCTGCAACTCCTATATTGAAATAGCCTTCAGCTGGTGAGTTTCAGCTGTTTGAATGTTGTTGACTGTCCCAAAATGAGTTTCCTTGAGATGTTTTTTAACTTTTTTTAACTTTGGGAAGGAAAAAGTCACAAGGACTATGTCAGGCCAACAAGAAGGCTGAGGAGCCACAGGAATGTTTTTACTGGCCAAAAACTTTATTGACATTGCTGTGAGACAATGAGCATTATCGTGATGCAACACCCAGTTGTTGTTGATCTGATGACCTGATATTCTCGGTTCTTTAAGATGAATGCCTTCCGTTTCGTGGTTCATCTTCAGTAGACTCTCTCCATTCTGAAAATGCCTTAAACCACCGAAAAACCTGGGCTCTTGACAAAACACTATCTCCCTAGGCATGTTTAGCAAGAGTTTACATTTCCATTGCCCAAGTCTGAAGCAAAACCTGATAGGACACCGTTGTTTGAAACTGGTGTCACGCATTTTTAGAACACAATAAAAAAACTTGTTTACCAAAAAAAAAAAAAATGACTCGAACGAATTCAGACTTGTACTGAAGGCGGATCAGTTACCCTGTCTCCCTTCCAAGCCCGGCGCCTTCAGTGTTGCCAGATCGAACGCTACATTGCCAGTCTCATCACTTGATTTACAGACCTCGAATGTCTATGATAATTTATTTGTACTCGTACTTATGCATTTTTTCCGAGTGGTTTTAAATCAGCTGTTATTTCATGTTAATGTATCAAGGCCTTTTCACAATCTGTGAATTGTAAAAGAGCCTCTACCGATGTACTCCGCCTCAAGTTTCTTTAAACTATTTTCACTTGTGATTCTATGTATGTTTGAGCAGACATTGAAGACACATATTTGTCTCTTCAAGTTTGCGGATCAAAGGCAAGGACGGATCTAGGGAGAGATGTCATCACCCACCACCCTGGGTGAATCGAGATTGACCTGCCACCGACACACCCTTCCTGTTTTCAGCCGTCGTCATCGCCCGCTCTTCAATTATCACTAAGACGTTTCGCCCTTAAATTTTCATCCGTCTTCCTCCGAGACAAACATCTCCCTGAGCATGAACCTTGTGTCTATCAATGCGCTTCCCCCGCTACACAGCTTCCTAAATCCCTCACCATTGGCTAAGTAGCACCCTGACTCAAAAGCTTCATCCCCATAATTTATTTCAAGATAAGAATAAATATAAAATAATTACTTGTTATTGTTATAGGATATGGCGTGACATCAGACGGCAAGATAATTTATATAAATGCTTCTACCTGTGATATTAATTACATCCCCACTAATTTGCCGGTAGTTTTCGATGTACCGCTGAAAAATGGACAGCAAAAGGAGGCATAATATATCACCATGTTAGAAGATTTCTGTTCACTGCATACAACATCCCTTCCCTGACTATACCAGTGTATTGATGAGAGAAGATCCCATATTTGTTTCTCAGACATGTAAATCTAAGTGTTGTAATATGGGCGAAATGTATTTAGATATAGTATCAAACCAACGCACGCTTTGAGTATGAAGTGGAGAATTTCGATACTCAGTACAAAATAGTACCTTTATCTAATCAGTCAGTAGCTTCATTATATTTGGGTCATTATTTCAAGAAGGGGATATATGTTTACCAAAACGTGCTCTAAAAAACCTTACACCAATTTATTTATGTAGTGGTCATGAATTATTATTACTATTTTTTCTGAAAAAGGACCGCTACCAGAAACTCTATGTACGGAGGTGAGCAGTTGTGTTACGGAGATGAGAAATGGCCATCAAAGTATGTGTTGTCAGTAGACTGAAAAGAGCTAATCGGAAAATAATAGACATGTAGCAGACGATTTAGTTTTAAGTATAGATTTCAATTAAATAGAGTGTTTGGGTCAAGGAGTAGTTACTTTTAGATAGTAAAAATTAAAAAAAAACGGCATTTAGTCTCACAAGATATTTATTTTTATTAGCGAAACGCAAAAACTAAAAAGACAAAAAAGCTGCATACGTCAACGTAAGTTCACCACTTCGGGACTTATATTAAAAAAATGTTGGCCCCTTTTAATCTGAGGCTTTTCTAAAACAGAAACAATATCACTATTTAAAATCAGTCCAATGTCATCGACGTTTGGAAAAATGAAAAAAGTTCCCTTCGACGATTTCCGGAAGTATTTGACTGTATAGTCGTTTTCATTTTCTATCGATAAGATTACTGCAACATTCATAATGATACTGATTTTTTTCCCTGGTATCTTAACCAATGCGTAATCGGCTACATTCATATTCAAGGGACGTTTAACAAATAATGTTGAAAGAGGCAGCTTATCCTCTGAACTGAACAATTCTTCACTCGAGCTATAAACATCTTCATAACAGATACTGGTTTTCATAACTGGTTATTAAGTCGAGGATCACAAAAGTAAAAAACCACTGATATTCTCAAAAAAACCCAAAAATATATTTAACCAATTTTTTAGATTACAGAAAGTTGTGAAACGGATTCTTGTTTGGTTGGAAATGTCATTTAATGTGTCCGCCAAAATTCCGTCACAAGAGCTATTCGAGTTTTCAACGTCTTGCTCTGGTTTATATTGTACAGACCTCAAATCATAATGCATGCATGCCTCTTCTGCAGAACAATCATTACAAGTTAATTGTCTAAAGTGAATAATGGAAGGGTTTGCCTTGGTCCAAAGAGCCTCGTGGATCTTCATAGTACCCTTGAAAACTTCGAGTGAGTCCGGCAGCTTTAAATCAAACTTTGATATGGCTTTATCATCTATAGGCAAAACGATAACATCCTCCAACGTTTGTAGCTTATCTGGTAGGGTCTCGTAATCAGGAATATCTTCTCTGGCCACAATACTATCAGCAGTTCTCTTTACACACCCACCTATGCCATCTGGCGCTCCCTTGCCGTGGTCTCTCAGAATAATGCCATCTAAGAGAATTAGCATCCAGTAATTTGCCAAGCACCCTCAAAAAGAAAAACATTTTCTTGTTTTTATATTGGGTGCTTGGCCCATCACTCAAACAGTGGACTTCATTTAAGATTGGTCATTTTCCTTTTATAATATCCTGTATGATAGGAAGCAAATGGGCGCATATTGATGATGGATTATGCCTAAACGATTTGGAAAGTGTACAGTATGGTGTTACAAGTAGTTCAGCTTCATCTGTTCGGTGCTCGGTTTGCTGATAGGTTACAACTGAGTGCAAGGTGATCACACATAATTCTCTGAGAAGTCCATGTGAATCAAAACATCATGGTCCAAGAGAGCTTTTTTAATTTGTCGAATCTTTTAGTAGATATTGATGGAGCATGTTAAAATGGTGAGTAAGCAAAGTTGGTAGGCTTTTCTGAAATTCTAATACCAATTCTGCTTTGCTGCAGTAAATATTTTCCTTAATATTTTTAACGCAAACTTCTTCCTGGCCTTTCACCAACAGTTTCTCCTTTTTTGGCGCCCACTCCTCATATTTTATATGCTCAGTAGGAATACATTCTAAAAATTCAACGTTTTGCCGTAAACGTTCAGGACATTTTCTTTCAAAGCATGCTTCCTTGATTTTGTGTTCAGCGGAGCACGTTATATTTTTGATAATTTCGTTGCAGCTATTTTCTTTAACAGATATTGTTGTAAAATTTTAATTTCGAAACCATATACTGGAAATTGACGTGTCTTTCTTGAAAATGGTATTTTTTTATTACTCTTCCTGAAACAGCCGCCATCAGTTTCCTTCTTTCTTCTCTATTATTTTTGGACAATACAGTTTCTTTTATTTGAGTAGATAAAACTGCCAAAAAAGTAAGGTTTGTTTAATCTAATTTGAAATTATTCGGCCATCAATCATTCTCTGAACGTTAGGGTTTGGGGAATCTTTGTCTGGGTTCTGATTTCTATAAAGCCTCTTCTTGAATTTTTCTTTCTTAGCTTTTTCTCTTTTAAGTTCTTTCTTTAATTTTTGAATATCTAATCTCAACTTTCTTCTTCTTGATGTTCTTTTACCTGCTGTCGATATTGCTGATGTTGGCGTCTACGAAATAGTTTGGTGCGTAGGGGTTTGCTCAGAATTCTCACGCATCGAGTGCGGCCGCATTGTTCCCAAACCGTCCATATTTCCCTGCACGGGTTCCTGTACCTTACGTGTCTTGTCGTAACTTTTTTTATTTCTAGCTCTCCAGTCTTTTCGTAATTTTCTCTGCTGCCGATGGGTCAGGTCATTGATGGATTTTATTTTGCCCTGTTCCTTCCGTCTTTGGTATCTTTCTCTCTCTAACCTTTTAGCCTCTCCATACCTTTCTAGATTACTTTTTAGTGCTTCCCTATACTTTCTTTCTATACTCGTTGTTTCACCTTTTTCCTCTTTTTTTGCTCTCTCTCATCTTCTCATTAGTGCTTTTTTCTGCTTGGCCATGCTTCTCTAAAAGTGATGAAACAAATGAAAATCTCATCTCCGTAACATGAGTCTCACCTCCGTAACAGTAAAAATGTTACGGAAGTGAGGTTACGGTTGTGAGAATTTTTATGGTTTTTAACTTCTCTTGCTCTCATTTTAATTATTGTACTTTCGATAAAGAAATATTAAGACATTTGTTCAGGACGGCATTCAAAATTGGTTTTTCTCTTGGGAGAATTTTGTTATGTTTTTTTTTAGAAAAAAACTAAAATTTGCGTTACAATAGTGAGAAAATTGAACTTACCTCATACAAAATTGGCAGTTGACCACGTGTAACTATTTTGATACGCGCAGGACAACTACTTCCTTCAGCCGACAAATATGAACTGATCTCGTGGATCCTTCTTGCAGTAAATCAGACTCATCCCCACTCTTTTATGGCTGTAGTTTGAAATAACGGCCCCAGTTACGGAGGTGAGATGAAAATCCGAGGACATTTTATATTTCACATAATTTTACGAAATGCAATTTGAATATAAAATGAAAATGTATTTTTTGCAAGATTTTGAGTGTCTTTAAGTATTGCTAGTACACATATCTCAATTGGACATTACTAAATTTAAGAATAATTAGTCTATATCTCATAACTTTTGTTTGGGGACTCGTTACGAACGTGAGAAATGACATTTGGCGAGGCAAATAAAATTAGGAAATAAATAAAAAATTAGTATTTTTGGTATGCTTCAGTAAGATCTAGTAGAGTACTGAATATTTTTGGTATTTTGTTCTTAGTTTTACCAAAGTAAAGGAAAAAAATCACTGAGGACACAAACATCCCGTTTTTCAAATAATGACCCATTTAGAAAAATCCTTTATCTGTATCTAGATGCTAAAACTATACCTATTACTGCAATGGAAAACAAAGCAACCATACTATACTGAAACTTTTCAAATATCTGTGTGGCTCTCCCATAGGTTACAGGGTTCTTATGTATGATGTATAAATTATTCTTACTGATATTAAATTTACAAGATATGAAGATGGAATTTCGGGACTCGTTTTTTGGCCATTTTTGTGGTGCTTAGCCCATTTGACAAAAAATGAGAACAGTGAAGAGAATATGTTTTGACATTATAGAAACAGTATACTAGACAAAATCATTTAATGTGGTATGGGGTATAAAAGATGGCTTCATTGTCGCATGGATGCTGGTGGTAAGTTCCTTAAAGAACTATGACCTGACTACTAAGGGTTCTGGGACATAAATGAACCTCAGTGATAATGAGTATATGTAATGGAAGAGGAAGGTGTCACTTTCAACAATTTACAGGTTTTGTTTGTTAGTTCTGAATGCTTGAGCTTATACTGTGCCTAAATCTGAATGCACATATGAAACTACCAAAGTAGATACACATGCCCACACATCCGGATACGCGTGTAACCTGAGGAAACGAAGATGGAGAGGGAAAAAAACGACACACGAAGTCCACAACCTACACATTGTAGTATAAAATGGCTAGATGACCTCGAATTTTCAAGGAGACATCTAACCACAACCACGCGGCCGGTTATAGCCACTTGCTGTGGTACTTCAAGTCCAAAGGATCTATAAAGAGAAAATGATCATGCGGAGAAAGGTATATAACAAAAAGTAGGAAAATAATGGGCAAAATCCGCAAAAAGGAAGATTTTCGATTTTTTCCCTCTCTATCTTCGTTTCCTGGGGCCTTTAGACATTATATTAAAAAGCATATAGCGAACACACATAATTCTTTTTAACACAATTTTTTTATAAAGAACTCACTGAGGTAAATCCACTAATGTATATTTTATTACTGTTCGCCATATGGCCCATGGTTTTTTGCAATGACATATGCTGACAGCTTACTGAAACTTCATCATTATTCAGATCAATCACCCTATTGACCCATAATTAAAACATGTTTGTTGAACTTCTGATTTATTTTATTTATTAAACAGCTGTTGGGGCAGCCTTAAATATTGTAGTTTACTTCTCCAACATATTACATATGTGGCTTTACCTTTGACGTCTACTGAGGTGAACAGCTGATCAGCAAGTTTTCTATTAGTCGGGTGTAAATCTAGTAAAACTTATTTGTAGCGTTTGGTTTTTTGTATGTGTATCGTCTGCCCGTAGTAAATAAAACAGATTTTCAGTATCGCACGCCGAGCTCTCACGTCTCCGTTCCTAACTGTACTGTCTCCCCGAAGTGCCTCCGCCGGGGTGATACTGCTAGAAGCGGTTCCGCCACGCCCGAGCATGTATTTATTGAAATACCAATACACTACATCTCTCCCTTTTTATAAATTTTGAAATATATAACAACTTAATAAGTATCTACATGTATCTTAATCTAGTTACATTAGATATAACATTCTATGAACAAATAAACTAAATATGTCAAATATCAAGAGCTTACAAAGGATCAAAGAGCTCATTTATATAACTACTTAACCTAAGAACTAATTGGGTGACTACTATAATAAAACTAAAATTAACAATAAGTAGAGTAACAAAATGATACGAATAATATACTTAAGCAAACAGTAAATTTCATTTTTGTTTGGCAGTACTGTCTTTGTCGACACATCTCCATTCCCCTTCCACCTTTTTCAAATGGACAACATTCCGACGGGTTTCTTCCCCTGTATTGTCATTTCTAATTTGTACATCTCCTCCGTTCTGGCTCATTACAGTGTATGTAACAGGATTGAACGTTGGTGTAATTTTGTTCTCTCTTATGAGATTTTTGACGTACACCTTGTTACCTTCTTGAAGAGCAGTTTCTGCAGCTCTCCTTTTTTTATCCGCATAAATTTTTCCTTTTTCCTTCTCTAGTTGGTCCCTGTCTCTGACCTCTTCCTGTGACAACTCATATCGAGCATCTTGATTACTGGGAATTTTATCTCGAAATATCCTATTAACCCTTAACCAGCGAGGTACATCAGAATCACGCTACTCGCGAACTCCGGTCTGGTAGACCGCTTAGGCAAAATTTCAAGTTTGTTGGCTATTCCCACTTCCATATTGTTTTAGATTGAAAAAAAGTTAATGATATACAAATTTATTTTTCAAAGTATGTATCTAATCCTAAAAAAGCACAAATAAAAACACTGAAAATATAATTATGTATCTAAAATAGTTAACACATTCAACCATTTATAGTAATGAGGTTTTTACAACAATTTTTAGAACATTCTTAAAACACAAAAAAACATGGATTAAAAAACTAAGTTAGATATTATTTTGGAAAATTTCCAGTGATTCAGTTTTTGCAGCATTTTTTAGAACATTCTAAGCAAATAGGTTTCTTGCAAATAACGCACATGTATTTAGTTTTTCTTTTTAAATGATATGGGCATAAACGACAAGTTGTTCTTTTTTCAAGGCAATCACTTGAATTATCCTGTGTGTCAGATTCTTTTTGCTTTCCAAGTATTGAAGTGATGAGAGACTTCAGCGCTCTATCCAAATTAGGATTGTCGCTTCTTCTCTGAATATCTGGCATGATCAACTTCAAACCTAAATCTTTTATAAATTCAAATCTATTGATAGCAGTTCTATTTTCGAAACAATTGTACAAAATTACTTGATGATATGTCAAGAATCCTGTAAAAAATTGCTAAAGGCCATCTGCGAGTTCGCCGGCCTGATGTGTAATTTGCACATTTCATGTTCAAGGAGTCAACTCCTCCTTTTGTCGAGTTGTAAAACGCAATAATCTCCGGTAAACCAGTTTCTTGGTCAGTTGACTTAGTATAGTGCATTGATGACACAAGTAGCACGGATTTATTTTTTTTTGGTACATGAGAAATAAGCGTGATGTTATCTTGATCAGAGAAGCCATATAAAGTAGAACCTATTTGCCTTTTTTTATCCGGTAAAAAATTTGGTGGTATCTCTCTTATTTTTTTTCAGAGTCCCTACGTACGTGAATCCACGATTGCTCAGTTGCTGGACTAACTCTATCGAGGAAAAATAATTATCTGCTGTAATATTTCGGTTAGATTTCTGAAGTGGTTGACTGAGTCTAATAACGGTTTGAGTTGGCTTCAGAAGTCTTTGTTCTAAGTCAGTTAGTGTTTGTCCATGTTTCGATATATATAAAAAAAAAAAAACTGTTCTTACCAGCGTAGATGTAACCATTATAAAAGTAAGATGTTCTTGCAGCAGTAAGGCACATCACTTTTATTCCGTATTTGCTCGGTTTATTAGGCATATACATTTTGAATGAGCATTTGCCTCTAAAAGAAATTAGCATTTCGTCCACACACAAATTCGCTCCAGGATTATATGCATTTTGGCAGTTCTTAATGAATTTCCCAAATAAAAATGAAATGGCTGCCGAGGGCCCATCGGTTACTTCTCTCTTCCCTCGTATCTGGATCGTCAAATCGAAGACTAATGAGAATCTTTTCAAATCTTTTGGCTGACATTGTTGCTCTAAATATAGAACGACCTGTTGTATCTGTTGAAAAGAGTGAAAGCAAATTTTCATGCGCCGATCGAAAAATAGAAGAAAGCAGTAAAAGACCCAAAAATGCTGACATTTCTATTGAATCTATGTCTTTATAATCCGGAGATTTCTCGTTTTTATGTTTGGATCTAATTTCTGACAATTTTCTGTTGGTCCAGCGTACGACTTCATTTATCATGTCATCGCCAATTAATAATTTCCAAACTTGTAAAATATCTGGATTGTTTCCTGATGCTCTAGCAGATTGTCCCAAGATAGGTATCTTCATAATTACGTTACGGCGTGGAGTCCGTACAGCAATATTTGGAAACTTGGAATTCCAAACGTATCCATTTTTAACTCGTTGTGATTCGATAGCAGGTCTAATTTCGTCCTCAGACGATGACGAATTTTCACTTCCTGACGTATATCTTTCCTCTTGTAGATATTCAGCATCATCTTCCGAATTGTCTTCATCATGTGATAATGTTTCTTCTTCTTCTTCAAACCACTGCATTACAATTTTTTCGAAATTGGGATCGTCATATCTAATTTTTGAACTACTTGGCTTACTTGAATTCATATTTTTTCTGAAACAATATTGATGGTATAGCTATGTATACACAAAACATGAAACTAGTTTCTTACCTTTATTTCACTTCAAATCCAGTTTTTTACGGGAATATCAAAAACAAACTCACGTTATTCGCGACTGTCGGTCACAGGGACTCCTATGCGATGTACGCGTTAACCGCGAGAGTCGGTCTGAGATACTGCTAGACATGTGAACTAGGCGCCGCAATTTCCAAGGTTAAAGGGTGGGGAGTATTATTTCACGTGTTTCGAGTCAAGATGAACCTAATTTGAAGCTAGACGAACGCGGGAGTTTCAGTTATATTATTTATAGAAAATACAGCTGAGTAAAAAAATTGTGGCGGTCTCTCAGACCGACATCGCGGGTTAAGGGTTAAAAACAGTTCCCAGTAACTGAGTGTGGGGTGCTGTTGTACATTGCTAGATAATCTAGTAACTCTTGTTTCCAATCCTTTTTCAAGGCGTGGCTTATTTTCAAACGTTTCAAAATATCCTGGTTTTGCCTTTCCACCTCTCCGTTCTGTTGTGGCCAATAGGGTACGGTGTGATAGATTTTTATCTCCCTCTCTTTACAAAATTCCTTCATTTCTTTACTCGTGAACTGCCGTCCATTGTCTGCAGTAATAGATTGTGGGTTGCCAAGACGTGAGAATACTTCTTTCAACGTTCTTACTGTAAATGTCGAAGTCAAATCCTTAGTAATTTTTATTTCCTTATAACGACTATAATAGTCTACAACGACGAACAAATAATCTCCACTTGGCAGAGGCCCCATAAAATCTATTGCTACATCGACCCAGGGAGCTTTTGGTAGCTCCCTCCTCTTTAGAGGATTTGGCACATTAGGTGCTAGCGTACATCCTTTACATGTCCTCACCATATTTTCTACATCTTTGTCCATATGTGGCCACAACACTTTTGATCGGAGTCTATTCTTCATGGCAACCATACCAGGATGACCCTCATGTGCGGCTCGCAATACAGCTTCTCTTAGTTTTTTCGGGATTACAATTCTTGTTCCTCTCAGGAGTATATCTTCGTAGAAACATAGTTCTGTCTCTAGAGTTTTCATTTGTTTCACAGAATCGTCCCACTTTCCAGAATTCAACCCCTCTCGTACCTTTTGTATTTCCTCATCTTTACGTGATTGTAATTTTATCTCATTCATTGGCACTGCTATTGGGCGTGATAATTCGACAATTTGTTGAATATGCTGGTCAGAGTTAACCATGTCTGTTGTATTTTGTGGCACACATAGTCTCGAAAGGGGATCTGCTGTTAGATTTTCCTGGTTTATAGACTACCTTGAAATTGAAAGATTGTAACCTTAGGACCCACCTTTCAATTCTAGCACAAGGTTTAGATCTTGGATTAAATATAGCCTCTAAAGGCTTATGATCTGTTACTAAGTCGAGTGAGTCTTTCCCAAATAAATAAATCCTGAAGTGTTCTACAGCCCAAACTAATGCAAGTGCTTCCTTCTCCGTTTGACAGTACCTTTTCTCGCACTCAGTTAAACTCTTATTCCCAAATGCGATAATACGAGGACCTGCGTCTTTTCTGTTGGATTATAGTATCCTAATGTTCTTATACTTGCTAAGCTTCTTTTTAAATCGCAAAAGGCGTTATCTTGTTTTGCTGTCCAATACTTTTGAATAGGAGTTTGTTTCGATAACTTTAACCGTAGAAACATCCTAAACGGCTCTGTTAATGTTGCCAAGTTCGGTATCCATTTACCTACATAATTTACTAGACCTAGAACCTCTTCAATAGTATTGGGCTTCCTAAAAGATAATATACCTGAAACATATGAATCAAAAGGCCTAACACCATTTGAATTTAAAGTATGCCCAAGAAAGTTAATTTCCCTTAATCGATACTGACATTTGTGTTCATTCAATAGTACATTGTATTCTTTTAGGGTTTTCAGGGTCTTTTCTAACCTTAGATTATGTTCTTCAACATCCTTCCCAAAAACGACTATGTCATCGATGAAGTTCCTTGAACTCTCACAACCCGCAAGTATTTTTTCGAGGCTTTTTTGAAATAATTCCGGGGCGCAAGTAATACCAAACATTAGTCGTTTGTATCGATACAAGCCTTTACTTGTTATAAAGGTTGTAATATTTCGACATTCAGGAGCGAGCTCTAACTGGTGGAACGCGTTTTTTATGTCTAATCTTGAAAAAATATTGGCATTCCTGAAATTTGGTAGTAGGATATCCATAGTGGGCAATGGATGGTTTTCTCTAATAATTGCTTTGTTTGCTCCACGCATATCAATGCAAATTCTTATTTCTCCATTTTCCTTTAGAACCGGGACCATTGGAGACACCCACCTTGAAGGTTCGTTGACGGGTTCTATTATATCGGCTTCTATTAACTCCTTAATTTTATTTTCCACTTTGCTTTCTAGAGGAATAGGTATTCTTCGGTATGGTTGTGATATTGGTGTCACCGAATCATCTATTGGGATATGAATTACAATATCTTTGAATTTAGGAAATTGCTCAATATTATTTGTATGCAATCCTATCTTTAAAATTCCGAGAGCTACGGCAGTATTTTTACCATTTTCCAGATTGGAACCTACGCGTATTTCTGCTTGAAATGAGCCCGTAACTTTTAGGGGGTTTTTGCTACCATAGGCAAAAAAGATCTTATGGGGGTTCCTTACTTGGTTGAATACAACTTTATTTTGTTTCATATACTCCTAAGTCTTATCCGTTATCAAATTGCTTTTGCTGCCCGAATCAATCACCATTCTTACTAATACGTTCCCAATATTACAGGGGATTTCTGTGTCATCGTCAATTTGAAACACATATTCGGAATCCCGGGTTGGACGTGACTCGTCCTGATCTGAATCTGCGTCTACATAGTTGAAAGACTCTTGGTTTTTTCCATTATTTGGTTGGGAAGAAAAATCATATTTTCTTTTATAACCCCTCCGTAGTCCCGTATTCAGCAGAGTACGACACTGTTTCTTATAATGGCCTAATTTACCACATTTCAAACACTTTTTATCCATTGCTGGACATTTATCTGTGCCGCGGTGATTAAAACCTCCGCATCTGCTGCATACGTTAAAATGGTTCCTTGCCTGTTTACTTGTTGTTGGCCAAGACTGAATTTTATTAATTTCTTGAAATGAAGTTGTACTAAAGCCCTTCAGTTCCCTATTTATAGATTCTAAAGAGTTTGCCGCGGCAACAATGGTATCTAAATTTACAGTGTCCCCTAAAGCTAATATGTTTTTCCTTAATTCTTGAGAATAACATTTCTCTACAATCTGGTCAATTAAATGTTCTTCAACATTAGAAAATTTACACTTAGCACCTTGAACTCTTAACCTAACTAAGAACTCGTCAAAAGTTTCTTCAGACTCCTGTTTTATTTTGCGAAAAATGTACCTTTCATATAACTTGCTCTGTTTGGGTTTGAAATATTCGTCCAGCTTTTGCACAGCAACGGCAAAAACATCATTATCGCCTTGCGGTTCATCGACGTGGGCCCCTGGAATGCTGTAGTATATTTCCTGTAAAGGCAGTCCACTGGAGTGAAGAAGCATAGCTCTTTTCTTTTTTGGATCTACCACACTGGATGCCTCCAAGAAAATGGCAAATGCCCTCCTCCATTTGTCCCATCTCAATCCCACTGAGCTGGGCTCACCCTCACAGTCAAAAGTTTCGATGGCAGGTAGTCCACTCATTTTTCCTAAAAAGTATACACATACGTGTAAATATACGCATGTTTTCCTTTATTCAGAATTCAGGTCTTAACCTTTTATTTACATATCAGGGCTTACCCTCAATTATTTTTTTTTCTCTAACTTTATTTTAAATCCAGGTCTTAACCTTTTATTTATTTTATCAGGGCTTACCCTCAATTATTTTTTTCCTCTAACTTTATTTTAAATCCAGGTCTTAACCTCTTATTTATTTTATCAGGGCTTAACCTCAATTATCTTCTTTTTATATACCTTTATAGAAAATCCAGGTCAAAAAAGGTGGCCCTAGACGGTCAATCATTTCGATCAAATGCTTGAGTCAATCGATTGACGCGTGCTTCAAGCAACCCTCAGTCGTTTGTTCAAAACACATTTTGCTGTGGTACTTGGTGCTGTTCGTTTGTATTATTTTTATACCGTGTTTTTCGTGGCTGAAACAATGGTTTCAAATACAGATATTGGCTTTATCGCCTTGACTTTAGCGATCGCACTGAAGCAGAAGAAGAAGAGGAAACGAAGGTGGTCAAAGGAATGGTACAAATTGAGAAACCGCTTTACTTATAAATAAAATTGTTTTGGCATGCTGTCATTTACACAACTACTTGTGCTCAAGAAATAGTGGAAACTATATACAATCTCATGACGTCGATAATGAGAATACTTCTACGGCTAATGTGGAACTTGGTTCATGGAGACAAGGAGCTCAAGAGGTGTTACGACTTCAAAGAACCAAAGGCAACTCGGCAGTTGAAGCAAAAAAAATAAGGGATGACTTTTGCGAATTCTTCAACACCTGCGGTTCAGTGCCATGGCAAAACAGGTACCTGAATAATTAGATTCAACAAATCTTAACAGAAGCATAGTATTGTGTAATAAATAAATAAAAATAAATAAATAAAACATTTCTTTGAGTCATCCTGCATGATTGTGTTTACCTGTGATGAATGGAAAACAGTAAGGTTACATGTAAAAGAATTAGGTTACATAAACAGTATTTACAGACCGAAAAAGGATTTGGTTCCATAAATAGAATAGGTATGTACTGTATTTACTGTAATTCATAATTTCAAGGTTGGTAGATACGATGAAAAATTTTCTTACCTCTGAAGTTTCTGTTGGTGCGACTTCAATCTGATCTTTTATGAAAGAAAGTTCGTTGTAGTACCACAGTGCCGGTTCTCGGATGTCATCCGCTGACGCCCCGGACAGTCTTGTTGCTTCGATTAACCTGAACTCCCTGTTAAAATTTGTTCTCAAACTATTAATTTCTTTTCATTGTAGTCCGGTTTCAGCGTTTTCAAAGCCCCCACAATTTTTTCTAATGCTGCACAACTCTCCACAGCTCTGAACAGTCTCTATACAAATCTATAAGTAGGCTAGTGCATTCGCGATCTGGTTGCGAAATTTCATCAACGTTGGAAGAGAGCGAGGGACCCTCCATGGTTGCTGACTGGCGCGTGACTGACGGAAAATTTGATCAAAACCCACGTAGACGATCAAGCGCCCTCTTCAAGCACTCCCGTCAATCAAACTTTCTATCAATCACCGTCAATGCTTGGCTCAAGCGTCAAACTGGCTCCTAGACAATCAATCTCGCTTGACTCAATCGATTGACTTAAGCATTGATCAAAATATCTTCCTTTCCTTTTTTTTTTTGAAATAATCTCTATTTGTTGAGGTCCTACCCCTTTTGTCACCATAATATTATATTTATAGCAAGTTAATTATTTACCTTATCTTCCTGGAGTCTTACTCCGAATGTTTGATACGTGGTTACAGGGAACAATATGTAACACTTTGTAGCACAGATGTATAACCAACAATCTCCGTTTACTCCTCGTCGCCAATTTGTATCGTCTGCGCGTAGTAAATAAAACAGATTTTCAGTATCGCACGCCGAGCTCTCACGTCTCCCCGAAGTGCCTCCGCCGGGGTGATACTGCTAGAAGCGTTTCCGCCACGCCCGAGCATGTATTTATTGAAATACCAATACACTACAGTATGCAAATGAACTATTCATAAGTAATTCATAGAGCATATAATTATTCCGAAAAAAATCGAAAAAACACGCTGCTAAGTAATATTCTAACAAGAGCATGAGTGCTGGTGGCAACAAAAGCCGAGTCGTAGACGAGGATTTTTGCATCGACTCGGATTTTTTGCACCTGGACGAATGTTTTTTGTTAAAAAAATATTACTTTGCATTGCGTTTTTTCGATTTTATTTTCACAGGAAAAAATTAGATGCTGGAATGGTATTTGACAAGATGATTTCATGAGTATCATTATTCTGCTTACACATAGCTTACCAAATTTATTGACAATAAAATCAGAAGAATTGTTTAGTCTTTTTCTGGTGTCCTAAGAGACCATAATTACTTGTTATCGAATGTATTGTAATTTTTGGTGACAACAGCTGTCAAGTTTTGCCGCGGGTAAACTCTAAAAAATTGCTGACAGGTGCTGTCATACAATTTTTCTATCTAGAAACCATTTGTAATTCAAAATTGCGCGTTTGTGATTGGTAGAAATTAAGACGAGGGAAATAGTCTAAATAAAACGGCTTTTAGCGAGTACAAAATGATCTGTAGAGTACAAAAAAACGAAAACAAAATATGGCTCTGTCTACCTGGCGTTGACGTTAGATTTGTAAATATTACTACATAATCAGCTGTTATTCTAACCTAATTGATGTGGTCAGTAGGCTGATGTGCCAGTTTTTTGCTGTTCCATCTTTATAGTCTTCTTGGTGCTTTACAATCACTATAGATTCATGCTCCACCAATTATTGTGTCAGTGAAGTTATATCTATCTTTTTTTACAAACTTTTGTACATCTGAATATAAGGGTGTAACTATCCAGAGTTCTTATTATTTATACTTCCTCGAAAACAATCCTAATTTCTCTATCCAGAAGAGATGTGTACAAAAAATTTTATTTCACAGGCTACAGTCTAAACAGAGTCGTCTTGGCAGTTCAAGTGACACTGGATATATCAACATTGTATCGTATCAAAACTTTCATTACCTACAGTTTAAATAACTGGATGGATTTTGACAAATATGAGGGGCATCTAAATTTGTTTTAAACAAATCTGGGAACACAATAACATATTTTTATTGCAAATTCCAACTTTGAAACTGCTATTTCATGGGGCTCATACAGCGTAATCAACTTTGAAATTTGAGGCATCTGGCGCCAACGCATTCATTGTCCTGCCTAAACAAGGTCATTCTTTTCAGTTACTAAAATTGAATGTTTTGTGTGTTTTAAAATTGTACTTATGTTTTTTTGTATATTGGTGTTTTTCCAGTTTTGGATGAATAATGTGTGATTATAAAAAACTGCTTTATGTGTAACATCAACATTTATTGTAGTACAAATAAAACATTAATAAATTAACAATATATTTGGTCCAAAATTAACACTACCTTCCTCTATTAATCTTCAAATGAAATTCTATAGGCAACTGTCATACTTATTTGTCTTTAAAAATTGAAAATCAGATAATGGTATTGCTTGTGTTGTTAATTCTAACAGCAACTGTGAATCGACTGTGTAATTAATTGGTTGCATGTAGGTTCTCATTTGTCAAAACTCTTGTGAAAAAGGTGATTTATTTTTATTAGTGGTGTCAATATCTTGAAGTGAAAAACTCTGTCATGATACTTTAGGTGGCTGTTTTTCATTTTCGGTTCCTAAGATAACTTTATTCACTTCTTGCAGATCTATTTTTTGATCTTTCATAGCTTTCTGGAAATAGAAAAATTCACTCAGAAATCAAGATAGACCGCAGAATTGGTATTAAATTAACACATACCTTTACACACTGCTGGTACACTTTGAATAATGGTGCGCACATTGAATCATTTGTGTTACCCTTCAGAAAGTGTTCTGAAAACCAAGCATTGAAACAAGCATCATATTCCTTCTTGAGATCATTGCACGCCTCTCCAATGCTATTCATTCCTCCAGGAACTATGAAAAAATTTAAATGTGGTTTACGAACTCATTGAATATCGATTAGGAAAGTAAAATCCATCCATCAATAGATAATTGTATGGCGTTTATAAGTGACCAAGCAAGATCTTTATGCTGATCAATTATATGCACAGTTCATATTCTGTAATGTGGCAAGAAAGTAATCAAATACTTACTGTATGTTAAATTTTTAACGAGAATAAGTGAGAAATCAAGTGAAAAAATGTAAAACATGCAAACATTCAACAACAAAGGCAGAAAAAGTGAGGTTAGCAATAAAATCACACATGTCCACAGTTCAATATTTGGGCGACATTGTCAAATTGTCGAAATGGTGTATTAATAAATAGTTCATTAGGTAGTGATTGAGAAATGTACAAACTTTATTTATAACACATGCAGATTCAAAAAAGTTTTTATGGTTTACACATATTCATTTAATAATAATAATAATAATAATAATAATAATTTATTGATGTTAATACACAGAAAGTGTTTACACAAGTCAATATATACTCATCGAACGCTTAGAAAATCTACATCAAACATGAATAAAACAAGTTAAAAACAATGCAATGCTGCGTAACGCATAATTACCAAAAGCAAATTGAACAAAAAACAATACAAAAATGTCATGAGATAAAAGAAGATCGCTAAGAAAATATATGTATAATACAATTAACTATACACATACAGACAAACAAAACAATAACAACTGTACATAAGTTGGAGACAGAAATGAATAAATAAACATTTAAGGTATATCAGTAAAGTCATTTGCCAAATATTCGTCCGTGCTAAAGAATGCGTTTTTTATTAAATAATACTTTAGTTTCCTATGAAAAACACCAATATCCAATGTTTTTATATTGTTGGGTAGCACATTAAAAAATTTAATGCCATAAAAGTTTGTTCCAACTCTTGATTTTTCTAGACGGTAGTTATTATGGCAAATGTTGTTTCTATTTCGTGTTTCATATTTGTGGTTATCACTATGAGTGGGGAAGGTACTAATGTTACTTTTGATATATATGAGACAACTCAAAATATACGCGCATGGAAGGGTTAGTATGGCCAATTTAATGAATTCAGCCTTGCAGGGGTCTCTATATTTCAAACCAGAGATGTATCGTATACAACGCCTTTGCATGCCAAAAACTTTTTGCATATGTGGAGAGTGTCCCCAGACCAAAATTGCATATGTCATTTTAGAGTGGAAATATGCATGATAAGCAGTTAATAAAACTTTATCAGATACTCTATCCTTTAGACTACGTATGAGATATATAACTCTGGACAAACGATCCACCACACAGCGAGTATGCACCTCCCATGTCAGAGTACAGTCAATATGAACGCCTAGCAATTTCACTGTTTGAGCAGATTCCAACTCATGACTGCGTAAGCTTAGTATTATAGACTGAGTTTTATCAGTGTTGAGCAATAGCATATTGGCAGCAAACCAATCCTCAAGGTTCGACTTACACAATGAACTAGTTTCGACAAGGGTGTTTACATATTTATTAGAATTTACCAAAGTAGTGTCATCAGCATATAAGAACAAAGCAGCATTGTGCGTATCTGACAGGCTATTGGGGATGTCATTAATGTATAATAAAAACAGCAGTGGTCCCAGTACGGAACCCTGAGGAACTCCATGGATCACTGATCTGGTATCAGAGTTACAGCCATTGAAATGTACTAGTTGTTTTCTGTCAGATAAGTAAGAGTCTAAAATTTTGATGCTAGAAGGATGAATGTGATAATAAGGTAATTTTTTTATTAAAATACTATGCTGCAGACAATCAAAAGCCTTAGATAAATCGAAAAGGTCCGCCTTGGTATGTAGATGGTTCTCAAATCCTTCGTTAACAAGATCTATAAGACAATTGATAGCTGTAGTAGTAGATCTGTTCCGTCTAAATCCAAACTGCTTGTCATTAAATAATTGACTTGACTCTAGATGAGAGGTTAGTTGATCTTTTAGCAGAATTTCAAAAATCTTAGCAAAGTATGAGATTAGAGAAATTGGTCGATGGTTGGAAAGCACATCACCCGATCCATTTTTAAGTATTGGAATGACTTTGGATATCTTGAGAATTTTAGGAAAAGTACTATTTCGAATACCAATATTAAAAAGTTTAGCGAGTGGAACGATAATCAGATTCATTATGGTCTTTATAATTTTTGAATTCAATTTATGTACATCTGTACTCTTAGAATTTTTTAGTGATGAAATCGCTGATCTGACTTGATTGTAGGATACTTCTTTGAACAAGAAAAGGTCGATGTTATCAGTATGAACCAAGTAGTCTAGTGCATCACGATTTGCTGGAGGAATATTGTCAATGAGCGTCTGGGCTATACTTGAGAAGTATGAATTGAATTCGTTAGCATTCAAGATGTTGCTTTTGTTCTGATTATTAGCTGGAACATTGGATCTAATAATATTCCACATTGCTAGCTGCTTGTTGCTCGAATTGTTTATATACAAGTCGTGTGCTTGTTTTTTGCTATTAGTGATAGCCTGTCGATATTGTGATCTATACTCGTTAACAGCTTGTTTGGTAACTATTTGTGGGTTAACCTTGTACCAATCCATCAGGAGCCTCAAACGATCTCTCATAGCATATTTAAATGTGAAACAAGAAAAAAACATCATATAGCACTACCACCGCTCGTACTATACAGCTAAGCGACTCCCTAAAAATTATACTGAATTTCTGCTGCCAGACGCAATTGAATCGCGTGGCTGACGTTGAGTAGTCATCCGCGGAATTTTGTCGAGAGAAAGTTGCCTTTTTCGATTATTTAAATGTAAGTTCCTTGCTATGTTATTGTATTTAAGGTGATCTCAAGAAAGTCATTGGGCCGTATTTATAAAAGAGAAGCATACCCTCGGAAGCATAAGGTAAAAGTATAAGGTCTTGCTTCAGAGAAAAAGGTAGAAGTATAAGCATATGCTTGTTTTCATATTAATAATGATTACCTTATACTCGCGAGGATATGCTCCAAGAAGTAAAAGGTTGACTGGTATTTGTATCTATAGCGACATGTCCTGACTTGTTCCAGCTTGTAGTTGACGTGGGAGTTCGTTCACTCAGCATCACTGACAGTTGTACTCGAGAGCTTACACAGACCGTTCCGTATTTTTACTGGATACAGTATTTTATCAAATTAATACTCAAGTGATGAGGAAACTATAGAAAATAATGGCATCGACCTGCAGATCATCGCAGATGAAATTGCCATTGCTCCCATTATTTTGCAAAAGTCACAAGTTCCAAAAATAAAAATGAGGAAGGACGATGCGTTGAAGAAGATGTTGAGAAAATACGAATCAACATTCGGTAAACCATTAGATATTATATATTATTAAAAAAATCAACAACATGAAATCAAGATTGAAGAAAAAAACAGGTATTAAAAAATCTGGTAATAAAGCAATTAAATTGTTAGATTGGGAAAGAAAGTTGCTGAAAGCTATGGAAGGTGACTGTAATCCTACAATTGGGAAAATTAGAGGTGCCATTCAGGTTGGTAGTGTTCAAGAAGAAGGAAGTGAACTATATACCGAGCGCAGTGAGCAAACGGCCAGTATTACAGCGCCAGCAATTCAGAAGACATTGCCACCAAAAAGAAAATTAGCAACAGAGAAATACGAAACTGAGGAAACCAAAGGGTTAACTGCAACATCTAGTGCTATTACAACAATACCAAAGAAGTATTTTACAACAAGAGTATTATAAAACGAAATTAGAAATGATGCAACGTCAGAAGCCACCTGTAACTTATAATGTTCACGAGAATAAAACTTATTATAACTTATAAATACACTTTAATCAGCAAAACTATTTATTATAATACTCAGGTTTCTTCTTATTTGTTGACCTAGTTGGCGGAGAAAGTTCTTCATTCTCATGATTTCCTTCATCTTCATCTGGGTCTTGGTTAACTAACTCAAAGTCAGGATCGCCCAAGCTCTTCGCAACATTATGGAGTACAATACAAGCAATAATTATTTTCGGCAGATTTTCCAACTTTACGCAGTAAACATACTGTAGGATAGGAAACCGGCGTTTCAGTTGGCCGAAACAGCGTTCAATTATAACTCTTTCCTGTTTTAAAAGCTTATTATAATTTATTTCTGCACATGGAGTAGGACTTCTGAAGGAAGTCATAAGGCAGGGCTCAATACCATAACCGTTATCGCCAAGTAGTACAACATTTGCTTTATTTAATAGTTGTGATCTAGTCTGTGAAATTCTCCATATACTGCAATCATGTACTGATCCAGGTCAACTGACATCAATACTTGTGAACATCTCTCTGGCATCACAAGTGGCTTGCACATTTAAAGTAGGTTTCCCTTTTCGGTTGATATACTCATCTCCATGGCGACTTGGTTTCAGGATTTCTGTACAATCAATTGCTGTAGGAAATTTATACATGCTTTGCCATACCCGCTTGGCATCCATCAGTTCATGGTTGGTAGTTGGAAACTTGATCCATTGGTTCGACTGTGCAACTATGCTGTTCACAACTCTATCCACAGTCCGAGATACCGTTGCTTGACTAACACCAAGTTCCTGACCAATACCTTGTGGATATCCAGGGTCACCGAGATAGCGTAGACATATATTTTATTATTTATTAATACATAAAAGTGCTCCTCCTCAAGTTTCCTCATTCTTAACTAAAAATCTGTGCGCAAGCCATTGTACATTTGCTTCGAAGTCACGACCAAGTGAAGGTAAACGAGGTTTGTACGTTTTAAAATCCCTAACATCAACAATTTCCGCCATCATCGTTTGACCACCATTCGTTACGAAGTTGAGTCTGCTACTGACCATACTCAGAATTTTTGAAGGATATCCTTCCTATGCCAATGAATATCCTTTTCTTATGTCACTGGTTTGAAGGATATGCTTATACTCAAAAAGCAAAGGCATTTACTTCAAATTATTATAAATACTATCTGGAGGATTTCCTTCAAAATTTGCAAGTACAAGGATATCTTTTGTTTTATGAATACTTCTAATTGCATCTGTTTTTATTTAGGTCATCTTAGAAATAAACAGTCGGTAGGTTAGGTTATTATCCATAGATGGCTTGATAAAAATATTATTTTATCTCTGAACTTCAATCAAGATTCGTGATTTTTTACTCAATTCACGTTTGAAACTTCAATTGTATTTCCTTTCTAGAGCAAAACAGGTCTCGTCTTTTTTTAACCAAAGAGTAGCGAAACGTTAGTATTCCTCGCCCGAGACTGAAATTACTTTCCCACCCTCAAGTCCCGGGAGCGTCACTGTTGGCGAGTAACCTTATGCTCTCGTAGCATATGTAACTATTACTGCTTTTTATGAAAAAAGATCAGATCTGGCAACGCCGCGTCTGCTGTTTCAGCCAATCAAATCTTATATTTCTTTCCGTCACGCCACCCGGCATGCTTCGCCTCAGATCGTGGCACTCTATGATTCCAGTGAACGTCCCATAAAAAATAGTCTCCTTTTAAAATCACAGAAAGTCTAGTGTTCGCTTAACCTCCTTTTTTACGCGTGTTGTTTTGTGTGTTGTAGACTTAGAGCCTGCATTTACATTCAGGTATTACCGGTAAGTTGTTTTTCATTTTTATTCATTGGATTTTCCCTTTGGCAACAAGGGATGGTCAATAACCTTTTGACAAAAGTGTCCCTTTTTACGGAGTTTTTTTCTGTAGTTTGACATCTACATCTACCTAGATGTTTCATATATAAATTTAAACAGTTGATCCTATTGCTTATGTCCATTACAAGGAATGTCTTAAATAGAAACAGACGTTGCCTTTTTATTTGTTGATATCGGCGGATTGAGGTTGTAGGGTTGAAAACACTACAAGTTTAAATTTTGAACATCAGAATTACTATTCGAAATAATGTACAGTTCCTTTGGTAGAGTGTATTAATAAGTTATAACTTAATCGCACTGAATTAAGATATCCCCATAAATATTATTTATTGGAATGAATTTTGATGGAAACATATATATTTAATTATCCAGGTAGCACCAATTTTCTTTGCACTTAGTGGTTAGAAGCTACTGTTTTTATTTTCCATTCTAACTTACATATATTTCTGTGTATTCAGGAGCAAAAATAATTGCGCCCATTCTCCTGATCTTAAAGGAAAAACGAAACAAGTAGCAACGTTGCAGCGCGACAGTGCCCACATCAACCTTGTGACAACTTTCCTCAACATGGGGAGATTCCTGCAGGGTAACAATGTAATTGGGACCGAAATAACCCAAACACCCAGTGGCGTAGCGTGGTTTTCGCCGCTCTGGGCCGACCGAAAACTTGCCGCCCCGCTATATTTTAATTATTTATCAGTCTACAAAATCAGTAAAAGTCAAAGCATCTTCAAATTCTTTCATTAATTGAAAATTTACTTTTCGTGTTTTTTATATCAAATTTTTCGACCCAAAGATGCGCCTGACGTCATACCCAGTGAGACATGTATGTAACGGTGTCCCAGCCTATGAGAGCAAACAAATTTTTGTTCGAATTAGTTACTCATACTGTCCTAATTCTTTTCATTTGACTCTAACAACTCAAAAAATAAATATTTTGATCGAGAAACGATAACCCGTGCTGACTTTCGGTCAAACTTTGAATTTGAAAGGAAATAGGGATACCATGTATGGATTTCAAAACCTAAATTCTTATTCGACCAATAAAACACTGCTTTATTTGTATTTTATATTTCTTGCATATTATCATTAAAATAACATTATTTACTAGATTTTCTTTTCAAAGTTTTCTTTTTACAGTCAGGAAAAAATTATTTGTGTTCCTCATCAGCAGTGATTAAGCCACGGAAGTCTTGCATTAACTTGACAGTTATTTCTGCCTTATCGTTAACTGCTTTCAGTGTTTGCACCTTATTCTTAGTGTGCTGAACTGAATCATTATGTGTACCATGAAGTTGGTCACTGTCATCAATTTTGAGTCGACTGAATAAGGACTTGCTTTTGATTGAAACAACGTCATCGATTTTATTCTGACATAAAAAAACGAAAAATAGCCTCCATCTAAACATACAGGTTTTGTCCGTCAGACCACAGACAGCCAACCATGTTTTGTGCTTTTTGGCAACTCATCAGCATCGTCTAGGCTTGGCCTCAGGTCAGGACAACGAACGAAAACATAGTAACTAACCTTCATCTTAGATATAAGATCTATCGAAACAAGACAGTATAAGGTGCCATCAATTTCCAGAATCGCAGTTCATGCTTGCAAGGAAAATGTATTCGTCAGACTTACTATAAAGAAAGTTCTTTCGATGGGATGTAGCGTTTAACGCAGGCTGATGGACTTTTTTTTGCTAAACTAGCTACTATTTTTACTTTAGTTTCCTCATCTACGTCGTCGTCAAAGAGAAATAAGGCAGATACCTAATCTGTCAAATACCACAAATGTTGGCAGAACTTTTCTAAAGCTGCTTTTGGCATCGTTTTGTTAATTCTTTCGTAAGCCTTCATTGCATTTGAAAAGTAAATCTTGATTAGGTGCTTTTACCGCTAAAGTGCACTGCAACCTCGGTTTCACGTATGTTGTCACGATTAACAGGCAGATATCTAACAGAGCTACCTTATCCCTATTAGAAAGTATGAGCTGGGAACTTAATAACGCTATTTTTGATGAATAGATTGCTCTGGCCATCCATCGAGCTTGATGCATGGCGCCTGGCGGTCGAATCTTAATCTTTTCCTTGTATCTGCGCCAAGGAATATTATTGAAAATTCTATTAATTCTCGATAGTAGTCTGTAGCAACATCTTTGATCAATTTATGTCGATAAAATTCTAGTGTTTGAAATATTAAGGCATGATAGCTTTTCAGAATAAATCTGTATTTTCTCGGGATCCACACTTTTCCAGCTCTCGCGAAACTTTTTAAACATTGGATTGTCAGGGCCTGTGGTCGATCTTTGATTAAAACAAACCTTTTTCTGTTCAAGAAGCACGTAGGCACCGTTAAGGCGGTATTTGAAGTAGTAGTATCACAACAGAGTATCTGAACTTCATTAAAAACGTAAACTTTTGATGGGAAATCAAAGTGATAGGATGGAAAAACGATTCCGAATTATTTCCACGTAGTCTGGATATGCTCCCAGAAATTAGAATTAAGGCTATATTATACGTGTGACCCTGATTTGTCATTTTCAATTTTTCTCATTAACAAAAGGTGGAAAAACGAAAATTTATGTTGGAAAATCGAAGTTGTAGGATGGAAAAACAATTTGTGATTGATTTCCACGTAGCTTGAAGAGGCATACAAAGTACGTGTGACCTTAACTTCTTGTTTTCAATTTTCCATATTAGTCAGGTGGAAAAATTTGTTTTGTGCTGAGAAAAGGTAGGGAGTAGGATAATAAAGAAGTCTTAGGCTGCAGAGAAACAAATTCCTGGATGTTCCCGTCAGAAATTTCTAGGCTCACTTCAAATGACCCTGAAAAAGCATTTATATTTTTTTTATTAGTCAAAGGTGAAAAAACAAAAAAAATTGTTGATAAGCATGGTAAAACGATGGAAAATCCATGTGTGCTCATTTTTTAATATCTGACTAATTCTGGGCTGACTTCACATGTCCTTGGTTGCTTTTTTGAAGTTTTTCTCGCAACCTAAAGGTGGAAAAATTTTTGGTAGAAAGAGGTGGTAAAACGATGGAGACACGATGTGTATTGTTCTTTTCAAATAATCTGGAAAATTTGAAGTTTTTATTTCCTATTTTATTTTAAGCGAATGGTGGGAAAACGTGGTAAATGATGGATTTTCGTATAGCACATCGTTTTTCAACAGCCCAGATCTTTCTGGACCTCACTTTTGGACTATGAATAGGATTTTCTGATTTATGATTTAAAATAAAGCAGAGTTAGCCTCAGCCTCTTTCCGTATGCCGGCCGGGGGCCTTGGACCTCCCTGTGCCCCCATGCCATACCATTACAAACACATCATAAACTTCTACTAAATTGTTGATACTTATAGATATAAAATATGATGGATGTTTGCTGAAACGAAAATTAATTTGTCAAATCTGTTGAAAACAAACGAGTCCATTTGTACAAATTACACACGAAAACATGGGTGAACAAAGCAATCAAGTTAGGCACTGCTTTGTCGCAAGGCGAATTGAGTGAGGGGTTTGTCGTTGCCTCCCTAAAATTTCCGTGAATGAATAATCTTCTATGTGTGTTATAAAGACTGCCGCTTCAGAAGTGCATATTATGTGGTACTTGTATAATATACAGGGTGTTCGAAAAATACACGGAGACATTTTAGAGAGTGATTCCTTGTTAAAAATATGAAAAAAGCTTCCATAAACATCGGTCCGGAAATGCAGAGTGTTCAAGATACAGGGTGATAAATTAATAAAAATAACTTTTTAGAGAAATTTCGCAAATAATTCTTTTCTGGAAAAACTGACGCGCAAATTTCAAACCTCTATGCAGGAGTGATTTTTTGTGCAAAAATCATTAAACCAATTTTATCCAGTGACATGCAATAAAACGGTTTTATTTTTTTTCTCGAAAACGAAGTGAGGTACGAAAAAAGTGCAAGAGGCAAATAAGTTGTATTTTTAGATGCTTAATCAAACAACAAATATTCGCTAAGGTGCCCCGGGACGCCTCCGGACCTAATAATTTTAATCGATCTTGGGATAACTTAGCCTCTTAATACAACACATGATATTGCCAAATTTCAACAGAACTCAATAAATATTTTTAACAAGGAATCACCCTTTAAAATACCTGCGTCTATTTTTCGAACATCCTAAATATTGTGATATTTTACTCAAATGCTATTTTATCATTATACTCATCTTAATATCCGGGGGTCCAGAAACTGAAACATAATCCTGCATCTGCAAATAGGTCATGACGTAGTATGGCGAAGTTTTCTCTTATCAAGCCATATAGTTTTCGAGATTTTCAGCATTTAATTTTTTGTGAAAAACTGGCTCGTATTGAGTTGATCCCCTCCTATTTCTATAAATAGAAACATTTTTTAACCCGGTTTGTTGAACTGGTCAGAAAATAATTAAAGTTTAATTCAATTCATTTAATAATAAATCCGTTTTCTTAAATTGTTTTATTTTAAGATTCGTAATTGTTGAAAAATATATAGTGTTTTATAGGAGCGTCAGATTGAGCCTTTAGTAGTAACCGTGTAAAATTTATTTTGAGTAATGACCAAGGGTTAAGATAGAGAGAAACCCATACAAAAATCAATGCAAAAGTCTAAACTTAAATGAAAAACTGTTCTGACGCCTGACTTAGACACCCTGTAGTGTGAGAGGGTCAAGTATGATCACTGTGCCAATCAGTCAGAAGAGTTGACTGGTTATTGCTGGTCTTTGGATGGTATTGTTTTTATTCACACCGTTATTTGTATTTATAATAATCGAGGAGGGCAAGTTTTAGCAGATATCAAAAAAGGTCATTATACGGCTTGGAGATGAAAAGGGAAGGATTGATGTCTGAAGATATTTTGGGCAAATTTATTGATGCGATGAGCACCATTTACTGTTATTATACATGCTTTTAACCTACCAGAATCACCACAATAGCATGTTCG